GACAACGCTCTGGTGACTCGTAAGATTTCGAAAACGAAGTACAGGAAGAGCAAAAGAAACCAAGAACAAAGGGAATACGACGAACCAGAAAATCTCAGGTTAGAATCTTATATTGTTAAACACCGATGGCGTGGAATTGTCACACCGTCGGTGGAGCTGCCTGGTTACAGGCACCCAACCGCCCTCGTCACATAGCAAATGTTCTCCAACAAAAGTGTGTAGATACTTATAATTGGAAAGGTTTTGTAGCCTTCACTTTCGCCACGAGATCCCCACTTGACACTGTCTTTTGCATGTCGTCATGACTCTTCGCAGGAGCACAGATTGTCATCAGATGTGTGCCAAAAGCTTTCGCAGGAAACAAGCTGCCCAGAGGTGATCTCTGAGAGCATGACCTTTGTCACATGATTTGATCAGGTGACAAGTTCAACAAGTCCAAGGCAGACCATTGAGATCTCTGCTATCGAGGGCACGATGCAGGCCCTGGTGCGCGCCTCTTTAACATCAGGAACGCTGTATACGATTGGGGACTTGCTGAATCAGGGCTTTGTAGAACCTAGAGTATCGGGAAGCGACAGGTCTCAATTCCGTGATGTGGACTGGTTGAGGACGGGAAAGTTTGGTGGGTAGAGCATGGCGTTAGTTGGAAGAAAGCTTGGCGACCACTCACCGTTTGTTGCAATTCTTCCCAGCTTTGACCGGCGCATTGCTTCATGGGCCATTTTTTCTGTATGGGTTTACCATGCTTGATAGGCTGTGTGGGCAAGCCAGGTCGCTGGGAGCCGTATTTAAGAAATCTGTTGCCGGCCAGGTTTTGCTCTTCCCGCCCTATGTTCTCTCTTTCCTATCCATGACTGCTCTCTTGGACGGGCAGTCACCGTGGGACCGGATCCAATCCCGCTTTGTTCCAATCATGGTCAATGGCTCTATTGTCTGGCCGATCGCCAACGTTATCAACTTCCGGTATCTTCCAAGCCAATGGCGTATCGCTTACATCAATATTGTTGGGATTGGATGGAATACATATCTCAGCTTTAACACTCGACAGCATACTAAGCGGGCCATCCAAATACCTTCCGATTTACGTTAGCCGTGGAGGGGAGAACCACATCAAAGGAATGTTACATGGCCGGTATCGATGATAGCTGAGCGGCTGGTCCCGTTGGCAGTCATTGGCGTCATTCCACGCTCTCTTCTGCGCCTGACACCAGCCCATGCAAATATCAACCGTCCCGAAGTGACCTAACCATTTTGAGAGAAATCTAGAGCGTGTAGCCTGCACCAGGGACGGCATATCACGTTGAAATACAGGTGCAGACACACCCGTATGGCGTCTTCGCATTTATTCCTGATGTTCAATGAGATAATCCAGACATAGCATTATATGTTTTATTTTGTGTCGCGCCCAGCTGAAAAGGACGTGCTGTAACTTCACATGAACCAAGGATTGGATGTCTACCTAATCTGTTTTGCTGCGGGTACCAGAACCAGCGCCATCGTTGGCTGAATCCACAGACCCAACGCTGCTCAGTAGGCCCACAACGAAGCTGATATCATAAAAATGAGTCAATAGAGACAACGTTGGCACATCATTCGAAACGGCACCTACATTATTGTGATGATCAAGACAAGACTTGTCCAGAAAATAATCTGGAAAGGAACGGTAATATCCTGATATTGACACGCGTCGCCTGTCCACTTCACTGGTCCACTGAAGCCAGGCCTCGGCTGACCAGCATCGTCAGTGTACTGGTTGCCACACTGACAGACGAAGCAGCTTGAACCGTTACGTTGCCCGCACGTGCCGTGATTGGTACAGTTTGAAAACGTCCTGCATACGGGATGGCATTTCCAGACGTTTACGCAAGTTCGGCTTCAGGTAATGGCCTTCTAACTGAGCACTTACGAAATACACTCTGCAACGGTCGTTGGACAAGGTGTCGCTGTAGTAGAAGCGCGGCGAGAAAGCAATGTCCTTGAAATTTTAGGGGGCACCGTCAAGACTTCGGCCAGCACATGGCCATCGTGAAGTTCGGTGAAGGAGGATACCATCTAAGACTCATGGTTACAATCATGCAGTCCTCAAATGTCGTATCACAGCACCATAATACCTCGCTGATAGCCCTGTTAACCATTTTAGCTCCATTTTCGTACTGAGCGGACTTTTCCCCATATCTGTCCCTCAGGCTGGACAAACCTGAGAAGGTTACTGCAATAAAAGAGGGTACATCGATCGGCTTTCCCGCGCTTGCCACCCGCTGTACTTTAAATGCCTCGATGAGGCTTGTTGCAAATTCGAGTTCCGCCTGCAGAGCAGAATGAGCGTTGCGTACTCTCAATTTACAGAACATGCTTCTTACCATGAGATGCATATCTTCCTGTAACGGCGATTTCAATAATTAGACATCAGAGATCTAGCAAATCAGAGTGCATGGGTGCCGCGTCCACGTACGGGATTATTACTGTTCAAAGATTGCGCACTCTCTCCAAACTTCTCAATCGCGTGAGACTTCATGTCTTCATAGAGAGTCTCGGAAATCGCGGTTAACGTCTTTCGAATGCTTGCCGGAAGTTTAGCTTGCGTTGAGACATCAACCCTCTATTCCATTTCGTCAGAATCACTTCATAGCGAATGCATTCGAAGCGTCCCTACCTTTTCTCCGACATGGACTGCGGATACCTGTCCCGTAACTGCGCCCTGGCCCTTCGATGAGATGATTAACGGCCAGCTTCCGGGAACATTCTTTACAATAGCACGCGCGGCCCGCTCGCCAAAGTCCACCAACTGTGCGTCCGCGGTGTTATGCTCTGTATAGATCCGGAAGTAAGGTACCGAATCAACAAGACCTGATTCTGGTGTATTCATGACTATTATTGATGATATTTGTTCCAGTCAATAAAAACCCCATTCGGGACTTACCAGCATGATAGTCGTCAATGACTACCCACAGGTTCGCTTTAGGTGCCCCTAGAATATCAAATTTGATCTGAAGCCGAAGTTTGTTCAGAAGATTGTAATGATTCCGCTGAGGACCAGATGCGTGAAAAATCTTACATCTTTGACGGCATCATCCAGTATCTCATTGTCTTGCACTTCAAGAATATTGACAGGTTGTAGGATGTCACCAGCCCCAGCTGAAACCGCCACCACATGGGAAACCAAAGATGTTGCTTGAGTCCAAGAAATATCGCGTGGTGCTCCGTCCGTCAATCGGGGGTATAGATGGAGAGACGCATAGGGTGCTGCAACGGACGAAAGAGACGAAAACATTGTTCAATTTGCTATACCCATCGGTCGTCATCGCAATCACGGGTTACCAGAACTGTCCGACGCCGAAGCGAAAGCTGCGAGCGCCGCAATACCCGCACATAACGAGACTAGCGTTCTACGGGCCATGGCTATGTATGCTTGTTATTGATGACTGGCCTTCCGCTATAAACCAGTGAACGCCCAGTTTTCCAATCGCCCGCCTGGTGCCGATGTCCTCCAGCGCGCCTTTCAGTTTCTGAGGGCACTTGGCTTTGTCACGTGAGCTGACGCGTACGTGATCTGCGCGAGAACCAGAGGTCGTTTTCCCAGGCTTGCCTGGTTACCTCCAGAGCACAATTTCCGTTCAACCTGCGGTGAATTGTGGTATGCAGCATCCGTCAACGATAAGGACCGACTTGGTCGACTGTTCTGCCCTTTCATTGGAGCTTGCGGCAACCGATTCTCCATTTTTCCGGGCCAAGGTCGCTCTGTTTCAGAATGAGTTGGAGGCGTTTGGAAAATGGTTGGACTCTGTCTGCAGAGTCCTGCGCCAGTATACGGACGAAATGATCAGTAGGTGTGTGCGACTTAGTATCATGGATTGGCATTGCTAATTCATGCGCCAAAAGGGACTAATGAAGTGCAGTCAACCGTGATAGCAACATTGATGCCTCACTCCGGCCTGCACCTCTTTGGTAAGAACCGAAGTCGGTAACATATCCTTCAGATGCTAACCGACCCTGGGGAGACAGAGCGGACTATAACGCGAATAATTGGGGACGCTCTACAGTCTGTGTATCAAGTGAAGGCCAAACTTGTAAGGCTATTCATATTGTTATTGCACCGTCAGCGGCTACTGACATTCGCTCTATTTAATAGGTTGACGACATTATAGAGCAGCTTATAGAACCATTTCTTGCGTTTCTAAAGGAGGACGTTCGAGACATGAAGGTTTGGCATACTGTCACTATGTCCTACCGGCCTGTTTCATATGTGTGCTTTTAGGATGTGACAAGAAATTTTGACCGGGTATTAGAGAGATACGAGACTGCCGTGACGCGATATGGTAATCTGTCTAAAACGAAAGAAAGCAGTGCGTTACGTGAGGTTTGTTACGCTTAGCTGACGGAGAACGAGAGCGATTACAACACTCGTCCTCAAACTCATTTTTTTGAAAGGATGCTTTTGTACTGTATGAATTCCGCAAGCAATACATACGCGCATCTCTGGAACTTGCCCACCGGGTGATCATTTTTCGGATTCGTGTACATGGCATGATCATGGAGAGGCTGATGAATTATATCAGCTCCCATTCTGAATTTTACGATACCGCGGCACAAGTATTTAAAGGCCTGATGCCTCAACTGACCGGCTTAAAAGCCAAACTTGACGAGGTACAAGAGCATTTCTGCTGGGTCTGGCCTGATTACACTTTACTAAGAACGATATGCAGTCCATCAAAGTGCGAAATCAGAGTGCCACCAAATTGGAGACGACGCGGAAGATTCTGGAAGATGTGAGGCAGTCAGTAAAGTACACTCTTATTACCTTTTCTGATTCTCCACATTGTGTAGGAAGCCATAACTAAGGCCAAACCCCTCACGATCCCGAGTACCACAACCAGTCTGAGTCTCGATGTACAATCGGGGGAGAGGGGTGGCACACGTCACATACCCTCTCCACTGATCCCATCAGCTTCTACTCCAACGGAGAAAGAAGGGTATGTAATCGTTGGTTTATCAGTAATGGCGTGGTCTCATCACACATCTTCAGGTACCTATTTAAGCGAGTATTTTCCAGCAAGCCTTTGACAGTCCAAACATGGGCAAGGCGATGGTTTCGTGTCAAAAATGGGGGGTTTTCTTACTGTATGGTATCCCCAAAGCAACGAGGAGTGGTGCTCAGCACCCCTGCCTTGAACGTGCTCTTGTGTAGTGTGCGCGTGGTCCGAAACGAAGATCGCCGGTTCTCTTTCGAAGTATCTACGGTGCACAAGTACGTCCGCCGATCGAAATTTTTACAATAACAATAATCACACCAACGCCGCATTGCAAACGATAGGAGGAATTTCATATTGCAAGCCGAAACAGAGGACGATATGAATGAGTGGATAGCAACGATCGAAGCCGCCAAATACCAAGCTGCTGGTGAAGGACCAGCGTCCACGCCATTCATCGGTGATATGGCTACGGATATTGCTGGCAGTGATGATGAGGAAGACGCAATTCCCTTGCACGAGATTAAAATGTCAGAAGGGGATATTAAACCATCGACCGCTGAGAATGAGGGAGAAGAAGATGACGATGATGAAGATGAGAGTGATGGTGACAAAGAGCAAGGCAAGCCCGACAGCCCTGCTGATCAGAGCAGTGGGGATGACATTGGCATCAGATATTCCGACCGGACATTAGGCAAGGAGAACACGAAACTGCATCGACTTCTTAAGTCTGTTCCCAAAAATGATTATGTTCTTGACGGTAACTCTTCTATCTATGAGTGCCCACATTTATGACTTTTCTGATGTGAGTCTCTTAGCCTTCTCGTGTGCCATGCAGAAGGACATAGCTGTACATGGAAGACTTTATATTACCTATGATCGCATATGTTTCTACTCCAATATTCTTGGCTTCATTAGAATGGTAAACGCAAGTCTTCTGATTTCTGTACCACTCAGGACGCAATAGTTAACGTATACTTGGCAGCTGGTGACGGAAATGAAGGATGTCCTGGCAGTCGTACAAAAAAAAGGCCCTCTGTCCACCACAATCCTTGTAACTACAAGTGAAGCCACCGTACGTATGCACTGGATATATGCGAGTATGAGAAACATACGTTTTAACTTTTCTGTTCGCTGATAGCATTCTTTCTTACTGTTTTACAGTAAGGATGAAGCTCACTTCACCACTTTAAAAGCCGCTTGGCTAAATGCCACGAACACTGAAGTATGTAGCGTCTTGTGCGTGGTGCCGTCACTACAGCTTCGCTAACGTCCATCGCAAAGCAACGACTATCCCCACAAGAACTTTATGATTCGGTCAGTAAGCGGAAGCATGCCACTGCTGGGGTAGAAATCGAGTCAGAAGAAAGCGACGGTCGAGTGTTAGAGGCTGCTCCAGTTGCAGACCCTACAACCGGGTAGGTAACAACGATGTTATGAATTCCCAAGACACGTTGTAATGTCCAGCATTTTGTAGACAACCTGCCACCGCTTCAGGTAAGCTTTTGAACGACATAGTTAGTAAAATGCTAGACTCATTGAAGACCCTTGGTGACGAAAGAATACGACCCACCCTCCGATCTGGCTCTCCCAGCCGCGGAAGTACCGTGCGGATGTGGGGCTGATCATCAAGAAAAGAAGGAGGCTGATGTGGTATTCAATGTACCAGCCAAGGTACAGCCGGGATGATTACGATATTAGGGAAATGTGTGGACCTTAACCGTTACGTTCCAGAAACTGTTTGACGTTCTCTTTGGTAATGAGACAACATTCTGGAGTCAAAGATTTCATCCCAAACGCGGCGAATCAGGTTCGCGCTCCTCCCCGCAATGTTTTCCCATGCTATCCAACTTAACCACTATATTCCGTGCATGACACAGGACGACAAAATGGTATTTGGTCTGATGGGCCGGAACCGCAGCGCGAAGTTAAATATATGATGCCTGTCAATAATCCGATGGGTAAGCTGGCCGAAGTGTCGAGTCACGTAAATGACACTAACGAAAATTCATATCACCAGTCAAAGTAAAGGAAGCTGAGGTAATCGCAACGGAGAGACTCGTCAAGCGGAATGATTACTTGTATGTTCAGCTTTTGTATTACCGTCGCTCTTTCTGTGTCAGAACCCTCTCACTCACAGTGGATGAAAACAAGCATTTATGTTGTTGAAGCCCAAAGCTCGACGCCTGCCCTTCCGTATGCAGATGCTTTTGCACCTGTCACCCGCTACTGCATAACATGGGTGACGAAGCATTCGTGCCGCTTGGTGATGACCTGTGGAGTGAAGTTCTTCAAGGTGGGACAGTTATGCAACCGGTTATTTATATGTATAGATATTCTGATTATGGACGGTGAATGCGTCACGCCAGAGTCCTATGGTTAAAGGTATGGAGTGTACAGCTATTCTGACATAAAGCTCATGTATAACCATACCTGGCATACGTTTCGATTAGGCATGATACGCTCCGCCGGAATGAAGGGTTTAGCAGGTACAGACAATGGGGAGATATTGTAATTTACGGCAAATTCTAAAAGCCGTTTCGTTCGGAAGAGGGTGCCGCAGATACTGTAGCACTCCTGAAGCAGGAAATTGATGAGTACAACCGGAAAGTACTGGGTAAAACGCCATCTTCAGCGGAAAGCGCCGGCGCCGAAGCCATCGCCATCAGTTCACCGACACCTGGTGACACGACTGTCAACGTAACCAGGCGAGGTGCCACTGAAGAGCTTCCGTTTGGACTAGGATCTCCAATAGCGGTGTACACCCTCGTGGTATTATTGCTTATTTCATGCGTCTGTCATCTCGTAGGCTGGTGGCAAGGCCCCAGTAAAGGGAGTGTGATGAATATTAGCCCGCGGACAGTGGACTGGGTGAAGGATTTCAACCTTGGAGACAATGACGACTTCACGCAAAGGTAACTGGTGTTTCTTGACAGGTTCCTCAGCTATTGCATTTTAGTAATTTCAGATTCCTCCAGCTTCAAGACATTCATGACGTCTCATTATCACCTTTCAGAAGGAAATTCCACAATCTCGCTACGAGCACCCTCATCTCGAAGACGGTTGTACTACCATCCATCCCATTTTACATTGCAATCGCAACTCGCTCAAGTTCATTCAGCCGTTCATGAAGTCTTGACCGATATACGTGGGATGATGGAGGAAGTGCATGAGGTGGAACGGCAGGTGATATGGAGCATGTTCATGAATTGGATTGGTGACAAGACTGCTCTTTGTCAGAACGAAGGGGGGTCCCATTGTAACGGAGTGGCCACATTAGTAAAGGAAGTGGAAATAGGCCAAAGAGGAGGATGAGCTGCCTAGTGTCCTTATTTAATCAAGTTATTTCATCATTAATGTCTACACCGCTCCTTCATCAGCAAGTATATTGTCCTTGCGGGGATTCCAGCAGAAGATCTCATGATCATTCCCCCCAGAGTAAAGCTCCTTCAAATTCAGCAAAAAATAGTTTTAATTGGTTTGCCAAGGTGAAGCTTTGCAATACTGTCATTTTTTTCACCTCATGTCCATGTCGAAGGGCAACACAGCCGACCCGGCCGGCGTGCCGCTTTAGCCTCATCATCAATTCCCCACTCCATAAGTTGAAGACCAGTACCTGTCTATTATCAGACGGCTGAAAAAGCAATGGCGGATAACAGGAGGAAAGAGGTGTAATCGTCGGTTGAAGAACATGGAAGACCCGATTTCTCAAGTGTGGACCATAATTCACCTGGATGCCCCAATGATGAGCGAAAATGAACCGCGCAAAGGAGACATTGCTATTCGCAAATACCAAAGTGTTTTTGCCCGAAAACACATCCCACAGTCGCAGACTCTCATCGTGCCCGGCGGAAATGAGATACAAGCCGTCGGACGTGAAGCCTAGGCCATTCACATGACCATTGTGTGCAGACGTAGAATCATTGTCTCCATTGTCCTCTCGTCTCCTAGATCCTGTTAAATCCGATACAGTTGAGAACATCTTTAGATACAGATGCGCCAAGAGTTCATCATATACCAGTTTCATGCTGATCGAGGGATATGAGACATGCCTTCGCTTTGCGTATATCCCAAAATCGAATCGTATGATCAGTGCTACATAGAGTGAACAGTTGTCAACATAACACCCCAATAGATGTCAATCCGCAAGTACGCCTACCTTCCTGACGCTAACAAAAACTCATCCCGTGGTGACCACCGGACGGTGAGTACCGACCCCCTGTGACCTTAACAATACGTATATTGACAGGCAGCGTATACAGATAATGCGCAAGTACAACAACGCACCCATTAACGAATGTGTGAAGGCACCCGTACGCATATCGCATAGACGTACTGGCGATTCCGCCGTGCCAGCTGGAAAACGATTGGTCGTCAGCCTAAGCTATTTCTAGCAGAAACAAGATCAACGTCCACGGAGATTATACTTGCAATCAAATTGTGGCTCGTTGCCACAGACGACATCTCATGTACATAGACATGATTTTCGATATTGAAAGCACAGACACTCTGCGGCGATCAAATATTAGAGAAGGATGCATAGTAGCTTTCAAACTTTGAAAGTATACCTGCATAACATTAGTGTCCCACACTTTCACCGTACCATCCATAGATGACGTAGTGAATAAGCCCGTATCTGTCGGGAACCAGTGAACGCCTGTGACGCTATACTGATGGCCCGCCCGCCTAGTGGTGATGCGGACGACATAAGCGATACGTAACACATATTTAAGTTGATGGCCGAGCGTAAGCCGCTCCATACCTTTCCACGGTCGCTATGGGACGTGAAAGGGCTCGTGCAGGCGGAGGTCGTCGCAACCCAGTGGAAGTTTGGTCTGAGCCACTAGGGACGGTGTCCCACTCCTCCAAGTCATACAGGTGTATTGTCGTATCGGCACTACCTGCAAGTAAGCTGAAAACTGGATGAGCTCTGCTCGTGTGACAATTGGGAGCGCCCTTGAGACTACTACGTACTATCGTCCTTCCAGAGCTTCAATGTCCAATGCGTTAATAGGACCCGTTGCGACCTTTGCCAGACCCTTTGTTTTGCTCAATTCAGTAGTCAAAAAACGCGAAGACGACCAATGCAGTTCAATCTTGGGCAGTTGCGGATTTTCCTCTCGCGAACGCAAAAGCCGATAGGTCATCGCAGCGCTTGCATCTGGTGTTATTCGTCGAAGTAGATGTTGGAGATCAGCAGACGGAGCTGGGATTCCCGGAAGCAGTGCGGATAAGCCAGCTGTGTGCACTCCAACCGCATTAGATCTCCATCGATTACGACATCGCGAGCTCGTGCTCGCGTCGCACGCATGCGCTGCTTTTCGTCCTTCGCTGCCTCACCGCACTGGAAGTGACCTACGCTATGCTACCTTCCGCAAGAACAGCCGTGGATGGATCAAAAGAAGCTCTCAACGTAGCCATTCTCATTGTCGTTGCACTGTTGGGACCGACATTGGCCGTGTTATTGAAATCTGTCGTGAGTGGGCTCTCGGTTGGACCGTCAAAGTTAGGGTTGCTAATACAATGACCACATTGTGAACCTCTTATCGCAATGCCTTTATGAATTCCGTTATACCAGCGTCTAACCACGCCCCTTCTTACGTCGCCCTCCAAACCAAAGGCAACCTCATTCAAAAAATCATCTAATCATCTACGAAAGCGTTCTCCTTCATCGTATTTCCCTGCAGCGAACAACCGCGTACATAAAACCTCTACGTCTGATGAACCGCGGCTTCCGTTAGTTCTGGTCAAGACCGTGGAATCCTTTGATAAGCTTTGGGATCGTGCTGTGATGACAGCCGCCCGTGCGATTGTGTATATCGCTAGTTTTTTTGGTTGGAGGTTGAAAGTTCGGCAATGTTAAGAGTAGATTATTTATTTTAAGTTTCCCGGATCTTTGTCTGGAGAATGGTGCTTTCTTAGAAATATAGTTCATTTACGCTTGTTTGCCATATCGCAAAACCATCTGCCGACGATGGCTGGCCGCTATCACATGTTGCTATGTGCGCGAGGTGCTGTGCCTCTATCGGTTGCTATGTACGTGAGCAGAGCGTTTAGTCACTGTCCCTTCACACTCTTTTTGGCCAAGAGTGTAATCTCGAGTTCATGTCTGCACTCCGCCCAAGACCATGCCCGCCATAACGCATGCCCAGCTGGTGTCCCTCCAAAAGGACCAGCATAAGATACGGAACATTTGCATCTTGGCTCATGTCGACCATGGTAAGCACATGACCTTGTGCGAATCTGATGCGAGCAGGTGTTGACGTGTACAACTAGGGAAAACGACCTTGTCAGATAGTCTTTTGGCTTCCAATGGCATTATTAGCTCCAAACTTTCGGGAAAAGTGCGGTATCTGGATTCTCGTGAGGATGAGCAACAACGAGGCATCACAATGAAATCGAGTGGAATATCACTGTACTTCAAAATCGTCAAAAACTTGATAGACAGTGCAAAGCAAGGTACTTGGGGTTTGTTTACAGAAGCCGTAGTATAAGTCTGACGCGTCGAAAGAGTCTTCTACTGTAGCCGATGAATATCTGGTTAATCTGATCGACTCCCCTGGACATGTGGACTTTTCGAGCGAAGTGTCAACCGCTTCCAGGCTGTGTGATGGGGCTCTCGTGCTTGTAGATGCAGTAGAAGGAGTTTGCACGCAGGTGAAAGGAGCTATAGGAGATCATTCATGTCACTTTGGGATAGTCAACTTACATATGCATGTGTAGACACATACGGTGTTGCGTCAAGCATGGATGGAGAACGTTCGGCCTGTTTTAGTACTGAACAAGATCGACCGCTTGATTACCGAGCTCAAGCTAACGTCGTCAGAAGCATACATTCATCTGAACAAAATTCTGGAGCAGGTGAATGCAATCATGGGAACCTTCTACTCTGAAAGCATGATGCAGGAAGATGCGGCTCGGTACGAGGTAAAAGGCGAGGCAGAACAATGAGTTTCCTTTATAACCATTGACTTTTGTAATTATTCACTGGAAATTAGGCATATCAGGCGAAAAGATCAATGACGAAGCACGGGAAGGAAGAAGAGGAGGAAATTGAATGGAGACTTGAGCATCAGGACGACTCGACCCTGTACTTTTCTCCAGATCAGGGGAACGTCATCTTCTCTAGTGCAATAGATGGGTGGGCTTTCAGGTATCTATCCACCCTACTGACTCGTATATGGACACTTCGGCTACTAAGAACTTATAAAGGATAGAGCAGTTTGCCCAGATATATGCCGCCAAACTGGGTATCAAAGAGGAGTTGTTACGGAGAGTGCTTTGGGGCGACTATTATCTAGATCCGAAAACGAAAAGGGTGCTGGGACATAAGGGATTGAAGGGCAGACCATTGAAGCCCATGTTCGTGCAGTTTGTCCTCGACAATCTCTGGGCACTCTATGACAGCGTACTGGAAACAAAGTAAGACTTGATAATGTCAAGCATGGATCCTCATAGCATGGATTGGAAGAGCTGAGTTTCGTTTCATATAGCGACCGGGAAAAGGTGGAAAAGATTGTGAAGGCATTAAACGTGAAGGTGCTGCCGCGTGACATGAGATCAAAGGACAGTCGAGCTCTCTTACAAGCGATCATGAGCCAGTGGCTACCACTGTCGAGTTCTGTGCTCCTGACTGTGATAGAGAAGATTCCCTCGCCTGGCGTGGCGCAGAATCTGAGGTTACCGAAGATATTGTATCCAAAGGGCAATCAACCAGAGTTAGCATCGTTATCAGAATCTCGACGTGCCTTTGAAACCGCAATTTACAACTGCGACCGTAGTGATGATGTCCCTGTGGTCGCCTATGTGAGCAAAATGTTTAGTGTGTCTGCTGACATGCTACCAACAAATCGACGTGTGCAACTAACTGCCGAAGAGATGAGAGAACGACGGCGAGCAGCCATTGCGAAGCAACAGGCGGCGATCTCAAAAGGAGAGACGACTAGCGACAAGGCAGTTGAGTCGGGTCATATCCAGCTGGACGATTCTGGGAGTGCTGAAAGTGCAGAGACGGGACCTGTGGTACTACAAGGACCGACAGACACACCATCAACTCCCGAAGTCCCCGAAGCGCCAGCGGAGGAGACATTGATCGGCTTTGCGCGCATTTACTCGGGAACGATAAGAGTGGGACAAACATTTCAGGTATTAGGTCCCAAGTACGATCCAGCTTTTCCCACCCGACACCGGTCAGCGGTTACCATTGAGAAATTGTATCTCATGATGGGGCGTGAACTTCAAGAGTTGAAGGAGGTGCCGGCTGGAAATGTCTTTGGTATCGGCGGCTTGGGCCAGCACGTTTTAAAATCTGCGACCTTGTCCAGTACAGCAGAGTGTCCAAGCTTTGGAGGCGTAAGGGCTGACGCAGCACCGATCGTGCGTGTTGCGCTGGAACCAAGAGAGCCAAACCAAATGGGACAACTGATTGACGGGTTACGATTGCTCAATCAAGCCGATCCTTGTGTTGAAGTGTACTTACAAGAGACCGGGGAGCACGTTATTGTGTGTGCAGGAGAGCTGCATTTGGAACGGTGCCTGAAAGATTTGCGAGAACGATTTGCCAAAATAGACATCCAAGTGTCTCCCCCAATTGTGCCATTCCGGGAGACGGTTTCCACATTCCCAGCCATTCCTTTAACTCTGACTCCAAATGGACAAAAAGTCGAGGATTCCACCGGTACGCTAAATAGGACTTCTCATATGAAACAATCATACTCATTTACATATATTGTAGATCCACTTGACTCTGCCTCTCGACCGACTGAAGTCGCGACATCTCTTCCAACAGGAACAGCCATTGTTCAAACTCCCGACAAGCTGTGTACCATACGCGTAAGAGCAGTCCCGTTGCCGTCACGAGTCACTGCGTACCTGGAGAACCAGTCGAAGACCATGCGTAATATTGTCGAAGAGCGAGACGTTAGTGTGGAGCAAGAGGGAAGCGGTGCAGCGTTCATACGGAAGCTCAAAGACGTGTTCGACGAGGCGTATAGAGAAAACGAAATTAAGGATAAAGAATTATGGAATGGAGTTGTCGAGAGGTACTTTGGTTTAATGCCATAAGTTGGTTTTTTGTAACACGTTCACTAAGATCGTTACGACAGACTGTGGGCATTCGGACCCAAACGTATTGGTCCGAACTTGCTCGTTAATAATGTACCAGGATATGAGAGATCCCCCTGGTTTCGCTCAGCTGCTTCAGGGTCTGGGCGCTCACGGACTCGGTCAGATTCACCTACTGAAGAGGATGAGGGTGTTGATGCTGAAGAGACACTGAATACCTCGATCGAGGAGCTATCTCTTGACGATGGACACATAGAGAGACGCGTACCGAACATCCGACACTACGAAGGAAGTATTAATGCGGGCTTTCAGCTGGCAACGTTGCAGGGCCCCTTGGCCGCCGAACCTATGATGGGCGTTGCGTTCTTATTGGAGGAATTCACGATCGAAGGGTGGCAAGAAGCTTCCGAGGCACAATTAAGTTTGTTGTCGGGACGGGTGATTTCAATGCTCAAGGACGCTTGTAGGCAGGCATTCCTAGGGTGGTCGCCAAGATTGATGCTTGCCATGTATTCTTGTGATCTGCAAGCTCCAGCAGAAGTTCTGGGAAAAGTATATGCAGTCTTGGCCCGACGAAGAGGCCGCATCCTATCTGAAGAGATGCGAGAAGGCACCCCGTTCTTTAACATCAAATCCATGTTGCCAGTCGTGGAGAGTTTCGGCTTCGCGGATGAGATTAGGAAGCGAACTTCTGGAGCGGCAAGTCCGCAGTTGATCTTTAGTGGATTTGAAGTGCTTGATATTGACCCTTTTTGGGTTCCGACCACTGAGGAGGAGCTGGAGGACTTGGGTGAGAAAGCGGACAGAGAGAACCTCGCAAAAAAGTATATGGAAGGAGTTCGTAAGCGAAAGGTGGGTGACCGTTTTCCTTGTCACATTCAAGGGCCTATTTATTCTAAAGCATCGGTGCCTGGCCGTATAGGGGTTATTGGTGGAGAAGAAGATCGTTGAGCATGCTGAGAAGCAACGCACTTTGAAAATCAAATAGATCTGAAAGCTTCCCCTCACCCTTTGTACATGATAATTTAGTTCATAGCTTGTAAAAATACGCATTTTTCACATCTAGACATGATAGAGGAATTTGTACCATAGTATTGAGAAGAGAGATGACTTGTGACTGATATGTCAATCTTGGCATTTTGGCTACATATGTGTTCTATCTACCGCAATGGCATCAACTGCACCACAACTACCTAGCACGTCAATACACCTCGACAGCCAAACACGCAGCCTGATGACCACCCGCCGCTATTTGTATTACAAACCAATCGGTATTCGAGAATGGTAGGAGTTCGCATGAGCTTTCTGAGCATCCTAGGGCAGGCCCCGATTGTGGAAATGCGTTTTTCAAAGCTATTGAAGAAGGTCACAATTGGCCAACACACTGAATGATAAAAATGATATACCTGTGCATCCCTCTCCCCATTTATAGACTTTTCCATTTTTGGTCAGACACAAACTATGCCAATCTCCAAACGCTATCTGCCGAATGGCGTTGTGTGGATTAGATCCATCCGGCAATGTCAAGCCGAAAATGTTTGATCTGTCTTTGCACCAGATTGGAACGACTGGCTTGGTACTTGACTGTTTCGGTGGCATGTTAGAACGCCTAACATCTTGACCAAAAGCTGCATAATGGCGAAAAAACGAAGACAGCTTTGTGAAGCGTAATCCTGATAAATCTGGGACAATTAATGCCTCATCGGCGTTTGGGCTCCACTTGTACACGTCCCCATGGCGCGTAAGAGCTACACAGAAATCCTCACCACCTCCCATTTCGACGTATGGGTTGTCCATAGAGGGCGGAGAAATCGTCTTGTATTGCTGATTCCTGGCATTTTCGGTAGGAAAGACGTAGATCGTACCGGAGCGGGACATGGCGAGTCCGTGGGCCCATCCTGCAGTGACTTTGACGATATCCTTGTCACGAAGCCCTTCATGTTCCCATACCGCTTCCACACTAGAAAAGACAAAGACGCGTTTACGGCCCAAACCGTCTGGGTCTTCTGTCAAGGCGACACCAAAAGTCCTTCCTCCAGTGACATCGAGCACTCTGGGTAGACGCGAGCTAGAATTTGCAACTTGCACCGGTTGTAGATAACTCCTACTTCTATTGTCGCCCCATGTTTCACCGTTCATTTGACCCCAAAACCAGATTTCGCCGGTCACCGTAGAAGCAAGTCTTCCCCATCCGGTGCAAACGACTTTGACCAAATTCTTGCCAGCAAACCTTCCATAATCGATAGGGTAGGTATTACTATCCCACTCAAACAATTTCGGACTCTTTAGGCGCCCATAGAGCGCTCGCCAGCTGGTTACTTCCCGCTGGGCGATAGATTGCAGACCGTAATCTTCAATGCACTTGTGCTTCCAAAGACCCTCATCATAGCCCAAGTCACGAAAGTACCGGTTTGTTTGGCAGACGTTCACCAAATAACATGCTGGAAGATGCCGAAGGATAATGAGCAGACATTCTTCCGGTTGCGTATCAAGTCGTTTGGATAGGGGGGGTGTCATGCTTGGTGTGAACCCTCCGCTCCAGTTTCACAGCCTTCGCGGTGTGATTATGCAAGCATTTCGTAATCCTAGTCAGACTCTTCAGCAGATCCGCCATCTTTTCCGAGACCTTAGAGGCCAGCACAACACTGTAATCTGGCAGCAACTGACCGCAAGTCCTTTAATATTGCTATCGACTTCCGTTTTATGTGGCAGCGGTTCGCTGGTTGCCGATTACTGGTTGCTGAAGCTTTAAAAAGTGTCGTGCCAGGCTCCGCAGACGAGGCCAAACGACATTGTTCCAACGCATCTCCAGCGAGATCTTGTTGAAGTAAAGGTTCAATGGTTATCGTGACTACTAAATTGCCCAAAGTTCGTTCTCATCGTCCTCGTCCAATTCGTCCAATTCGTCCAATTCGTCCTCTGTGTGTTTAATAATTCCTGCCTATAAGTTGGCAGTGACTCATGTGACTCATATTCTGTATTTTTATCTTGTGAAGATCTTGAGGGTCGCTCCGCACCATGGCCCAATTTGACGCTAGCAATCACCTTGCTGACGCAGGGAACATGGCTTCACAAAGCACGTCGTCAACACAAACATCTCACAGCGGCGGGGCCTCGGCGGACACTGTTTCAACGACGACACAGACTACAAGCCATGTCCAGCACTCTGTAGCAACGGGCACCGTTCACACGGACACGACTGAAAGTGGAACGGATCCATTCACTCGTGCAGTCAGAGATGCGGGCGTCATGGTGGGAGCTGTAGAGGGACTTGGTTTGGCAGTGTCTGGTGGGTCCCCCGAAGTTGCGTCTGTTGTGGATTCAACAAGCAACAAGCCCACACACGGGAAGCAGCAAAGTTTAAGTCTCCCAGCGGTTCCACTTGCTCAGTACGATGAAGATATCGATTCCCCCAATGCATCGTCCATATTTCCCAACCCTCATGCCGGCAAACCGGACAACACACCAACTGCTGCAGCAAACTTCCAACTCCCCGATTATGTCCGCTTAATTCTGACCGCTCAAGTGTACGACGTCGCCATGGAATCCCCACTTCAAAAGGCACACAACCTATCAACGCGCATTGGAAATACGGTGCTTCTTAAGCGAGAAGATCTGCAACCTGTATTTTCCTTCAAGTTGCGGGGGGCGTATAATCGCATGCATCAGCTCTCAGAGGAGGAAAAACAGAAGGGAGTCATCGCATGCTCAGCTGGCAACCATGCACAAGGTGTTGCTCTAGCAGCTCAAAAGATGGGTATTCAGGCAACTATCGTTATGCCAACAGTAACTCCTCCGATCAAGTGGAGAAATGTCCAAAGACTTGGTGCGCAAGTGGTATTGCACGGGAACGACTTTGATGAAGCAAAAGCAGAATGTGCGAGGCTTGCCAAGGTACTGTGGATTATTCATTTTGTAGAATTCCACATTTTCTCAAGTCCCAAGTGACTAGGAACGCGGATATATCAATATACCCCCATACGATGATCCATACGTCATTGCAGGGCAGGGAACGGTCGGTTTGGAAATAATGAGGCAATCTGGACCAAAAATTGACGCGATATTTATTTGTATCGGTGGTGGAGGACTGGCAGCCGGTGTTGCATCTTACGTTAAAAGGATCTTTCCCCATGTGAAGATCATAGGGGTTGAGACGCATGATGCAGCGGCGATGACACGTTCCTTGAAGGCTGGCGAACGTGTTATGCTATCGCAGGTCGGCTTATTCGCGGATGGTGCGGCCGTGAAAGTCGTTGGGGAAGAAACGTTCCGGGTCTGCAAGGAGTTGGTGGACGAAACTGTACTGGTCTCTACGGATGAAATCTGCGCAGGAATCAAGGATGTCTTTGAGGACACCAGGAGTGTTGTAGAACCGGCTGGAGCACTCGGTCTGGCGGGGGTGAAGAAATATGTCCAGGAGAAAGGATGCAAGGGCATGACATTTGTTGCCGTGACCAGTGGGGCGAATATGAATTTTGATCGACTGAGATTCGTCGCAGAACGAGCGGAGCTTGGTGAGAACAGGGAAGCTTTGATTACGGTTATTATTCCAGAGCGACCTGGCAGGTATGACTACGGATTTCCGGTTCGTGTTAGCTATAAGTCGGTCGTATCTTACGATCTTTGCTGTCAAAGCTTCATGGATCTGTACAAAGCAATCTCACCACGAGCTGTATCCGAGTTCTCCTACCGGTATGGCGATCCCTCGGAAGCACACATTTTCATGTCGTTTGTGGTAAACGACAGGGAAAAGGAATTGGGAGAGATTTTCAAAGAGCTGGATAGCAAAGGGATGCGTGCCATGGATGCTAGTCGGAATGAGATGGCCAAAGCCCACGCTCGATACCTGGTTGGGGGAAGAAAAGAGGTCGCGAATGAGAGACTTTTCCGATTTTCCTTCCCCGAGCGACCGGGCGCTCTCAGCCATTTCCTGTCTACGCTTCGCCATCCTCTATGGAACGGTTAGTGAAAGTCAAAGTCGCTCGTTTGATGTTTGTGTTCTGATCTGTCAATTGTAGTATCCTTATTCCATTACCGCAATTATGGCGGCGACGTCTCGAGGGTATTGGCAGGCGTCCAAGTGCCACCAGAGACAACACACGAGTTTGAAAAGTTTTTAAAGGACCTGAGATATCCATATGTAGAAGAGACAGACAATTTGGTATATCAGCAATTCTTGCGATAGTTTTTTTGCGAGCACTGTAGAATCATATTTTGTATAACTTATTCAAAAAACCCTTGGTATCACGTGTGTGTAGCCCCAATGTTAGCGCGCAATTCAAACCATCTTGCACCCATCTGCAGCGTTTTGCATCATCATGAGGTACATTAAGACTCCTGTTAGACTCTGTCGCAGTCAGTCGGGACTCTGGCTCGCACGGTTCTACACGACCGAGAGCAATCCCACCAAGAAGGTTGTTGTAATTGGAGGAACAGGGTTGGTATTTTGGAAGACTCGAGTGGTTCCTTGGACTGATATATATAGTGTTTACATGCTTTTGTTTCAGGTTTATAGGCCCATATATTGCCAGATCTGTTCTTCAAGACTCACCTTCTGCCACCGTTCAACTGGCATGCCGCTCGCCGCGCGATCATCCTCAAGTTTCTAGCAGCCACGGTGGTCGGCTCCTACCTTCGATCGCCGCAGATGTTACCGATTCCCAGTCCGTTCGTGAAGCATGTCGCGGAGCATCAGCTGTCGTCAACTTGGTGGGAATCATGCACGAGCGGAGACCACGGTACACATTTGATGCAGTGCAGAACGAAGGGGCGCGGGTGATTGCTCAGGCAGCCAAAGATAGTGGAGCCAAGCTGGTGCACGTGAGTGCCATCGGAGCTGATGTGGAGTCGGAGGTACCTTATGCAAGGACGAAAGGTGCGTCTTTGTGCGGTCAAAAACACCCACGATTGGATTAAGAATGGATACGATATTGGTTCTTAGGACTAGGAGAACAGGCGGTTCTTGATGTTCACCCCGACGCGTCGGTCGTCCGTCCTAGCCTAGTATTCGGAAAAGAAGATGATTTCTTCAACGTAAGAAAAGATGTGCTGCAAACACTTCTTTACCCGCGCAATCCGCGAAGTCTACATCGGTTGCATCTCACCATAGACTGGTGTCAAAACCTAGCGCTTTGCCAAACTCGCAAGAATACTTCCTTTTGTTCCTGTTTTTGGAGGGGGACATACAAAATTTCAACCAGGTATGCTTCTAATGTTCGGAGAGATATGTTATGATCTAGCCCTGCTGATTCCAACTACCCAGTCTACGTGGAAGACCTCGCCCGCGCCATAACACAGTGCATTGCGACTGACAAGGTCAACGGGAAAATAGTTGAAGTAGGCGGACCACATGGTAACGTGTCTTTTCATGGTAACGACAAGACGGTAAAGCTGAGCGTAACGTTCAGTGTATGAATACAGGGACCTTATGCAGCTTATGTTGGATCAGGCTGGGATACGGCGCCCGATCATATCCGTTCCATGGGTACGTGTGCCAAACGTTGAGTTTTTACTGATGCGTTTATCGACATAACCTCCCAATATTAGATCGTCGGTTATATCCAAGGATTTTTTCTGGAGCGCCTACCAGAGAACTTGTTCACTCTCACCCGTGATCAGGTCAAGCTTTTGCAGCGAGACAACGTGGTGTCAGGAAGTCATATGACGCTCGCGGATCTTGGCGTGTCACCGACTCCGGCGGAAGATGTACTGCATAGATATCTGAGGCGTACGCGTTCCGGAACCGGTGTACGTCCACCTACTCGTGAGTTTGTCTCTGCTATGCACCGTAACACTCTACCTGCTGATACATGGTCCTCCAGCCGCAAGCACCCACTCGCGCTCATACTTCACCAGCACCCGTAAACCGCGCATCGTTGAGACGATTGCCGAATATCGCGCTCTACGGCATCAATGGCAGCGACAAGATCTCAGTGTTGGCTTTGTGCCCACCATGGGAGCACTCCATGACGGTCACGTAAGCCTAGCCCGCACTGCAAGGAAAACCTGCGATATCGTTGTTGTGAGTATATTCGTTAACCCAGCTCAGTTTGCTCCCCACGAGGATCTGGGGAAGTACCCACGCACCATGGAGCAAGATGTTGCAATGTTGACGGAGGTCGGTGTGGACGTAATCTTTCTTCCCAACGTCAAGGAAATGTATCCCGCTGGCATCGTTTTGGACGTCAAGGATCAACAAGGCACATTTGTTGAAGTGAAGGGAAAATCCCACCAAATGGAGGGGTCTATACGTCCGCACTTTTTTCGGGGAGTCGCAACCGTTGTAACCAAGTTTCTGAACATTATGCAACCCACAAAAGCATTCTTCGGGCAAAAGGACGCACAGCAATGTGCGGTTGTACGCACGATGGTTCGCGACTTATTCATTCCCACCGAAATAGTAGTCGGTGAGACCGTGCGGGAGCCAGATGGGTTGGCGATGAGTAGCAGGAACAGATATTTGTCGCCAGAAGAGAGAGCTATTGCCCCAGTGCTGTACAAGGCTTTATCTGCCGGCCAAAGAGCCTTCAATGAAGGAACGGCAAAGAGCCGCGACGAGCTGATACAAATTGCAAAAGCTATCATTGACGTACAACATGGTGCGGAATTGGAGTATTTAAGTGTTGCAAATCCCTTTTCTTTGGCGGAGGAGGAGCAAGTTGGGTCCGAGGGTGCGATATTTTCCGGCGCTGTTAGGGTGGGTAAAACGAGGATCATTGACAACGTCCTTTTGGGTATATCAACCGAGACTTGGGTCAAGTGAAAGCGAGCTCTGTTTTTCCTCTGACGCAGATTTCTTTGAGGTACTCTTTGTATGATGCTCAATGGTGCCTGTCATGTCAAGGACACCTGCAATAACTCAAGTGTGTACTGCCTTCTATAACTGAGAGCAGATCCACTATTTAGAACCTCGTTCCCCCTAAGGGAGGAGCCCAGGCTTATGCATCGCAGATTGTTTCTATTGTACGCTAGCTTTCCATTTGATCACGAAACCAGTTTCATAAGATATAAGATATATTCGCCCAGCTCAATTCCACTTTAAGGACAGTTATACAATTACACTAGCAGGCATATCTGAAAGACGACGAAGGGGTCAGAGGAGTCTGTGTGAAGTAAGCAACCGCGCCCTCTCAATTCTCACCGCTTTGTCCATTCGCGAGCTACTCGATCGTGCTCTTCGCGGTCATGTAAATACTGTTGAGCAATACTTCCCACAAGAGGGTCATCTATTTGATAATATCTTAGTGTTTACGTGTGGTGGGTTGACAGCAGGAACTCAGAGGTACGCACGTGGATTCGCATCTGTTAACAAGGAACAAATGGATAGGAGGACCTTTGAAATCGTCAAAGCTGGACTCCAGTTGTCCTTGAGAATGTCCAAGCAGATTTCTCCTTTGCTGTTAATATTACAATGGTAGATTCGAGTGCGGTATGTGACCTGTAGATGATAGAAGGAGGACGATGCTCAGCAACAAAGCAATGTGGGAAAGTTGACAAAAGCTTCAACTAACCTTCGGAGGCTTAAAAGGATAGTCTTGTGGAAAATGAATATCTAGGAAGAACACGCCCCCTGCATATGGTGACCCTGCAGGTCCCATTATGGTCGAAACCCATTCATATAGGTTGTCCCCCTTGGGTCCCGCGCTACAGTTGCATGGAGGATCCAGACTGATCTCTGCAAGTTCCTTTTGGATCCTAGAATGACATAAAGACAGTTGGCACATTTCGGGATAAAGGGGCAAATTTCAATTTGGATCCTACCGCTTTGCGCTGTTGCTCATACTTGCCCTACCGATTCTCGTTGCTGCGGATGCCGTCCCCTTAGATGGAACCGTGGCGGGGACAGTGGCGGTTATACTGGAGGAATTAGTGGTAGACGGTGGAGTAGACTGTGCGGTCGAGGAGCTTCCGTTGGCCGTGGCTTGGCTCGAGGAGGCCGACACTGTTGTGGTGGTTTCGGAACTCATTATGACTGACTGCGGGGATAATGGACGGATTTGTAAAAAAGCACAAGTCTAGAGTGCAGCAAGATGAAATCGGGGTAGTATCTAGGCAAATCGGTCTTATTGACGGATACTAATGAGCAGGGAAACGCCAACGGAGCAGGGGGAAATGGGGTCGATGTCGATGGGTTGAAAGGAAAACCAACCTGCTCTCGATCATGACCAAAGGTCGGAAGGTCACATTGGAATGCATTAAATGCACATGTCCGAATCGACGGACGGATGGATTGCTTAATTGAATCCGTTGCTATGCGCGGTCGTCAGGTCGCCTCCGACACAAGTCGAATCACGTGCTTGGGTTCGCGTCGGCGCTGCTCGCTCGTTGTTGTCACTGGAGGTTTGCCATCCGAGCGGGTCGTCCGCCGAAGCTTTCCCTGCCTCCCACGCTTCCTCGATCCGGGATATCTCTTGGCTAGCCGTACTTTGAATAGTTTTGCCTCCATATGAACCAATGGGGAGATAACTTGGACTCCCACAAAGAATTGCACATGAGCGACCTGGGAAGCATAGAAGACCATTTTGACAGTTTGCAACAAGGCGGTCAGGACTCAAATGCGCATCACACTCGATTGAACGGTACTACTCAGATAGGGGGAATAGGGACTGTGTCAGAGGATCCCTCTGGTTGGAGACCGTTTGGACTGGGGTTCAAAATTCCGGCGTGGGGACGGAGGAGCACAACGAATTCGAACTTGAGTCGAAGCAACAGTGAGAGTCGATTGTCTGTGGCAAGCTCCACAGGGAGCAATGGAGATCTTAAGGGGGAGTTGGGCAGGACTTCGGATAAGAGAAGCTCGCATCTCAGACATGAGGTCGGAACTCGAGAAAATGCCGATGGGTATGTGAAACTTTAAGACGATGGCGTAGTGCACCTCCATCTTTTTCAACGTGTGGAGTAGACTCAGACTCGTTCTTTCTGCTAGCTTGTCTTTGATTGAAGACTCGGAGCATCACGGTGAGTATCGACGACATCGATGCAGCGGAAAAGGCGTTCTTGTTTGACTTTGGACAAATGTCAGATATTCGAACATTGTCAGAACTGACCGCGCGGTTTGCAAGGTATGCATTTTTGGAGAGCCGTCGTCAGAGTGTATGGCTTATCACTTTCTGCAGCTTGATCATTCCGGGTGACATCGCAGATGCCGATCAACAAGTGCTACAGACTAGAATTGAGGAACTTCAAACATTACAGCAAGATGTCCTGGCGCATATTGATACAAATGATCTTGAAACAGACGAAAAGGCTCGAACACTACTGGAAGCCATCGTGGAGGAGATCGGCGTATATGGAGAATTTTTGGAATCGAGTGGTATGGTCTCATCAGGTGCGCACGCACGCGTATTGTACTCATCCGAGAAATGCAGAGAGTGCATCTGGTCTCGGCATTTTGGCGAAGAACGGGGAAGAAACAGATGATGTCATCAGCTATGGGAGCTCCGCACAGACCCCCGATGATATGCGATCCTCTGGTTCACAGACATTCGAAGTACGTAAAATGCAAAACATATTATGGTATTAGTACTTAGGCTGCAGTATCGCTTATCGTACTACCCTATAATTCTAGGATAGTACATCGGATGCTTGTTCTGATGTTAGTGGTTTGGCAAGTCCTCCTGTACAATCCCCAGCTACCCAACCACCTCGCCCGTTATCACATTTCCGACGAATTTCAACCTCCACAGTTGCCTCTGGTGCATCTTTATCATCTTCCACAATCCCCTCCACTGCAGCCATGTCAGCAAGTAATCTAAGTGTGCTTGCTGGGCAGACGGTTCCACCTGGACCAAAGGATGTTCTGCGATGGACTTCGTTGCAAAAGTTATCGATGCAACTCATGTCAGGTGCCATGAGGCAAAAAGTTGGCGTTCCAACCGTCTTGTCTATTTCAGGAGGTATCCTGATTGGCACATCCTGGTCGATGATTCTTGTTTACGACTTTGCGCAAGTCTTGAAGACGATTCTTGGGGATCCTGCCGATGGTGAATAATGTACCGATGCGGACATTAGAATGTCGGCGTACGGCTGACTCCATTTTCATTTTAACGTAGCAAGTAATCCAGGGCCCGTAACAGCCGTTGCTCTTGCACCGGATCATAATCAGCTGGCTTGTGGTTACGCACACGGATTAATTCGTGTATGGGACATTCAGAGACGTGCAATCGTCAAGTCTATCATTCCTATTGGCGTCCAGCAAGAGGCGAAATCGAAGAAAGATGGACATGCACAAGGTGCGGCCATCATTCACCTTGCTTTCATCGGAACCAAAGGAGCGTTCGTATCGGGTGACAACCAGGTTTGGCAATACCCACTTTGGGTTGCTTTTGTTGGCATACAGCGTGTGACTGGAATATTGTATCAACCTGCAGGGCTCCGCTTTCTACCATGCATCATCGAAGGGACTCGTCATGAGCACTCAAGTATCCACACGTATTCACCCGAGCAGCTCCAACCCAGCCGTATCGACAACCCTCTATGCATTGTCTGCCCTCCCCCGTGTGTCAGGTCATTTACGATACCCAGGCGATCATTTGGACCTGATAGCCCTCAGCACTCCGTACAAGGTACATGCCCTGTTTCTCACCCTGCCCTCCATGAATGAAAAAACGTGGCCTAACTTGATGAATAGATGGCCATCATCAGTTTGAAGCCGGCACCGCAAACGCAGTTCAGATTGTCATGGACGCGAGGATCTACCGTCACCAACCCGTCTGCGCTCGCATGCTCGATTTCGTGTCTCGCATGGTGTCCTCCGTCTAAGCAGGATAAACATGGTGGGTGGAATAAATGCCTGACTCGGTATGGTGACTTTACCATCGTCGATGACTCTGAAACTTACCCAGGATTACGCTCATCACATTCCGTATGTCCGGAATTTCATATAATCAGGAAAGATTCCAGTCCTCAGCAATCCCCTGCTCGCTTGTTCGTTCGGCAAACAGCTACGAATCATTCGCGTATCCTGGGTATCTACCGCAAAGCGGAGCAAGCGAGACTCGGTCAACGTACAGTCGAACGCAGTGGACTACTCCGTCCAAGGAAGCTGGGTCGCAAATGATGATATAGTTGCTCTCCAGTGGATGGACGATAAGGTAGATTGTTGTCACCAATCGTCCCTTATGGATCCATGAGACGCTAACTGATTGGTATCGTAGCTACTGTTATGTCTAACTAGTCTGCAAGAGCTAATCCTTTTCGACGCTACAATCATGAGAGAGATAGAGCGATCTGATGTCAGCATGCGACAGATCATCTCCTCAGATTACTATACGCGTAGTTTACAATCGTTGCGCGTGACACCAGCAATGGCATACCATCAAAGCATTCGTTCATATAAAGGAAGATTGTTTGTTTTGGTAAGGCAATTTGCCGCTACTGGTAAATTACTTGACATTTATTTGGCTTTCCTCCTGCCAGGGTCAGCGAGAGCTTACAGTAGCTAGCAGGCTGTCCTGGACGGATCGCCTCAAAGCACTTGTAGTATCTGGCAATTTTCAGGAAGCTATAGCAATGGGTCTTACTTTCTATTATGGCAGCGCAAAGCGCGCGGTAATCGGATTGCCACCAGATGATGAGATGCGACGTACTATGGTCGGTGACCATCTTACAGACCTGCTCTTGTCTTTTATCAACATGTCATTGACAAGCTATGACGCAAGCGACCAAAAACTTCTTGAGGGAGAGGATATTTCCGTGTTTCGCCAACTGGCGGCTACGGCCTTTGATACGTGTTTAGCTATTGGCCGTGATGATCTTCTCTTCGGCGACATCTACGAAAACTTCGGTGACAAGAATCTTCGAGTAGTTTTCTTCGAGCTCCTGGAGGCGTATGTGTTGGATGAGCGGATTACCACCTTCAGTAACCCGGTGATTGTCCAGGAATTTATTGCATTCTATGAGATGCATGGGTGGTTGGACCGACTTGAGCAAGTGATCTTGCACCTTGACCCCATGGTGCTGGATGTACATCACACTGTGGGCCTCTGTCTCAAGTACGGATTATACAGCGGTTTGCTCTACGTCTATAACCGTGTTGGCGATTTTGTGACACCTATTATCGAGCTCCTTCACCTATTGGAGTTGCACGGGAAAGCGAGAAACGACAAAGGGCACTCAAATGGCAACGGGTCAGCGCTGTCTACATCCATAGCCCATTCTCCGGAGGATGCGGTCTACACGTTGTACGTGTACCTGGCTTATATCCTTACCGGGAAAGCCTTTCCCGTTGGACATCTCGACGAGAAGGAAGCTGTGGCGGCCAGGGAGGATGTCTTCAGCTTCCTGTTTTCACCTTTTCATGCGATCTGGCCTCCTGGCACCGGGGCCTGCAAACTCGGGCGAGAACCATATCCATACATTCATTTGCTATTAAGTTATGATCCTCGAGAATTCCTGAAAGCTCTCGGGGCCATTGTTGCGGATGACGCATTGCAAAACAAAGATCTTAAAATTAGGCCAAATGTCTTTGTAGCCGACGAAGATGGCATGGGCCGATTTGCTGATAGGTACGAAATCAGCCGACAGTTCATTTTGAACGCCTTAATTTCGGCGGTAGAGGGAAGCAGTCCACCGAGCGTAGATATTCTGTCGCTGCAACATGGAGAGTCAATTTACGAGAATAACGTGCTGGATCCTCGCGACGTTACCCTTTGCTTCTGTTTTGTGGCACGCATATATGCAAACTATCGCAGCACTGTTTCCCTACAGAAGGATGTGCTACGAAGGGTCCTTTTGTGCTTGATGACATCACCAGACAGTACAACGCGTGAGGAGAGACAGCGGGCCATTGTGGGCGTGCTACTGACCGGTTTTGAGCCAAGCAACGCCGAACAGGATAAATGGCTGGACCTATACCAGCAAGGCGGTTTGTGGCGGCCCTACGAATTGGCAGCTCGCAAGCTCCAGCGCTACGAGCTCGTAATTTTGTCTTATTTAAATGACCCTACGCGCCAGGAGCAGGGCTTTCACGCGATTTACGAACTGCTGGAGAGTGAAGCGCTAGCACCTCGACAGTCTTTGGCGGTCAAACAGAGTGTATTGCAAAATGTCGTACAACTCACGCATATAGATGAAGTGGCAACCACGGATCTTATGTCAACATTTTGGCCAACAGAGCATAAAGCCGTTATTCGCACCCTTTCCCCGAATGCGGACGACTTGTTCACCTATCTGAGAGGGCTTCTCGATGCCGAGTGGGCTCTATCTCTTCGAAAGACAGCCGACCGTCCTCGTCGGCGAAGACCAAAACAGAGTACATCTACTACAGACCTTGGGGAAGAAGTTTATGAGAAGTATATTGAACTCCTATGTATACGTGAGCCCCGGGAGGTGAAAAGATATCTTGATAGGCTTAGCGTGGATCACACTGGATACCCGTATGCATTTGATCGAGTACTGGCTCTATGTAAGCAACACAATGTCCTTGATGCCGCCGTCTGGATTCTGGAAAAGAGCGGGAATTTGGAAGGTGCCCTGCGGCTGATAATGGAAGGCGTACAGGTTGCTGTTGAAATTATTACCAACACAGGGAACAGGTCAGGAGAAACATCTGGGGAGATTACATCCCTGAATGCACTTGAGCACATCAAACGCCGGATAGACATGGCCTTGGATCTTTGTATGAGAAGCTCGGGAAGACTTGGCAAAGACGAGTGTGAATCTCTTTGGTTTAGTCTGCTGGATGCCATAGTTGAGCCACAGAAGGTAACAGCGCCTCCTTCTCCTACACGACCGGAAGGTGGACCCCTCAGTGCAACCTTCGACGATGAGAGAGAGCCGAAGGTGGTTGAACTGTATGATTGCCTCAAGAACAGTGCCCGCACACTACTTTACGCCATGGTTGGATATGTGCCATTCCACTCAATCCTCTACCGAATTGTCCAGTCACAACGTCGAGCATCCTTTGGCGAGCATAGAGAGATTATCTTTTCCATGCTTGATTCTTACAGCTACGAACGAGAACTTCTTCAAGCCACAAACCGCATATTGTCGATCGACGTACACGGCTCACAAGCTCGCAGCACCTCACTACGACGAAAAGCCTTGCGACCTTTTAAAGGACAATGCGGTGTATGCAAACGGATGCTTCACATACGGGCCATGTCTGACTTGCAAAAGATAAACAAAATTGCTGTGATGAAATGTGGACATGCTTTCCATGCGACGTGTTTGCAGACTGACATGGAGCGGATTGCGAGCATGGAGGGATGGGAAACTGCTGGTGACGCGATTTCTGGGTCGGGATGGTGTGTAATTTGTGCAAAGAACAGGGATAGGGCCAAGGCGGCCGCAAAAAAGTTAACCACTAGTTCGGCTGAGAGAACGAAGGAAAAAGGAAAAGATAAGATGGTGTGGCTCTGTCTTTGCATGTGTTACTGCCTTCTGTCAGATGACATTGACTATATGTTCATTTCCAGGCTGTTGTGGCGGACGCAGAGGAGCCACCAGATACACAGCAAAAGCAACAAGTGCAACGAGCAAACGCCGAACTCTTCGTTCGGCTCTCGTCCCACATGCCTACAGTATGTACTACCTCGTACTTGACAGAGAATGCAATTTTGCCAAACCGCAGAGGTGATAACCATTTGTTACAGAATGAAATATATAGGCTCCTCCATCCACACCGCGCCAGCAATGTTGAGGATATGATTAACATGAACGACGACGTCATCGACCTTGGAGAGTCGCCATACGACTCGGTGTATGGGGATGGTCAATCTGCTTACCGGCGAGGATCAGAGTTCCCATCGCACCAGATTCAACATATACCGTCAAGCATTGTCAAAACCCCACATAAATATTTCTTGAGTCTCGCCCCACCTTCAATGCCTCCTTCGATAGACTCTGTTGACTGAGTTGAGGATTGGGAATTCTGTGTACCTAGGGATGTGCGCTTTTCTATTTTAGTTTTTTCTTCCTGTGGCTTTTGATAAAATAGTGAAAACGAAGGCTGTTTGTCTCTTTCTTTGGACTGGAGTGCAATGTGGAATGAACGGTCGAGTGTGCGCCAAGCACACTAATTTATGCTGGCGCTACAAAAGTAAAAGATTGCACAGGGCAATCGCACAAACTCTCATTGGCATCTTCAGAGCAATCTTCAGCATTTGATCATTACATCATGGTATCAAACTCTATCACGAAGCAAAGACGGCCAAATCCTTTAGTGTTTCCCGTACGGCCCCTCCAACTTGTCCACCTGATCGCTTTAGTTCCTCCAAGGTTGTAGATATCTCGATGAACCCATGACGACATGCTCTGCATCGTTGAATTCTGTCAAAGAGGCAAAAGATGAGCTTGTATTGCGGCGATTTCCAATCAAAAGGACCGGTCTTACCGATCTTCTCTGCTGATATCGACACCTGGAGAGGACAGATTATCTGCATTCATGGTTGATATGATAACATGAGAGAAGCTCTTCACAAGAAGTCGTATCGTTGCGCAGGCCGTGACGATAAAACTATGGTTGGATGAATTCAGTTCGCAAGATACCTAGTTCTGATGCGAATCAATTCAAGTGATCACATACTCTTCATACATCTCAAACAGCAACTCGTTCAACACGGGAAGAAGCAAAATCGCAACGTCCAGCGTCAACAATTTCGGTTTTAAATTGATGATTCTCAATAAATCGATGCATACGCTCGAATCTTTGAGTTCGATCATTGTTTCTATGGCCTGTCGGATGTTGGTTTCGTCCCACGTTTGTCGGATGCACCGAATACTGGTTAAGCGGGAGTTGAGAATGGAAGTGATGGAAGCGTGCCGGAACATCAGGGAATCTATAATGTCGTTATCGGATGTCGGTGGAGGAGCTCCAGGAGAAGATGGGGAGAGAGGAAGAGGTTGGGCGCGTCGTTGAGCATTCTGGTATGCCCAAATGGGTGAGATTTGTGCAGGTATACACACGACCCTTGCAAAGTACATGTACCTGTAAGAATTTTGCCACATCCAAATTGAGTAATCTCTGGCCATTCCCAGACGGCACAAAGGAGTTTGGGCCGCGTGAGGCGTGTGTGTGAAGTTGTTGAGCAAATTGTTCGTCAGCACTTCGAGAGAATCCCGGAGCTGTCGCTGGCCTATATCCAGCATCTTCTGGGAAATTCAGTCGGTCCAGCGAAGTAGACATGGACCGTCCGTACGGTGGCGTGTCACTTGGTTCTGGTTTCATGTAGGGTGATGACATCGATTTAGGAATACCATACGGTGGTGTACGCTGGGTACCTTTTGTATGCAAACGTCAATAACGTTTCCACGCGCACTCTGCAACAGAAAAACGTCACAAACCAGCATTGTTTGGCTGTTGGGATGGGGGCGGGGTATGGTGTCGCTCCGCAAACTCCTGTCGTTGTGCCGCTGATAGTTTATTAAAACCTTATCCTGCATGTTCTCGATAGTAAATCATACCCACCAATTTTTGAGACAATGTCATCCTGAATTGTTGTTTGAGACCCTCGTAGTGATGATTCTATTGGAGCACTCTGATCCTCGCTAATGTACAGTCGGCCTACGGATGATTAAAGGTTGATCCCGATGATTTGACGCAATGGGCTTATCATATCGCAAAAACCTTACCAAGATCGAGCTCCGCGCTGTCGATGTTACTACGATTTGCTCCACCATACGGACTCTCAGGACCTTGTGTGAACCCTGCGGGTGCAGCCAAGTCCGGCGGTCGTCGGTCCGTTGGGCTTAGATGCGGCTGAGCAAGTTCGTGTCAGATGCCAATCCGATATGTGATTTGATGCCCCGCCACTTACCGTTATATCCACCCCCCACACGCTCACGAAATTTTGATCCAGAGCACCACCTAGCACCTTCCCCTCCTCCAAGAGAATTCTCATGTCCGCAATGTTGGGCCAGCTAACCGAGATAACGTCGTGGCATACAGCGGGTTCCCATGTCCATATTTGCAGAGAATCAGTATATGCAGCATACACTTCATGTCCTTCCGGATCAAATTGCAATGCTTGCGGCCGGCCGGTGCTTGCGGGGGTGGCGGATATACACTCAAATGTTTGAAGATCGTAAAACCTCAAGACATTATCGGCGCCTGCTGATACCATTAAAAATTCGGAAGGGTTAAAAGCAAGTGCTGTTATAGCGCCTGTATGATCGGAATATGAATGTAAAAGTTTCCCGGCGGTCATGTCCCATATCTAGATGTAAGGCATTTTCAACACCATTACAGTACAAACCAAGCGGAAAAGTTCCCTCTAATACCGTACCTTTACTGTTGCATCACTGCCTCCTGTTGCAATCCATCGCCCATCAGGTGTTATACGAAGAATATTGACTGCGTTTTGATGACCGTGGTATGTCTGAATACATCCCTTCCGCCGAACGTCCCATATCTTAACCGATGAATCAGAAGAGCCGGAAGCAAAGAACTCGCCAAAGGGGTGAAATTCAACGCATCGGGCTGCAGACTTGTGGCCAGCTAAAGTTCGTATTACTGTTACGCGAACAAACATACCGATGAGATACCGATGAGATGAACAACAGTATTAGTCGTGCTTACTGTAGCTTAGAACGTACCTTTTGCGTGTTCCAGGTCCCAGAGCTTGATCGTTCCAGAAGATGACCCTGCTACCACGATCTCCTCTGGCCAATCTAATGTAACACATTCTATTGCACTTGCGTGCCCGCTAAGACTCTGAAAGCAATAAGAGAAAACTTATCAGCATTCTCTTTCAATGCACACGCTGTGTGGAGGCAAACAAGATGCTTGCCACACTGTTTACGCAGTAATTCCTCAACACTTACCAATATCGGTGCTGTTTTCCCAATAGCCCACAAGTTCACTTTTCGATCCTCTCCGCCCGTAACCATCACCCGCCCCGACTTTGGTCCTATTCGCAAGCATGTTCCGTTCGCATTGTGTGCGACAAAATCATCTACGCATGCCCATGACCGTGTTAGCTTGTCGACGACTATCTGGCGCAAGTTTTGAACGATACAACATACAGATCTTGGACGCCCTGGTATCGTTGTTCATTTTTCACGCTGCTCACGCAAATAGCCCCTCTACAAATCCCCCGACGCTTATTCCTTCTCTACAGAGAAAGTTCTATCTGCTCCTGCAAGGTAGCTGGTATGATATTTGCGTCGTGACAAGGCTGAGAGACTCGGCTGAGAGAATTTCAGTGCGAATGTTGAAAACGGCCCGCGATAGGGCACGCAGTTCGAGCTGACAGCAATATAGGTGTCCTAGATTACAAGGAGGCCTCGTTTAGGTGGAATATCTAGGATAACTGTTCAATTCTAAAAGGTAATCGTTTCTTGGCGATGTTTGGTGCGAAAGCCCACGGTGCTTTGGGCATGGCCTATTTAGGTTCAAATTACAAGCATTCAGCGCGAACGAGTCTGAGTCAGCGTCGCTCTTTGGGCTCTCCTTCCTTCCGTTCCAACAAACGTCTTGGTTTTCTTTCTTTTTGCGCTCTCGGGCGGCCTCTTCTTTTCCGTCGTCCTCCACAAATGGAATGCGGTACATGCGCTTCAACGCATAGGAAATTTTGGTGCTCCAGCTGCATAAGTGAAAGGCAATTGCTTCGCTATAAACTCCACTCTTTTATTGTTGCTCACTCGTCTATTTATCAGACTTCAAAATCACGTATCCAACTACACTGTACTCGCCGTTGAGCGGGATTCTCTGGCAGAGCGCATTCATACAATCCTTGGCTCTAACCGACCACCTACTGGAATATCACCAGCCGAGGAGGCAGAGGCAGCAAAGGGACGTATAAAAGCAGTAGAGAGTTCCATTGCCGCTGCGAGGGAAGCAGTTCAGAAAGGCAAGCTTGTGCATGTCTACATGAGACAGAATATCTCCGAACGTTACGAGTTTATTGAAGAAAATCACCTCTAGGTAGAGAAGAGCTCAAGACTGTACGCCGTACTATCAATCAGCGTCGTCAGATTCTAGCGCAAGCACACGCAACGTTAGAACACGAGCGGTTACGAAGTATCGGGAATATCCGACAGGAAGTGGACCATGGACGGGGAAAGTATCGGCAAGCGGCCGAAGTGCTGATGCAGTCCCGTCGGCTGTTGGTACGAGAAGTTGTGTCCATATTTCGGTTGAGAAAGGTCCAACGTAAACAAGGCAAAGAAGCGATTGGTGGAGGTGTGATGAGCTCTGCAATCTCTACATATTCTGTTCGTAATGGAACATCATCATCATTGGTTTCATCGGGGGTGACCACGACACAATCTCTACCCATCGCACGGACCTCTACTAGTGCGTTGCTCTCTTCTTCACCCGACGTGCCTGAGTATCGTATTATTAATGTTGGATTTCCGATATTCGGGTATTCTCTGAGTGAGTGAGTGACCCGAGATGCTAATCGCCGTGCTGCATAGCGTCTCTATTCACACAACCTGCACAGGCTCCCCGCATGAAAGATTCAATGCTGGACTCGGTTACGTTATCCACATGACCATACTGCTTTCCCACTACCTTCATGTGACGCTGCCGTTCCAAATCGTCAATAAAGGTGCTCGATCTTTTGCGCAAGCAGCCTATGTGGATTCTTCGTCCGAATTCAGGTTGGAGGACATGTAAATATGCTTTTAATCGCATGCTCCGTAGCACTAATTGCACTTATTTCTACAGTCACTTGCCGTTGTACCTTTCCGATAATAATGTTGAAGCGTTCACTGTGGGACTCTCAATGCTTAACTATAATATTGCCTACTTGTGTTATACCCAGGGAGTCGATATTCCAATTTATCAAGTACACAATACGCTTGAGAACCTGGCATTGTGCTGTCAAGCGCCAGATCTGGGCTGGTGTGTTCATTCATGCCTAGAAATTGGTCCGAAATGAATTACTCAATGATTGTCTTTTTTAGTGACGTCAGCCGTCCTCGCCGGGACAGTCCTCACGGCCCTCAGTCCACTACAGCGTCGTACCCATCTCCACGGGAACCATTCTCCCTGGACTTTCAAAAAGTGGTACGGCTACACATTGCAATAAGGACACGGAGATGGGTGGTGAGCGAGATCGCCGCGTTAAGAAATGATGGTGAGCCAAAGTCAGAATATACGATATCTCCGTCCTTGAGACAGATTTTGGAGGAAAATTCCGAAGATGAGGATGAAACTGTATCTGGATGGCATTTAGTAGATGAACCACTGCCGCCGCATGTATGATAAATGTATGTAGATATATGTTGTGTTGTATATAACGTTAAATCGGAAGAGGACGTACGATAAGTCTTTCACCATATATGCCTCTATTTACAAGCGGTCCTTCTCGGACACTTGTGCCCATTCCCACATGAGTATCATAGTATTCTAAGCATAATTTTTGCTTCGCTGGCCAGCAAAGTTCCCTTCAAAAAAGTCCGCCAAAAAGTCAGAATATTTCCCTCTTCCGTTGTCGTCCTCGAAAGGTCGGACTTTCCGCTCGGGCTGCTCGTACGTGTTGTTTGGGAAGAACCGCTGGACATGGTCATCTTGCTTCCATTGTTCAAGAGTCTCAGTGAGCTCATTTCGGCCTTTGAAGATGAGGATATCAATGACTTGTTGGTTCTCGATGGAGCGATTTGCTTCGAATTCTCGGCGGAACCTTTGGCGAACCTGGTGTCGAAGTAAAGAGTCAGACCTGTATTATACTGCAGAAGGACTACACCAGCCATTGGTTGTGCTTTTTGCTGTTCATTCCGGGCCTTAATCCTGGTTCCTATATACTACCTTACCTTCCACACGGGATACGGCAGCCTGTACATTTCTACAATGTCAGGAGCCGCTCGGACGCAGTCTCTGAACAGCTGAAGCACGCGCTTCCGCTGTTCCTGGGCATTCCGAGAGATGATGGTAGGAAGCGGTTTAGTTAGAGTCATGGTTTGGGTATGTTGCGGTGCGGTATTGGTCCAAATCGCAATCCAAACGCAACTCGCCTTGGTGAAAGTTGAGTCTGCCCCCAAGGCAGTCATGTGACTGGAATCATGTGATCGATCGGTAGCCACATACGCCACTTTCAAGCGCAGATCAATGAGCGCTGATAAAATAGTTGATCCATTGACAGATTCGTTCAAGTAGTGTTTGATCTGCAGTAAGCGCACGATATCTGTATGGGCAAGGCGCAAAGTAACTCAGCGGTCTTTTTACGAAGAACAAGACAAGTACTTGTATACTGGGTTTGGAACAACCCAACCTGGCTCCGGCATACTCTGTGTGTCCACCTTGTGTTTAAGCAAGACTATCCTCAATCTCAAGCCCCCATATTTCTCTGGTAATTCAAAGACTACATTCTAGAAGAGCCGTTGCACCTCAAAATAAGAGCTCAAAATGCGACTACTCTTTAACATTGGAGATTGGAGATTGATTGCCCATGCAATAATACGGCCACGTGCATTGGTGCTAAAGAACCCCGGCCACAAAGGCACCATTTATCCATAAGACTGTTTAAATCATTTGTAAACGAGAAATCAACGGCCACCTTCTACAGCAGTGCTGTTTTGGACAGCTCATACCTTGTATTGATTCGTGGTTGAAAAACAGAAAGATGCCAGAATCCGTTGATCCTCACCTTCCCCCAATGCTCATCTGGCACCATCATACTCTGCAATCCTAAAGCATCGTTAAAGCCAATGCTGAATTCCTTTTGTGAAGATTGCAAACAAAACGCCTGTCAACTTACCCTCCTCGTGACTCTGTTGGGGGGGCGTGTTGACGCGTGACTTGCAGCAAATGGCGCTTGGCACGTCATGCACGACTTACTCTCCTGTCGACTTGCCCATTTCCTACGGTCAAAACCCAGGTTTCCATTGCGCATTCTCTTACACAACACACAAGGCATTTGTCCAAGTATTTTTGTTGAAAACGCAACTGTTGCTACAGGATAATTGGGCAACCGCATTATTTGTTCCCACGCCGCCACAACTTGCTTTGTTTGGCTCGTCCTGGGCCAAGCGTCTTACGGTCTTCAGTTTTTACCCAAGGTAGCCTTCTTCCTTCCCTTTTTCTTCTCTTTGGCTTTGTTTGCCCACACTCCAACAGTGCGTCGTTGGTCGGTATCCAGACCACCCGCTTTTGCTTTCCCTATAACCCGACAATTTCCGACCGTCTCCATACCATGGACAAGATGGACTTGACTCTCCCCTTTGGGCCAGACAACCACCAGACCCGCACCTGGAAGCTTGATGAAAGCCGCAAGGAACAGGCCCGATCGCTTGCTTCCCGTCTTGGAATTACTTACGCTCCCGGAACTGCTCCACCTTTACCGTCCGCATCTACTCATCCCGAGCTCTACGAACTCGCTACAACAGCACTCAAAGAGGCAGGAGGTCCACAATTCATTAACCCCGATCACATTACCGCCCGAAAAATGCATGTTACCCCGAATTCTGACGAGAGCATCTACCTCAACATCCTGGGAGGTCTCGCTGGATACCTGATTTTCGATCTACCAGATGGTCAAGGCGGGTTTGTTCTCATTGATCCAAAGAGGGAACGAACCACCGCCTGGCATCCGGAAAGGTCGACACGAGAGGCCGCATGTGTGTGTGGAAGTTTGGTGCTGCGGGAGGCCAAGAGGAAAGGTCTTGCAGAAGTGGATGATTTGGCAAATGCGTTGAGCTCCATGGCAATTGATCCCGAGACGGGATTGATGAAGAATTTGGAGGAGGCCTTTGGACACATTGATATTAATTCAGTTACTAACAAGGTGAGAACCCAATGACCGGACGCTAAGCGGGGTCGCAAGTTATATTTACATTTTATTGGTTCGTTCTATAGGAGCCAGATATAGAAAGCATTACACTTACTCAAGTCGATTTGCCCAGCGTGTCTTCCACCCCGAGCTGGTTGAGCTATCCACATGCTCCCGGTGCAGCGGAAACAAGGGGACACAGGTTATCAAATCCATGGTAGACAAATCATTTCACTGGTTATCTTGGTACGTTACATGATGACGGCTGCTCAAGAATCCAATATCAACATTTTCGTTCACAGATCGTACGAAAGTTCATCGTTAGTCAAGTCATGTTTCTTGTTATTCTCAAAATCGAACCGCAGCGAAGGGGGTATGGGAGGATTGAGGACATTGTGCGGGAACATTTGTCCTTGTGCTGGCGTGCAGCGACGTGCATTATTGGTGGTGTCAAGGGCTCGTGCAAAAGGGTACATCTCGTGAAGGCGCCCTTGACGTTGTGCAGGGATCTTTTATTTTTTTTTCTTCTGTGCGCGAATGGTTTATTGGTAATATAACAGGCTGGACTCTAGCATTCATTCTGACCATTTCAACAAGTATAAGAAAACAGTATTATTATTTACATGGACATCACAAGTTGAAAAAGCGCAACCATCTGCAAAAGTCGTTGACATCCGCATCTATTGGTCCTCTCTCAATTTATGATCTCTAAGACCTCTCCAATGCCTTCCTCTCCTCCTCTGCGGCGACCAATTCAGGATCCTTTCCTTGGTTGAAATACGCCTTAACAGCTAAATAATCACAATAACCGTCAGTATGCGTCCTATTGGCAACCGTGAGAGACTAGAAGCGACCTACCTGGCTTCTTCTCCTCCCACTTTTGTTCCACCTCCAGCTTAGCTTCTTCGACAGACTCTTGAACTTTCTGTGCAGTATCTACCGCAGCGAGTTTTGCTGCTGTTGAGGCGTGAGCCGAGGCTTCCGCTGCGTGTTGCGCTGCCACCTTCGCTTCGACTTTGGCGGTGTTAAGTTCCGTCTTGGGCGTTTGGTAGCTGGCCATGGTGCTATTGTTTGGATTTGATATTTGCTTGTATGTATTCTTGAAAAGTCGAGGGCTGATTAAAATCGGGGGGGCAGGGGAACCCTTGGACGGTCCTTTTAAAAGCTGCTCGGAGGAATGACGTGGATCGAATACGTAATGCCGTGCATGACGTCAGGTCAAGGAATCGCGTGAGTGGCACAGCGCATGTCAAGCCACACCATGGTCCGACCAATACAATAGTGCATTCACAAGCAGCATTTATTTAAAGGACAAGTTTCTATGAAGGCTACTTTAAAGCTTCACGAACATCCATCAATGCTTTTCCTAACAAATTCAACCCCCAAGACCTCCTATCAGCTCCTGCCGCAGCCCTAGCCGTATACCCGATTCCCCAAATTCTGTCATACGGACTTGCTTCCACAATCTCCTTGCTCTTAGTGCTAAGCAATATTTCTTTCATTCCAGGATTTTGCCCAAATTTCAGCATATTGCCATTAAAAACGATGCGATATCTGTGGGCGGCCCATTCGGATTGAACAAAGTTCCTGACACGCTGTCCGAGCGCTTTGACTTTTACTGGACGTGTTTCCTGAAGGATTTGCTCGGCAATGACCTGGTCGTTGAATAGAACTGCTTTATGGTACATCATGTAGTGTTCGGCTGTTGGGAACGTGATGCCATCTTCGGTAAAGGGGGAAGGGGCCCATTGGGAAAAGATTCCATGGGGACGCTCAGAGGTCTTCCAAAAGTATACTGCGCTCATTGTTTGTCAATTGATTGTTTTCTAGTAATAAAATGTAGATTGTTGAAGAGACAAGGTGTCTATTGCCCTCCCTTAAATGCACTTTTATTTAGAAAATGTCCAACACTTATCGGATATTTTAGTGTACATTGGCGTGTGACTCGCCCACCACTGTGTGTCAAAGCTGAATTCATTCGTCGGCAACTCTTGAACGCGAATGTGGCACAGTCAAACAGTTGGTGGGCAAGTTGCTTATCCAGAATCAAAGTGACGTTGCCACTTGTGTTTATCCTTTGCCAGAGCCTGTTGGTTGGCACATTACTTGGAGGTATTCCCATACGCCATAATGCAATCTGATGTTGTGGACCCATTTAAACTTGAGATATATTCTGACATAGAGGACAAAAGCCGCTTGTCATAGAAGAAGAAGAAAAAAAACAATGCTCGTATGGTAGATGCTACGTGCTGGGTACAAAGCACATATAATCTCTCATAGAGGAATCGCCACTGCAATGGCGGTCATAACCACCCCCGCTATAACAGCCCACACACAGATCCACAGCGTCATCTTCGCTTGCCTACTCAACACCAATGGCTCCTCAACAATTTGGATGACGACCTTACTCCTAGTAGGCAACTGAGATTTGTCAGGTGAGGGCTGTTTGAGTCTTTTGAAGAATCCCCGTTTGGCGTCTGGGTCAACTTCGGTGACAAGTATTTCTTTTTTGCGAGCTGCCATTCGAAGGGGACACATTTTACTGTAGACGGCAACGTAGAGGAGACCTGCTGTTGCAAAGAGGGGGAACGCAGAGACGCGAGACCAGCGCGTCACATTGTTGTGAATCTAAACGTCGGGAGCGAGTTAGGAAAAGGTATATGGCTGGACGATGGATACAGTAGCAGTCGCAAACGTACCAGCAGAGCCACTAATAGTACACCCAACAACGACGTCAAAGATGCTGCCACAGTCCGTGAAATCCTTGCAGGCGTCTGCACATTTTGGGCAGCATAATGCATAAATGCCGGTACACTGGACGTGCCCATGATATCAAGACAGTGCTTGACAACTGGAGCAAATACATCGGGATGTGTAGTACTAGCTGCCTTGTCGCAAATAGATTTGCGCATGGCAGAAGTGATGTTGAGCTCTTTCGATGCCCCAGTTGTGAAAAAGAGTTGAATGGCGGCATTGATCTCTGTCCGAAACGGTTGTCTTTTAGCATCCTCTGTACATGTCAGCACGACTTTTTCAGGGGGTGGACACCCGAAAGGCAGCCATTCCGCAGACGCTGTCGCTCCTGTAGGAGGACCATCGGCAGTGAGGATAGAACTTTTGAGTGGCGCCGCTCCAACACCGACCCCATTTTGGCTCGTTGAGAAAAGTGCTTTTACGAGATTATCTCCGGTGTGAGCGGTATCTGCTTCATTTTCAGCGCTGAAAACAGGGGCGGGTGAGAGCGCACGTTCTGACTCTGGAAGAGCCATAAATCTGTGGCGGTAGCTGATAAACCACTCGAGAACATCCAGATTTTCTTCTGAAAACTCTTTTTTCTCTACATTACCAAAATGATCATTAGGATTAATGATATACTTAGGTCTGGAATAGGTATCAGGAGCACATACCCAAATATGTTCTAAAATCGGACAATGACAATGGCGTGCATGTCTTCCCTTGCAGTATTCTAACCAGAATACTTTCGTTATGCAACACATTTAGCTGTTGCTTTCTCTTCTTTACGTCAAGCGCCGTTTCGACTCCATCGATGGTCACCGCAGTGTGATTAGCCATCTAGTTGCGGTCGCGATACTCGATAAAGTGAAAAGTTGAAAGCTTGCTTGCTCGTCCAGTTATAGGACATTACCTCGCCAGGTCCTCGGCCCAGCAATAGCAACGATCCCCAAACAAATGTTGCTAAATTTAATCTTTTTTCGTTTAGGTTCTTCGGTTAGTCCCAATCCCAAGGCAGGATGATCGAGATTATCCAGATCGGCGAATGCAACTCCTACGTATTGTCTTCAACCTCTGGTAGTCATATATGGCTGAAAGCGCGGCCCCAACAAATCGCAAGCGCGAAATCACAGTTACGACACCGGGGCTTACATCGTAAACACAGCGGCCCAAATGAGGGTTGCATTTGCAATACCCGATGACTGGTTGTAGATATAACAATAGGAATACAACTTTTTGTTGACCAAACTCATTCTACCGGGTCTCTGGTTTTTAGGCTCCGGGCTCATTTGGATCGTTGAATGTTGAATGAAGGAGGCTTTCCAATGAACCTCCGTTGAGAAAGCTTATCGTTCTGCTGCTTTGCATGCATGCATTCATTTGACGTTGATAATGCTCGTGGAGTCGCTATGGATGGGATCAAGACGGGCAATGGCCGACTCTTGTTGTCGTGCCCTGATGTGAAATACCGCTAGTGCACAGTGTGAAACCTTTCACCCTCCCTGTTGCTGGACGGGACCGCCTGTCAAAGGAGATTAAAATTGGACGTAGAGACGAGACGTAGAGACGGAGCTCACAGCAGCCCGATTCGAGCGTACATACTAAAAACCTTTCTAATAACCAACGGTGATCACCCATGTCCATTTGTGCAGCTTTGCACAGTGATGAACCGGCTCTTACAGATATTAGTGGTCAAATCCTTTCGATTTTCTCTAGTTCTTTGCACTCATGCCACGGGCAGGCATCCGTAGTCTATGAAACTTTCACCGTATATTCAAAGACGGACAGTGACTGCCACGTTCAGGCACTGTCCCCGGTTGGGGCTTTGCGTTTTCTATTCAGGATACCTCGTTCATTGCACCAAAAGCCTTTCAACATCAACAAGGGTCGAGCAAGAGCGACTCCATCATGGCACATCTTGAAGGAGCGGTTGATTGGAGGATTTGCGATCGCGTGTCCCAACGGAGGTGGACGCGTCGCTGGCCTTGCGAATCCCTCCAAGCCCGTGCCCATTTCACACTCTCGCATCCCTTTAACGAACACAGCAAAAAGCCCTACCATGTCGGTCTATCTTCCTCCGTCCGCGCTCCAAAAGTACCTGCTCTTTGTCGGCACACTGGCGTTTTACAACGGTGCGCAATGCTTCTTCCCCAAAATGCGAGTGACAAGTCGGATTTACTCGGAAAAGAAGGGTGAAGGTAGGATCGCTGGCGTTATGGTCAGTCTTTGTTGTGGATCGTCTATAATGCTTGTAATCGAACCAAACTTGGACATTGTAGCGACGGCGTTAATGTCTCGAATGATGGGCCTCTGGACAATTACCTCTGGTCTTGTTCGGGTGTACGCGGCCTGGAATATTCACGACCGAGTGTAGCGTATCCCTTGTGTTTTTTGGTTTCCTTTTTGTAAGCCTAATATGCTCACACTATGACTTTCCTCTAGGCTGTACAATCTGACAATGTACACATTTGGGTTGGCACTATTTTCCTTCACAACTGAGGTCTTTGTCTACAAGACGGCAAAGATTTCCAGCCCTGGAGTGTGGCCTGCCTTGCTCATCTCTCGTAAGTGCTCTTTTTCATTGGATTTTTGCAACACATTTACCGGTTTTACGTCTTGACCACCTTTACATTAGCGATATCATTGGCATGGATGTGGAACTCGTATGCAGATTTTGTTCGTGGATAAAAGATGTGGGCCAAAGGGATGCATTGACAACCTAGTTACAGGTGCAAAGTTCACCGGGAGGCAAAGAGAGCGACCAGTAGATAGATCCTGTAGCCCATCGCACACATTTTCGTTTTAGCCATAGTCTAGATGTCCTTTAGAGACGATGAGTCCAGTCATTCTTTTGTGTCAAAGAACAAACAAAGGTCTTGTTGGAATAAAAGCGACCATCTAGCAAACAATCATCGTCTTGAGGATTCCTTCCGGCAGCGATCGCAGTTTGAAACCTCCAGCCCTTCGTTATCAAAACGGCCCAATCATTTCCAACCACGCTTTCAATGGGCTTTGGGCATCCAAATATGGTCATATGAGCTGCGCACGTGTTTTGGCCAACGAACTGCAGGACTTTCTCCCCTTGTCTTTCACACTGCCGTTTTGGATTTCTTTGCCCCATCCCGTCTTGTGATTTGTGCTAGTAATCGGACGGCTTTTGATCTGCACGCACCATTTCGCAAACTCGTTTAGAGTTTAGTGCACGAACAGCAGGGGGATTCTTAACCTGTCCATTCTTCTTGATCATCCCGTGTTGTCCGTGATTGCAACTTTTCAAACATGGAGGCCGCTTTCGCAAAGACACCTCAAGAGGTGCTCAAGTTTCTAAAGGTTGAAAAAGAGAAAGGGCTGACATCCAAAGAGGCGGAGAAGAGACTAGCCGAGTACGGTTCAAATGGTATACACAGTCTATTACTGCTCGATTCAATCATTTGACATGCGTTGCTCACGTCTCGTTGTTGAAACATTCTACAGAGCTACCAGAAGAGCCCCCAACACCTATTTGGGAACTAATTCTTGAGCAGTTCAAAGACCAGCTCGTGATTATCCTCCTCGTGGCCGCAGCAATCTCTTTTGTTCTCGCGTTTTTGGAAACAGACGAAAAAGAGGCTGGAACGGCCTACGTGGAGCCGATTGTGATTCTGTTGATCTTGATTGCGAATGCGGTAGTTGGTGTTGTTCAGGAGACCAATGCGGAGCGCGCCATTGAAGTGAGTGCCAACCTGTAATCGTTTCGAACACCTTGGATATAGTTTTTAACCGCCAAACCGCCATTTTCAGGCTTTGCAAGAGTACTCACCCGATGAAGCCAAAGTCGTCAGAAATGGATCGATCCAAAAGATCAACGCACGCGATCTCGTTCCTGGAGACATTGTTCATCTGGCCGTCGGGGATAAAATCCCGGCGGATTGTCGCCTGCTTCATATTGTCTCGTCGTCTTTCAAAACCGACCAATCTATTTTGACTGGTGAAGCTGTCTCTGTCAGCAAAGAGCCCAATGTGGTCGTCAAGGATGAGCGAGCGGTAAAGCAGGATCAAATCAACATGCTCTTTTCGGGTACAACAGTCACAATTGGCAAAGCTGTCGCTGTGGTTGTTCAGACCGGTACGGACACTGCCATTGGAGAAATTCATCAGTCAATCACTTCTCAGGTGGATGAGAAGACACCCTTGAAGCAACAGCTCGATGACTTTGGTGACCAACTTGCACGTATTATCTCGATCATTTGTATTTTGGTTTGGGCGATCAACATCCGTCACTTTACGGACGAAGCTTTCCATGGCAGCTGGATCAAAGGGGCCATCTATTACTTCAAAATTGCCGTTGCTCTTGCAGTCGCCGCTATTCCCGAAGGTCTTGCCGTCATTATCACCACTTGCCTTGCTCTTGGTACCAAGAAGATGGCGAATCAGGGCGCAATTGTTCGAAAATTGCGTAGTGTTGAGACCCTTGGTTGTACCAGCGTGATTTGCTCTGACAAAACGGGAACGTTGACAACAAACCAAATGAGCGTTCGTCGATTGATCGTATGGGACTCCCTTGCCGAAGCCTCCGAGTTGCAAGTTGAAGGTACTACTTATGGACCTGAAGGTCGCGTCCTCCATAAGCAGCAGCCAGCAGACCGTAATCTCTTGGCGAAGAACTCTAGCCTGAACGAACTAGCTCATATTTGTGCACTTTGCAACGATTCAAAGATTATTTTCGATGAGGTAAGCTGAAGACGTGGTATCTAGGTGTCAGAACTTTGGCGTCTCACTTGGATTTGCATTTCAGACCTCAGATGCATACCAAAAGATTGGGGAACCGACGGAGGCGGCGTTGAAGACGCTGGTTGAGAAACTTGGAACTGATAACGCCGATATCAATAATCGGATTCCTTTTATTGCGGATACCCATGCTTTGGCTCAGCTCTCGACATCAGAAAAAGTGAAACGTATATCTCAAGTGAGCGACTATATTGAAGCCAAGTACAACCGGGTTGCCACACTGGAATTTTCGCGTGATCGCAAGTCCATGTCTGTGCTCGTCGAGAGACTAGATGGTGCTGCAGGCCTCGGTTCGAGGAGCCCCGCTGCCGGTAGCAAATCTTTGTTCGTCAAGGGTGCTCCCGAGCAGGTTTTGGAACGATGCGCGTACATTCGTCTCTCGAGCACTGGCGAGGCGACTCCCTTGAATAACCAGCTCCGGGAGAAGATTTTGAAAAAGGTTGCTGACTGGGGTGAAGGTGAAGCATTGCGTGTGCTTGCATTTGCAACAGTGGACAAGCCCGCTGTGCCCGAGAAGGTCGACCCCGCCGCATACGCAAGTTACGAAACGAACATGACCTTTGTAGGTCTCGTCGGTATGATGGATCCCCCTCGCCCTGAAGTGCGCGAATCCATTCGCAAGTGTAAAGCTGCGGGTATCCGCGTCATTGTTATCACTGGAGACAATAAAAAGACAGCAGAGTCCATTTGCCGTCAGATTGGTGTCTTTGGGGACAAGGAGGACATTGCACGTAAGAGCTACACTGGTCGCGAGTTTGACGATATGTCCCCGAAGGAACGGATCGAGGCTGTCCACCGTGCCAATCTCTTCTCTCGGACCGAACCTACCCACAAGCAACAGCTCGTTGATCTGCTCAAGGGCGAAGGCTTTATTGTGGCCATGACTGGCGATGGTGTGAACGACGCCCCTGCGCTCAAGAAAGCTGATATTGGTATTGCAATGGGTACTGGAACGGATGTGGCGAAACTTGCTAGTGACATGGTACTCGCTGACGACAACTTTGCGACCATTGTGAGTGCCGTTGAGGAAGGACGCAGTATTTATTCGAACACGAAGCAATTCATTCGGTATTTGATTAGTTCCAATATTGGAGAGGTCGTTAGGTAATGTTATTCCTGTCATGCGAATTCTGCATTCGTAGAGTCTCATTTTATATGTGTACTTCACAGTATCTTCTTGACCGTTATTCTCGGCATGCCTGAGGCCTTGATTCCCGTACAGCTTTTATGGGTCAACCTGGTCACTGATGGTCTTCCGGCCACGGCTCTTGGGTTCAACCCTCCTGATAACGACATCATGCGCCGTCCTCCTCGTGATCCGAAGGAGCCTATTGTGACCAAGTGGTTGTTCGTTCGATACATGGTTGTAGGAACTTATGTTGGCGCTGCGACCATTTTCGGATACGCCTGGTGGTTCATGTTCTACACTGGTGGTCCGCAGATTACGTTTACGCAACTGGTGAGTGCAGGATATGTGGTTCCTTCATGACGGTTTTTCAGATGGACACTCTGACTTATTCTTACCTTCCAGACAAACTTCCACAAATGCAGCACTCTGTTCCCTGAAATTGGCTGCGACATTTTCTACAACAGTTTCTCTCAGCGGGCGACCACCATGTCGTTGAGTATTTTGGTTGTGGTGGAAATGTTCAACGCGATGAACAGTTTATCTGAGAACGAGTCCCTCCTGACTTTCCCGTTGTGGAAGAACTTGTACCTTTGCATTGCCGTTGTTATCTCCATGGCATTGCACTTTATGATTTTGTATGTCCCGTTTTTCTCGGTACGTGTCTTGATGTCGTTATCCTTGAAATCATTTGACGACGTGATGTCTTATCCCGATCCATTGATGCAGACGCTTTTCTCGATCACTCCACTCAACTGGGAAGAGTGGCAAGCCGTGTTGTGGATCTCGGCACCCGTCTTGATTGTGGACGAGGTACTCAAATTCATTAGTAGGAATTTTGTTGTCCCTTCCCCAAGGAAGGTGAAAGCAGAATAAGGGCATTTAGTTGGCGAATGGACTATCTTGGGGAAAATAGATGGGCCAGAGGGGGGGATAAAATGCTGGGGGGGCTCTTTATTTTTTTTTGTGATACAGACGAAGGCCCTTTCTTTTGGACTGAGAAGGTGAATGAAGAGGAAGGGTGGGAGGAAGACGTGTATATTATAGAAGGATTTGAAAAATGAGCGAATAGTCAAACAGATATCTCCTTGACGTTTTCCATGGTGATTTTATGTTGCTCTTGTACAGTTTTGAAGTTCGCTCCACTCAGTCAGCCACTTGGTTCTCGTCGGCCGACGATAACGCTACGGAAACATAAAATCTGTACGTTGCTCATGATCAAGAGCGAGTCTTCCAGAAGCAAGTCTATGAAAGAAATATCTTTGACACCCACTTACCTCTGACGCAGAGATGGATGTGTGATGGGCTTTCTCATTTGCGAACAACATAAGCCGCTGTATTGATAGAGTCCCGAGTGCTCAGTAACTTACATTTCAAGTGTTTAGGCTTGCTCAATGATGGTATCCGTAAAGACTGGGTAAGGGCGCGAGAATACCCTGCATGGGATGGTCAGCGTAAGTATCAATCCTGCTCCCAAAATTATGCGTATTTAGTTTTAATGGCTACTTTTATCGGTTTCTGCTCCTTTATGCGTTTCATAGCCCGACGCTCACTCCGGACACAATCAGCAATCGATGAAAAGCCTCGCGAGCACATGGGAACCATTGCCTACAATTATGATCGTTTCCATAAACCGACACAAAAAGCTGACCCCCTTTTAATAGAATGGGGAAATCAAGATTAGGGACCACGGCAACTTGAGCGGTTGCGAGATATATAGTCTGCACATCTACAAAAAAAGATTTTGTTGTCGGTTCGATGGCAAGTTCCAAGTTGGCGGGTGGATGGGTATTGATGGGTGAATCGTAGATTGCGGGGATCCTGCATTGTCATTCCGTCACATTTCGCCACGAGGGAGATGGAACTTACGGATTGTTATCGACTTGGGCAAGTGGTTATGGGCAAAGTTTGGAGAGTCCGCCACCAAAAGGTTAATCGAACTTGAGGAGTTTGGTCAGCAGAGGTCAGCGGAGTGTCTTTGGGAGGCAACCAGTCACTATTTTATGGTATTGTTCAGAACAAAACGTGACTTTGTTTATGTTGGCAGCTATCTGACAATATACGCTCTCGTACCAGCGACGTTAACCTAGTCAAAGACGATTGGCAGGGCCTATCCGAAACAAACGAATAAATACATTAATACTACGATTGGACAAGATTCTAGAAAGAAAATACAATTTGCAGACTTACCAAGTTCCACTTTTAGTACATCCTTCCCAGCTTTAATCTCACTCAAGGTAGGACACCTGCCCAACCTCAACAACTCACTCACATGACTCACTATCGGATCCTTATTCAAACTAGCACAGCCCACAATGTTGTCCCCGTTTGCATACCACGCAACAAATGCCGTGTCCTCTCCCTTCTGTGACTGCAGGTCACCCTGCACAAAGACAGTCTCAAACGGAGCTGTGCTAACGTATCGCAGGGATTTACCGTACTGCGCCGTCCAAAAGTATGGTGCTTTGTTAAAGGTTTGAAGAGGCTCCGAACGAGACGAGAGCGCAATATTCCGGGCTACGAGACGCCCAGTGTTGCGTGCTACGTTCCAGTGCTCGATACGGGTTGTTTTGGGATTCATGGGAGTTGGGAATCGTGCAATATCGCCCACTGCGTATAGTTCTGGGTGGTTGGGTACGGATAGGTTGGGTGTTACGGTTACCGATGAGTCGTCGTTCAGGAGGACGCTGGGTAGGTAAGTCGTGACGGGGGTCGCACCAATGGCTACAAGTACAACGTCGGCTGGAAGTACTTCACCGGTTGATAAGAGTACTGAGGCGACCTTTGTGGGATCTACGTCTGTTGTGGTCTGCGGTTGAGTTGCTACATCTTCTCAGCTCGACCTTTTGGAGCATTACCTGACGGAGTAAACTTTTTCGGGTTTACATTCGCCTTAAATTTCACTCCGTGATCTTCATGCCATCTTCTGACGAATTTCCCAACTTCTTCGCCTAAAACACTTTTCAAGGGTACCTGGGAACCCGTTGAACACAGTTCAGTATATCATTCTGATAGAAACAAAGCAACTTCGTTACCTCGCTCCTGGCTACGATGGTCACATTGGCCTTGTCATCTTTGGCGAGAACCGATGCCACTTCCATTCCAATGAACCCGGTGCCGATGATCACAACGTTCGGCTTTTCGAAGGATTTGATGGCTGCAGAAAAGGAAATACTCATGGCATTGATACCGATGTGCTGGATGCAGCGAGCTTGTGCTGGGAAAATGCAAGAACAAACCAGAGTGTAAGGCGGTGGCGTCGATGAGAGATCTCAGGTAGTGGACATTTTTGAGGTGGTTGCCTTCGATATCGAGAGTCCGTGGCTGTAAAATCATCACAATAATAAGTACGAGAGAGCTGTAGATACGCAGTTTGCAAAGAATCGGATTAGACCTGCGATCCCGACGCCAAAACCAAGTACTTGTATTCTTGAACCGTCCCATCCGTCAGTTCAACCTTTCTTCCATCAATATTGACGGATTTGACCTCCTAATACCATCCGTACATCAGGACGTTTGGTTAAATATTCCGTGAACGATGAAAATTGACCTTGCTGGTGTTGAGTTCGATTCCCCGCTCCTTATAGAATTCATCGGGCCTCAGTGCAGCCTTGTCGATTGACACATCGAGTGACTTGCTCAGCTTGGTTCTATCGATGGGAAGGTAGGGTTCTTTGCCATAAACAATGATACGACCATCGAAACCGTGCTGCAAGGATATGAAACAGAGGTTCACGAAAGATGCCGGAAACAGTGAGCAAGCCGCCATTTACAAACCTCACGAAGCGCCTCCGCCGCCGCTTGTCCTCCAGATCCATTCCCGATAATCACCGCGGTGTCCGGGCGACGGACAGGTAAACCTCGGTTGGGAGGAGACCGGTTTTTTTTCAGCTCTACTCCAGTAATGTCAATGCTTCGTCATCAGAATCGTAACAAACATCCATCGCGGTAACGTACCTTCAGCTGACACGTTAATTAATATTTGGTCCCCTACCACACGAACATTGAAAGTCTTGAGACAATCCATGGCTGGAGCATCCTCGATATCCCCTGTTTTGATATTAAAGCATGCGCCATGCCAAGGGCTGCAGCATGTGCAGATGATATGGGCAGCAGCTCAGTTGACGGTAATGTCAACGATCGCCATGATTTCACAGCAGTTCCGTACCAAGTCAATCTTCCATCCGACGTTAATACGCCCTTCTCCAAGGGTGCCCCATAATGCGTGCATTTAGCCGATGTAGCATAAATTGTGCCCTGGACTTTTGAAAGAAGGACTTTTTGCTTGTCCCCCACATCTACAGCCTTCCTACACATATGGAACCCGTTCGCCGTCAACAACCAAATGAGAAAGGTTTCCACATGAATAGCCAACCTACATTTGCCCATTTTGCAAGTCATTGGGTGTCGAGACCTCTCCTGGGTTGGTGGACATGGTTTTGGACGACAAGGATTGAAAAGAAAGCAGGCGATACACAACGGTTCTGAAAGTATGCGGGCGGTGTAGGATCTGCTTTATTCTGTGGTGAGGACGTAGCATCAAAAACCCACCAGAGGAAATGGGAGGTTGCAAAGGGGGGAGAAACCAAAAACGCTGAGCTTTTATAGCTGCCCTTGTTAGACGTTTTTGACGTCACGCAACGGATAGCGCGATCGACGCGTGCTTTGCAAGAGCGACTTTCAAACAACCTACTTTGCAATAGGCCTAGCCTTCAGGACATGCAATGGAATAACGATAGCAAATGGCAGCCATTTGGATAACGAGTTTTCTTTCAAAGGACATGTTCACTCTTTATAAGCGTAAAGAATAGGCTAGTGTGATTGCCAAATAGCACATCCTGCTGCACTTGGCTGAACTGGTCGAGGCTTGTGGCCATGGGCTCAAAAAAGGGAATCGTGTTGTGGTCTCGATTTTGCTTCCAGTTAAAGGCTGTTCCCATTCAGGACAAGTCCATCACAGGTGCTCCTTCATGCATATCGAACATTGAAAGTTTAGCCATCTTTCCTGATGGTGTTTTTATTGTCTTGGAGGCATCTTTAAATACAAAAAGTGGTTTGGAACACTGCGACGACATGACAAGACATGACGTCAGCAATGCCGATCAAACAAAACCCTGGCAATATATCCTACCTTTCTTCTGCAAATCCAACTGCAAACCCCATCGACCCAACTTTATCAACTAAAAGCAGAACAGAAAACGGCCAAAAACATGCCGCGAGGACCCACAAAGTTCGATGAAGCCATGGCTCACGGGGGGAAAATCTCTTACCACCAGAAATCCCCAACTCAATCCGGCGTCAGTGTGTATGTAACTCTTCCGGACGGAACCCTCAAAAACTTTTCCAATGTCCATCCCGAGCGCGTTGAAGCGTATATTGACAAAGCTCGGCATCAAGAGAGAGAAGGGTCGCCTCCAAATAAGGACACAGAAACAGATCAGCAGTGGAAGACGGAGCAGTGGATGTTTAGGAAGAAAGAGCATCCAGACTATGGTATGAATTTATTCTTTGCCAGCCACAAGGGAGCCCTTGCTAAATGGGCACTTGTGATTCCAGCGACCAAAGATGTCAGTGGGTAACCATTTTAGCGACTTTTGCAATCTGCTGTGTATGTGAGGGGGGGACATGCTGCATCTATTGACAGCTAGGATATGATGCAGTGACTACTGATGACGCTTGCTCATTGCGACGATGCCAATCTTCATATAATCTTGACTGAGTCCGCAGATTAACACTCTCGTCATTTTTGCGTCTCTACTTCTTCGGGGCGATTTCAATGTAGCAAGATACTCTATAATCGTAAGGATGGCCCGTTTGATTAGTTATGACAGCAGGGAGCATTGGCGATGCCGCTCATACTATGCTAGTTGACCATCTGCGATGTAAGAAGTAACATTTTGCAAGAAAAGAAGGTCACCGACCACTGACGCCACTGTACAAGTATTTGTGAGTACCAACACTTCTGCCTTGTAGGATCCTGGAACTGCGCGCAATCGGCCCGCGCTTCTACGTGCAATCCTCGAACTACCCGCGGCGTGTGGGGTTAACCTTCCTGCCGTTCTCGCGGGTCATATTGTCGCTAGACCAAAGACGGCGCCCATGCTTTGCGTTTCTCACCGCTCATATTCTCGGTTGATAAAGGTTCATGGCCCGGCGACATACCCGGTGGATACGGCGATAAAGTCTTTACTCTTCGCGCCAGAAGGACGTCACCCTACTCATTTGGAATGTTCCTGGGTCATATATTTTTGATGTCTCCGAGACACAACTGCCATGTGGGCGAGCAAGATGGCATGACAGCAGGATCAAAGAAGCCCAACGTACGGATATCAATTCGAATGATATCAGACGAAGAACGCCAGCATAAGTGCTTCACTCCCGAGCGACGGTGACGGTCGGAACAAAGTTGAGGTTGGTAGTAATAGACATACTTGACACGTTCCTGACTTTTGATATCGTAGAAGTTAGCTCGTAGTATCATACTAAAATTCGCTGTGTGTTTTGCTTGATGGCACGTATCACATCTCATGCAGTTCACTCGTACGCACCAGCGACTCACCTCGTGGAAACTCCATGGATATTCAACCCAAAAGTTGATGCCCTATGACTAGCCGTCATCTGAAGGCTTGCACAAATTGCAGATCCACTTCAAGCTGCTCGCATTATAAGGAGTCTCAGTCCTTACCAACCGGCTACGAACCTATTCGGGAGACTGGAATTTCACCTCTAACCGTGCAGCATAGCCGTCTTCCGCTTATGGGCGCAGCCAAACAGTAGGATAGGATCAGGAGATAGTACATCTCCATCTATCTTTGGATAAGGAGATATTCATAGCAGAATTCATGCACATACAGCGTGGGACAAGCTGGAATATTATGTGAGATTCCGGGAGCAAGCAAAAACCCGAGTCTCAGATCTGAAAAGCCGTGCAAGATTGGACATATTTGAAGGACGTGTAACAAACATTATACTGGGATTTATCACTTATGAGACGGTACCTGTGGATGTATCAACTGGATGGCGAGCCTTCCAAAAAGCCGATCAGCTGTCTGCGGAAATATTAGCAAGCAGCTATTACTGCATGGTGAAAGAAAAGTCCGCTTTTGTCGGGTTGTTGAAATCGTGCCGAACGGGCGGATTCTCCTGACGGTCCTAGTACGCTTTCCTAGCGAATGTATTTGGCGAGGATGATGCTTGGTTGAGGTAAGCCCATAGGCTGATAGAGGAGAGCTTTTGCATGAATAAAACTCCAATCCGCTGGGAAAGAGTCGGAAGACCACTATTTCTTGGCTGGTACATACCCCAAAGATGTCCTATTTCCCATAACAGCGGTACCAACTGCTGGCCCTTGCCTGATCTGTAAAGCAAAGAATACCTATGGTAGATGCATGTGTCCATCTTCGTGGCAAAAACTTCCACCCTATCGAAACTCATGTATAAATATTCTGTATTCCTTAAATCAAAAATCGCCAAAGCAAAAAAAATACAGGAGCCCAAAAATCACATATTCCCTAGCCATTACGGCACATTCCTTCAACATTACCCACGCCAGGATCCCCAACTCATTTCATGCCAGCGCGATCTTTGAGATCCCACATGCAGCCATGACATAACATGGCATCCTCCTCCTTCACGTCCCCTACTTTAGTTTTCTTGGCATGGTCTTGCTCTTCTGCATCTTCATCACGAGATTTTCGCTTCTTGCGGGTACCGTTTGAAATCGGGACTGGGGCGTGTTCCATTGGTTTATCTGGTTTTAATAGGTCATCCACATTGTGTCCCGCCTCGCGAATCTGCTCTACAATGTCTTTTTGTTTCCACCACGCTGGAGAAACGGTTTTGTGACATTGCGCGCAAATTCTTGTTATAGATGGATGATCGATAAAGGTGTCCAAGAGCGGTGATTGAACAGACTGGCTCATTGCGCCGGATGACTTTCTTCGAGGCGCTTCAGCCGCGGTGGGAGACACGCTTGAGCCCTTCCTTCCACCGAGTTTAGGGACTTCCAATATGATGGGCGATATCAAATTTTTGACGCTTGGTTCCTCGTGCAACCCGCCTGCGGAACATACATGACAAAGGCAAGTCCCTTGTAGGGCCATGGAATATGCTCGTTTTTGGCCACTGGTTGTCAGCGGCTTGGTGTTTCGTTTTTGGGACAAGACGAATTCCCGAATTAAAAAGGGTCGACTGTAGCTGTAATCTAATTCCTCGGGTGGTACATGGGAGTAGTATGGTGTCAAAGACGAGGGTGCCGGTTGGTGAAGAGAGCTTGTTGCTGCGGCTGTGGCAACAGCTTTGATTGTCTCACCGTGGAACTACGTGATATCGTTTTAGTAAAGTGTGGGGGAATGGGGACTTGAAATTCAGGTCATCGCCTGAACCTACTTACCGAAGATACATTTCGACGGTCATGCCTGGGACAATGTGCCAGAGCTTTTAATTCCACCTGAGATGACGATTTTGACAATTTGAGAGATTCGATCGTCATTTCCCACCCAGCATATTGCGCACACGTCGCATGAAACGCTACAGAGCAGTTGCGTTCAGAACACGTAATGCAAGCTCCTTCGGGTTGTTTGCAGATGCAACATAGCTATAAAAAATGTTATTCACCATACTATGTGTGGATGAAATAAACGAACACGAACCTGCTTCCATCGCTTCTTATCAATCAAGCCAATACATTCTACTGGCTCCTCCGTTTCAACATTTCCAAACTTTACTTCCGGCATCCAGATCGCACAGGTCAGATGAGCCCAGTTATTTCCGATAGTCCTTTTCAACGCTGATTCGCGTGGCGAATTGACAATGGGACAAAGTACACATTTATACAGCTAGAAAATACGGTAAGAGTTGTCAAATAACCGCAAGTTTACCAAAAACGTGAAGGGCAGGACTTACAACTGAGCATTCAGGATGCTGTATATTGCGACATCGGGCGCATTGAAAAGTCGTTTCGATATGTTCCGCAGGCACACCGTAACATTCTGGGCAAGTAAATGTCAGCACACACCTTGAAGATGTTATACACATGTTTGGCTTAAATGCAAACCTTTGTGAACGCGCAATTTACATCCCAAACATGTCAACAAAAGGTTTCCGGGAGGCTCGTACAACTCTGTGCAGACAGCACATGGACGCGGTGCATCCGATTCAGGACTTGAAGGAACAAAATCTTCGACAAATGTGATCTTTAGGAGGGAAGATCAGACCATCATTCTGTTGGTAAAGGCACCGTGTACTTGAAATACCTCAGGTAAGGACACTTTTGCGACTGCTTTTCGGCTCTTCTTCTTGGCCGGTTTCCTTTCACTATCTGACGGTGTTTGCGCATTATCAAAGGAACGTTTACGCTTTATGATCTTCTTGGGAGCTGTTCAACAGACCATGTGTCAATTACGAAAAACAACTCTCCTCAAATTCGCAGACATACGCACCACTCTCCCTATTCGCCCTCTTTTGTGTATCACTGATAACTCGCGTGACACCATATTTGAGATAATGAATACCACAAGCCAAACAAAGGATTTCCTTCTTTAGATCCTTTTGCCGATACTTCCATCTTTGTGATTCAGTTGTCCAGCAATTGGCACATTCTTTCACACGCCCCTTTCCGGTTGGTGATGGGGGCATGTCGTCTTCGCTCAGGTCCCCATTACTGAGATTACCTTCGGCGTCTGCCGCACCGTCCATCGCGTGCTTTTGACCTTTGAATCGCTTACTGATGACGAATTAAGCACAGTATTTCAGCCATGTGTTCCAATCCACCGAATGTGGTTGTGCATTGGTATTGGTTACGCACCTTGGTCGATACTTTTTACAAAATTGCGAGTAAACGGCAGCGTATCGTCGAGACTTCTTCCATTTGTAGAAGAAGGCCACCACCTCGGTCATCGGCTTTGCTGGTACCTACGCGGACAAATGAACGTTAACATCTGGGTTTTCCAGCGCCATGTCCACAAAAGACATCTCGTACCTCTCGGTGCACCAAATGCAATTCATGTCCATACTTGGCAATTCCGCCTTCAAAAGCCTTAATTTCATTTTCTGCCCAATCCACGACACCTAGATCGCGCGCCTTCAATTCAAGCATAACTTTCAATGCCGCTTCGATATCGTAATCTGCTTTATGTAACTCTGCCAAAGCTCGATCAATAAGGTAATCGGATGATTTCAAAGTTGACGGCATTTCTTCTTGTATATGCTCCATGTATGCATCCACTTGAGAATAATCAATGTAAACATGATTATTTTTGTACCCTAGAGCAAATTCGCCAGACGTACGCTGCTGCTCGCTCATATGCGGTGGCATTTTGAAGACGACTTCCGCAGAGCTACCACGAGAAGGTATCTCCAATTCCTCGTTGACTAAATACCTAGCTTTAGTAATTGCGGCACGTATGGAATACGGAGAGGCAAACTCACCGTCGGAATCCAACAGCTTCAGTTTGCGCTTGCCTTTGCCGCGTGCCGCGAGTTTGGAATTTCCTTTCGCGCTGGAAAGAGGTGCTTCCAGTGGGGGAGTCTCGGTTTGACGACGCTCGCCGTTCCTTAAAGAAGAATGTGAACAACCCACAGAGAGAAGACGGCGGCTGGCATAAGCGTACCTGCGATCGGCAGTCTCCTCAACGACATTAGGTTGATGTGGTAGTTCGAGAGGCGGTATGTCTGCTTGGTAGTCGGTACCAACTCTACGACCCCAGATGAATATTCAGCTTACGATAAAATGAAGAAGAAGATCGCTTCCCAACATACCGAGAGCCGCTGGACGTGCGACGACCTGTCTCCGGGAATGGAGGAGTCTCAAGGTCCGGGATGTCGGCTTGGTACTCTCCGCCGATTCTAAATGTCGTTATATCACCCGTTCAGATAACTGTGCCAGCGACAGCAGGGAGATATACACACCTAGAAGCTGATAGGTTGGTGCTGTCTGGCTTCGCTTCAAGATCCGGCAAATCTGCTTGAAACTGCTTTCCAATCCTAGATGCAGGTGGTTAAGCATTTCACTGTATGTCGTGTATCAATTCAAGTAACTCTGTACCTGCTGGCTGCCTTGGGATGCCCTCTGTCCGGCCCTTCTTCCGCTGTACCTTTCCAATTAATCGAATGTTGTAATTGAAAATGCAGTACAGCAGCTTACCCAAAATCTCCCTATACTTTGCATATTCACCAAAATACCTGTACGGCCACATAGGCTTGGCGGCATCTTTGGTCCGGTTGAATGGTAACTCTACCTCCTCCATTGGCACTGGACAGAGCATCATCGCAGCTTGTCAATGCACTTTCACAGTGTCCAAAGAGCAAGGTAAAACAAACCTTCAGTTTTGACATCCTCGTCCTCAGATGATATGGCAGAATCGCTATCATTCGATTGCGAAGGTAAAGAAGATTCCTTCTTCCCAACCTTGCCTCTGCTCTTTCCCAAAGATGTCTTTTCCTCCTCTTCAGCTGCATCCGATGCTTTTTTATTACACTTGGCGCATTGCCAAGCATATCCTTTGGGTGGTTTCTTTACGATCCCCACACAACCCAAATGGAAGGCAGCACGGCACGCCACGCACTTGATGACAGCTTCATCGGGATTGCACCATCGATCGCAGCTATTGCACACTCGTCGTTCGGTAAAATCCGAGGCTTTGCCAGCTTCAACGAGAATGAATTGGTAGTCGCTCAGAGCACGGGATACTTCTCTCGGAAGGTTTTTGACGAGTTCAAGAGGCACCACGTCGTACACTCGATGTGTATATCGGTCGTATACTGTTACAGAGAGCGATATGGATTTGTCAAGTGAGGGTTTGCATGACATGGCGAGCATATGACGTACATTGATCATAGTAGAAGCAATCCTCCTCTGCCCGCCATTGCTCCATGTCCTTAACATGAGATATGTGTTCTACTTTGCATTTTCCTCGGATGCTCGAAATACTTTAGATCCCAAAAAAACGCTTTTAGTGATCGTACATGCACACACATTGACCACAGGACGACGACTCACGGATTAATATCCGAATGCATGCTCGCCAACAGTAATCGAGGGTCATGTTTCTTCCCTCTTCCGCCGGGGAGAACATCTTTTGGTCTGTAGAACCAGCCTATGCGCGCCACCGTTTGCTTGCCCGGTAATTTCCCCGAGACGAACTCGAGGATACGGCCGACGTAGTAACTGCCAATGTAGGTAATATGAGCGCATCAGTAGGCATGGGAAACAAAGCAGGAGATGAAGGTAGTCTGTACTTACAGCTCATTGGGAATATCGGGCGCCAAATACACGTAGTCTAAGAAAAATCGGGATATGAAACGATCCAGATATGTGAGCAAAGGCTGAGCCAGCATCTTGTGCATGACTGTTACCAGTCACCCACTAGAGTACTCAAACGTTGTCATGGTGGGCTGTCTGCTCACAATGATGACATACATACCGTTCAAAGCATAAGTTTCTCCGTTTTTGGCCACTATTTGGGTCACAGCAGCCTTTCCACTGTTTGCCGAGCCAGCAGCGGAATTCCCACCTCGAGATTTCACCTTGACCGGCGACACACTCTTTCCGTTCACCGGAGTGACGGACAATGGTGCCTTCTTTTGTGCTTGTTTCATATCGCAAGCTACGGGTCGTGTAAGAAGATATCTGTCGGGGCAGTGCGCAGAAGGGAGGAGATATGGAGCCCTTTTTTCTTAGTGCGCGAATCCCCAGATGGGAGCGAGATGGGTTAAAGTTGGAGCACAGAAGGAAGATGCAAGAGTATTGGTAAAAGCAAGTGAAAAGTAAAAGTTCAAGTAGCAAGTAACGAACAAGAACAAGAACATTAGGCAGACTTCAAATGGGCAAAGCGTTTAAGATTTTGGAATTTTGGGGCTCTCTCCTCTTCGCGTCAACTCGCCTGCAGTTGTTTCCACAATTTGTCACGGCCTTTTTGGAGACTTCTCTTTTTTTTATTTATTTTTCTAGGTCTTGTTCATTGTTGGCAGCAGGCAGTTGGAGTAGCATGCTGTCTTTGTGGCCATGTCAGTCTTTTGTTTGTGGTTTGTTTGCAGTTGGAAGAAGCATTTGTACAAAATCGAGTTGGCCAAAGCCCAAAGAAAAAAAAGAAACGAAACTGCTGACTATTGGTTACGGCACTTGGATTGTTTTGCTCGTTTTAGGGCCCAAGCTCTTGTTGTTCTACTACGGCCAGGGACCAAAAGTGGACCTTGTTTATTATGAAATACCAGTTATCTATCGGTCAAGATAGCTATTGTGAATGATCGGCCATTCATCTGCACAGATGGTCATTAGAGTGAGCGACTCGTCAAGTTTTGGAATGATGAAATTGATATGCTGTTGATGGAAAGCCCACCTACTCCACTCGAAAGGTCCCTGGTCCCTGCAAACATGACCGAATGAACCAATGAACCACAGCGATTAGAATGGAGTTGGAAGCACACATATAGGGACATGGTAACAAGGACAGTCCTGAGGCGATGCGCGGTTTATCGTTATCACTGCATCGCTTTTTACATTTCTGAATCCCGAATGTCTTTAAAGTAAGGCAAATGCAGTGTTTGCCCATAAAGGTGCACATCTACATCTGGTCGGATGGGCTTCCGAATGACCTGGTGTCCTGGTGTCTGTAGGGTGAGCGATGCAGAATGCATAATCGACCAACTCTGAACATTTCATAGCAAAGGCTTTTGCTTTTTCTCTACGACAGACATGGCGATCACTGAAGAGGATGTGCTTTTATGATGGACCTCTGCTTCTTTCGTGTATTGGGGGAACGCTCACAATACAATGCAACAAGATGAGTCCATGTATCCCACCTCCACTTGTTCAAACCCATAACCGAACGTAGTGGCGAGGCGCCAAGATCTCACTGCCCGCCTCAAAGGAGAACCCATCCCAAAAGCAACTCGAGGGAAGAAGAACGCGCGCGCGGCCGACGTGGACACTTCTGCGGTACTCAGCGTGGCGAAGTTGTAAACCCGCTGCTGTGCAAGTAGAAAATACTTAAAAACAGAGGACGACTTTGACATTTGGAGCCGAGGAAAACCAGAGCAACATTAAGAACCTGACGTAGAACCTGCAGTAGATCTCTGACTTTTTGCCACAGTGAACCTGCCCTGAAAATAGCGATCCTGCTCATATTACAACGCATACGAATACACACGATATGCCTTTCTGGTCTCTGCCAGCAACATTCACCACCCTTTCCCTCCTCCTCTCCACCGCCTTTGCTGATCCCTACCATCCACCACCGCCTTATGAGGACTATTATCGCGATGAATATCCTCAAGATGACTACCATCCGAGAATCTTGCGCGTCCCACTGCACAAACCGGACCGCCATCATTCCTCGATTCTGGACAGATTACTTGAGGAGCAGGCGTATGTACTCTGCTTGCAACGTTCTGCAGAGAGCTGCGTTTTTTTGATGACTGTCTTTTAGATATATCCGTGAAAAGTACAGCAACCACCCAGCCGTCCGTCCAGCATACCTGACCCCGACTTACAAGGAGGAGAAGGAAAACCCTGGATACGGACATGGATATGGATACGAACAAAAATACGACGAGTATGACAAATACGAAAAGCCAAAGCCGAAATCAAAGCCAAAGAAGAAAAAGGGGCCTGTCTCTGTCCCTGCTGGATTTGACCCGTTTGATTGTGAGTTTGGGTGCGCATATAAGACGTGAGATGATAACGAAAAACTCACACCGTTGAATGACATAGTTATTGGACAAGTCGAAATTGGCACTCCACCTCAAAAGCTTACCGTCCGCTTCGACACCGCCACGCAGCTCTCCTGGGTCAAAAAAGCCGCGTACAAGGAAAAGCCCAAAAAGTACGACGACTATAACTCATACGACAAGTATGATGAATACAAAAAAGACAATGACTATTACGAGCCCGAGCGCGAGCTTGTGTATTTTGGTTTTGACCCGGACAAGTCGTCGACATGGCAGGACGGAGGCCGTGAAGGTGATCTAGAGTACTATGGCCAAGAGAAGGTCATAGTCAAAGAAGGGCGAGATGTAGTGAATGTTGGTGGCATTGAAGGTATAGTCTTGTTATGGTCGTCTGATATGAATGTGAGGCTCATGTATCTTAATATTTAGCAACTGTCACTTTTGGACTGAGAACACAAAACGAGGTTAGCGCCAATGAGACTGTGGACGGACACTTTGGTACGGATTTGAATTTTTCCTCGCACTGTCCGCCACAACTAACTTGGTATACTAGGGCTCTCACTGCGTAACCCAGACCTGGACTTTGACCCCTGGCTATACCAAGCAGTCAAGGACGGTGTATGCGATCCCATTTTTGCTCTGGACCCGCCACCTGTGGAACCGCCCAAAGCGTATGCTCCTCAGCCGACGCCATCGTATGGAAAGCGCGATCAAAGCTACGATTACTACGAACCGCCAAAGCCCAAGCCGACCACTGCCCAATTATCGATCTGTGGATATGAAGGTCAGATGCCCACCAGGTTTAACCATGTTACGCAGAGAGGGTTGCAGTATGGGTATGTTTTAATCCCGTTGAGCCGTTATTGACATTCTAAATTGCGAGGGACTAATGGCCTGGTCTTGTTAAAAGATACTGGCAACTCAACCTGAAGAAAATCAAAGTGGGTCAGAGCCTGGTCCCGCTGGTGAAGGAGTCCCGTGAAGATCCATATGGGTACCAGTCCTACGAGCCCAAGCAGAAAGAAATCGATGCATTGATTGATACTGGTTCCCCTTTCATCATGCTCCCCAAAATTGCGGTCGATAAGATTCACAAGTTGATTGGCGCTACGTGTCCAGGTCAGGAATATGGGTACTCTGAATACAAAGATGATTACAAAGACGACTACAAGAAGGATTACAAAGACGAAAAATCCACCCATAGTCGCCGCGCCACATCCATGAACGCTAACAGCACATCTGGATTCTGGCGCTCGCAAACCGGCATCAAATCGCATGACCTTTGCACGGTCCCGTGCGCCTCGGTCCCGAAACTTGCAAACATCACTCTGACGTTTGACCAAGGAGACTATCCCATCCTCCCCGCGGAATATATTCAAAAAGACCCAGATGATTACGGAAAGCAACAATGTTACTCGGTTTTTACAACATTTAAGCCAGATAGTGCTGTGCTTAAAGAAGCGCCAAGCGAATTTGGTGAAGTTTTAGCTGTTATTGGTAGGTTATACCATCTATTTCCATCATTTATTCAAGTTTAATGCCTAACTTTATTGGATTAGGTACATCGTTTACGCAAGCCCACCAAACTGTTTACTATCTGGGTAACATTGGGCAAAACCGTAGACGTCGTAGGCAACTGACGGAAGAGAATAGCAGCGAGATTCCAGGGATTGCTATTACGAGGTACTATTCATTGGCATGGAGTCCTTGATGCGTGTTGCAATTGTGCTGCGTAGTGTGTTTATACCTAGGTTTGGACATGTATTTGTTTATAGTGTATGTGAGAGATGTAGGTTTCCATTACGGGCTGTGGGGTGTAAGGTTTTTTTCTTGTTTCTTTTTGATTATATCAGGGTGTGTATGTATATTGGGAGACTTTATAGCCCTTCAACAACTCGGCGTGACCTGAAGAGTATGTTTTACTCACGTGACTAAAGATCCCGTGAGCGTGCTGACGCAATGCATAGTGTGGACGTGATTGCAGCTAAAGCACATAAAGAACGGGAATCACGTAAAATCACGTGATGCTCTGCCAATCTATCGGTATTAGAATAGACTAGAATGCTAGACTAACGAATTTCGGAATCAAGGGCTTAGTAGGATTTCTCTCGTGTGGTGGGCTTAGTTACCCGGTTAGAACCAACCGTAATGTATTGCATGTGTAATTGGGCCTAGTAGTAGTTGGTTGGTTGTAAGGAGGGAATTACTTGGCTTTTCCGAACCGGTTGTCGCTGGTTTATTCCCTGGTGTAGTAGCTAGTGCCACCTCTACACTACACGCATCTTTCTGCTATATAATGAACAAAAGTCATGCAGCGTTGATGCGCCTACGCTTCCACAATACATTTGTATGTAATGAACCGGAGTAAACACATGATATATAGTAGATGGACGAGTGCTTCCATAGGATATAGATCACAATAAGCTCCATCATCCGTATTTAACTTTTGACTTTTCATTTGTCAGGTCTGTTGCCCAGTGGGTTGCATGTACAAGTCGGGTGGCCTCATGCGAGTGTTTCCCAAGAGCTGATGGTCTCACTGTCCAGAGATCTGTGGTGTGTCATTTGGCCAGTGGCCCAGTTCCAGGAACACGGATGACTATACGTTGTTTGAAGGAGCTTTTGTCCTCTTGCTGCTGCGGCTGTTATTCGGAGCTTTCATGCGCTTGCAGTTTCGTCAAAGTCTCTTTGGCTACAATCCGCAGACTAGCAAGTCACGCGTTCTCAACAAAGACATTTGCTTTGCTGTGAATGGGCATTGTTCCCGTTCTCCGCTAACCGAAATTGAAAACGAATCCACGGTCCTGTTCCCTGCACATTAGCGATAACCATGAGCTTGATAATTATTGAATGGACATGAACGACAACGAGCGTCGAGCATCTACATATGAGACGGTAATGTACAAGATGACACTCTTGTGCCCAAGACATTTTATCACCAGTTCACGGCCTGTCGCCGGAAACACCCGCACATGGCCATGCGTCCTCCGTTTCAACGTACTTGCCCCAACCCTGCTCGTTGCTTGCAAACATGTTGCATCTTTTGACCATTGGTTGGTTCATGGCAAAAGACCAAGCGCTGACACACAATGAGTCTTCCTAATGGCCTTCCCAGAACTGGCAGGGGAGACACCCAACCGTTGAACGCCCCCCGGCTCCAAGCGGTTATCTCGTTGGTATTCATGGATTTATAAGGAATACATTTCAGAATTGCATTAAAATGCTCCAGATTTCCCAATCGGCCATCAAATTTGCCGTCAACCGACAATGTGAAACACAGTTTTTGAAAGGGGGTTGGCGGCCATCGTTCCACATCTGGGGATTTTGCAGCTGAGGCCGGGTTCTCGGTGCAAGTGAGGCGTTGGGTTCGCGCACCTAAGCCACGTGATAAGCATCCAGACTCCGACTCTGTCTCCGTGTCACCAAAAAGGTTGGGTGATTTTTGTCCCTAAAGCCGTGCTAATTGGAAGCCATGTTTTTTTATTTCTTATTTTCGAAAAAAAAAAAAAAATGGGGAACAATGGAAGCATTTAAAAGAAGAACAATGGGAGGTTGCCCTTTGAATCCCCCATCAGCCGATCACAACAAACAAAGAGCCCAAAACATAAACAAATGGCTTGGAATTGGAACACGTTTGACTGGGACAACACAACCCATCGGTTCTTTGCGCTATGCTACTTGGCCGATATGATCGTTTGGCTCTACCGAATCGCAACGCGATTCCAGCTCTTCCCTAAATCCGAGCCTTACCCTTTCATTCGAAAAAAGTTTGCCACAACCCTTCTACGAACAATCGTACTCGTCCTGCATATCGGATCAGGTGTAACGGAGATTGCTCTCGGATTCGCTGCGTTCTTTACGGGAAATGAAATCCTCGCCAAGATCATTACGGTTGCTGCCCTCGCCTTCCATGTCCCTACCGCCATCTACATGACACCATTTGTGTATGGAGCCCGCCGTCTCATGCGCCCGGCTTACATGGTGATCATATTCTTCCATGCCTACTGCGCCGTAAATCTCTGGTTGAACCCAACGTCAACGGAATGGATCGTTTCGACCATCAGTGTTTTGCACACGTACATTTGGGTTCGGATCTTTTACTTTATCTTTGCAAAAACTCAGACGCTTCCCAGTGGCCCCTACACCCTCTCGGTTGTCTTTGCCGGATACGTCACCTTGCCTTACTTTCCCCGCAACGTTGCAAAATACTCGACAGATCTCCTCGTCACAACCTTCACCTTGTCGTACGTGACCGTAGAGTTCCTCGTGTACAAGCACATTTTAAAGTACAGCGGAAAGAAATTGGTATCAACGGAATTTGATATCGATGACGCGGACCATGAGTTGGTTATCAAGTATGAGACACGGCGGAACGACAAGCATGATGTAATTACTATCGAGACTATTACTGTGAAATAGGTTGTATTATTATGTATATTTATTAGAGCTGGCTGTTGCGATGTCTATTGTACATAGGGGGTGGGATTTTAGTGTACATTGCATTTGATTATTTAAGTTGCTATACCAATAGGAACATGGTTTTTTTGGAGTAAATATACTCACTGTTTCATGGATGACTTGAAATGTCAGGAGACGAGAACATTGAGCAAGCGTGCAAGGAATATTTTCCAGTATGACCAGCTCTGCTCTATTCTTCTAGTATATCTTACCAGCATCTAGCGCATACATCACTCCACAAGGTTATGTTCTATGCATTCATCTATCGTTCTACGAGCACCCCGCCTACCCATTCCCCACTCCCAAACTCCATCTCACACGGCAACGACTCAAAGATGCCCACATCATGTGCCAAAATCTCCTTTTGGTCCTTGGCAAACCTGCAAAAGAAAGGAGACTTTAACAACTGCATAAATGGATCCAAAATTTGCACAGAAATATAAACCTGAACCTCCCGCAAAACTTTTTATTCCCAACAAATACGGGCCACCAAATCTGATCGTCCGGCCACATTATGTGAAACGGAATCTTGTCAAGGGAAAACCATTCTGGTCGCATTTCCTCGGTCCTTTATTTTGTTTAGCCGTTAAAAAAGGCATATTCACAATTGGGCTGGAATGGAAGACATACTCGGAGACGACACCCTCAAAGGTCTCCCCTCGATACACATGGACCTCCAATCCGGTCGGGTCACCCTCAAAATGGAACCACTATAAAGCATCATGCTCAGTTAAAAGAAAGTAATCGACACTAGCACGAGAGAAATCAAGTTTAATCGCAAGAACCTACCAACATCCCCGCTCGCTCCAGGTGGGATACACGTATCCCTGCTTCTTCCTACGACAATTCCACAATATGAGGACCAGAACATACGGCAATAGAAAGACGGTACGGTATGGAACCTCAAGTTCTCTGACAGCACCCTCGAGTATCGTTTCTCCTTTTTCAACCTTGCCTCCAAACCTATTTCCAAATCGCCGAAACCCAATGCAAAACGTTGACATCAACATGTCAAGATACGACAAAGAAGAGCCTTGTTCGACAGTACCCATTCCAATACCCAGCCCCAAACCCCCGTTTCTTCATCCCCAATAAAACTCGTCTCTACATTCACAAATAGTTTAGTTTCAGTCTATCAAGCGTTTTTTCCAAACCAGCATTCGTCATTTGATACCATACCTCGCCATCGAAATCGCCAAATACAAACACTAACGTCAAGACCTTTTTAGAGGTTATGGGAGAGGTTTCCATGGCCAGCATTGCTACAAGAATGTTTTGAAAAAGTCTCGAAAACCGTGTACCTCAAGCGCGCGTTTTGTCCGACATCTCGGCCAAAATTGGGAGAATGTCACCCCAAAAGCACTTCACACCAAGGATGTCATGCCGTGCCCACCGTAGATACCAACAAGATCAAGCTTCTTTCAAAATACGACTTGCAATCTTGCGGGGTTCTCGACAATGTCTTCAAGGTTTAATTATATGTTGGTTCTTTATGTGATATCATTTGTCCAGCACCTTGACGGTTGCCGGAAGCCTTCATAAATATGAATTAGAAAGGTTACCTACACTTCCTGTTACTCTTTTACACATTCTGTATCCGCAGTATTCTCCAGCACACAGTTTATTAGATGTCGGAACTCTTCCATGTACAGGCCGCGATTTACAAGTGCTTCTCCTGACGATATCCCGACTTTATTCAAGTAGTTACAAAAGAAAAAGGGATATGGTATAAAACAAGATACTCTTAGTTCACCGGCAGAAATAACTACCACTATGGATTCAATATAGCTAGTCCAAAACAAAATCCTGTAATAAAGTAGGTCTATTATCAATCCTATCATCCCGCAGATCATCAGACTAAATATGCCGTGTTAAATACGAGTCATTACACTGTTACCCTCATGGAACATACAAATGCTACCTCAAGCGAAAAGTGAGGGCCTCGGTATTTTCGTGAAGAAAAAGGATCAAGGCACCCATTAGTTTGCCAGCTTCGAATCGCCACTCTTCTCCGAAAAGCTCACATACTACATGGTAACGAATCGCAATATTGAATCCTGATAATAAGGCAAACCTAAAATATATCTTTCACCGTTTGACGGCAAATGTCCATTAAACCGCTCGTCCGAAAGACGTTATCCTCGATGATGGGTGTCGAGATTCGTGCTACCTATCTTTGACATGCATAAGATACCATTTGTGCCGCAAAGCATTACTCAACTGATATCCGAGCCCTACTATTTGGACATCGTTCGATGGGATACTCATCCCGATACCCAAGATACTAATCCTCAAGATTCTCGTTGATCTCAATGAATCCGGATAATCAAAATTCGGGGCCCCCTCCATTGCCATCCATAGCACCCGGTTGAAACTAAAAAGATGGGTAATCCGCAGCGACACAACTAAGCGGTTTTGGCCATGGCATAGAGGAGGTTACGACGACCAGTAGGCGAAAATCCAAAGATAAATCAAGCTGAAGTCTAGTCCCATATTAAAAGGTCAGGTATTAAAATATGGTATGTAGTACGGCATTTACAATGGAGTTACCCAGGTATAGCGACAATGTACATGATGATTGGTAACATTGCTGTGTTGACCAGCAGTCCCGCTGCTACTTTGTGTAGATTCCTTTTATTTCTGGTTTTAAAGAAAAAGGTCCTGAAAAGCGCTACATTTGAGTAATACTGATAATTGCTCAAAAAAGTCTTGTGAAAAAGTCCGCCTTTGAAAGAAGATTTCCACTTTTGAAGATTCCAGAGCTGATCATTTGCGACGTGGCCAAACAGCTGCAACATCTCATAGATTTACCTACCAACATTCTGTGGAGATACAGAATAGGCAGGGCATCGAAATAAAGGTTGAAAAACAAAAATGCATAATGACATCTAAGGTTTTGAAATGGATAATCAACAACAACGTTTCCTCTGTCTATTAGTTACTTTTCAGCGGTAAGATGCAAAGAACATGTAGAGCTCTCAGAGACTACATAACCACCCCTTCGAACTCCTATAGACCACACCCTGTGTTTTCCTTTAGAAAGCTAATTGAAAGATACACTGAAAAGGTGGGGTATCACTGCCAATATAAATCCCAGATTCGTTTGAAAGATTCAAGCTTCCAAAACGTATTTGACTTTGATATGAAGCGTTGTAGAGGTTGCATATTCTTATAAGGAGCGACCACTAAAATCCACCTCTTTTAAAACAATAAGAGTGCAAGCTCACTAATCCCAGCACCATGTTGCTGGTCCAATATACGGATAGGGGCTATACCGCTTGGCATTCAAGAACGACAAACCCTATCACGAAGCATTTTTATCCCTGTTTTTTACAACGATCAATGAAATGCCGTACAACCTGCTTTCAAGAAACTTTGTTGCCGAAACTTGTCATTGGGAGAGTTCAAGCCCAGTAGCCGCTAGACCATCAAGCGAGGGGTCATCTGGTGGTAGGTTTTGTCCGATGGGGCAGGAAGGATGATGGTCAAGGACCCAGCTGGTAACGAGCCCAAAGACGCCAAAAATTGGGTAGGATATTATAAAGTTTCCATTTATCTACATCGCCAGGAAACGTAAACGGAAATCCACAAAAACTGTATTGCTCATCAACAGTTCATGAGATGGCGGAAACGTAAAAGTTCAAAGGAAAATCATAAAGGAATGCTGAAAACGATCCATTTCTCCACCCATCAAACCACACCTAATCAAGCAGACAACACAAGTTCTACCCCCAAACAAGTCTTCTACCCAGTTTCAGTTAAAACAAAAACAAAAAAAAATGCGTGGAAAAAAAAAACAGAAAAGTATCAATCCCATCCCACCAAAGAACGTCCTCGCTAATCAACGAACCCCTCAAATCCCCCAAAAGAAAAAACAGAAAAATGTCGCCATGTCTCGATCTAAAGGATAGAACATGCAAGGGTATAACAGATGTTTGCTTGAACTAACCGAAACCAAATGCTTCCCGCCCTAACATATACGCAAAAACAAAGATATCAGCCCAAACTCCTACCGACATCCCGCTCGTCGACGTAAACTCACCTTATTCTTCATCAGCCTCATCCTCCGGTTTGACCTCTTGTGAATGTTGTCTCGCTTCCGGTTCGCCCTCAGGTTCCCCTGAAGATGGTTGAGATCCACTCATCCCCGCAATGCTGGCAATTTCGACCAAAGCACTCGCCGCCTCGCTCAAAGAATTTTGCATTTCTGCTGAGGCTTCGACGGTCTCTGGGGCCGGGGCAGGTGTGGGTATGAAGAGTGCCATCATGTTGTGCATATGGTCGGGTGACCTGAAAACAGAACATAAATATGAGTTGCGACTTATCAATATTTCATGACACAATTTTTGCTACGCACCAACTGTTGATTCCAGGCACCAATCCAACAGAGCGAAACACTGTACAGAAATCTTTGATATTAGGTCCCAAATAGAACATGACAAAACTCTCGTATGGCTGCGGCAAAGGCGGAGGTGGAGGAGACACCGCTAATGTCGAATGTTTAATTGCCTCCTTCTGATCCCGATCGGTGGATTGATCATGTTCACCATCCGCATGTTGGGGAGGAGGATGAGGGGCGGGTACATGCGTCATGGGCGGATTGTTATGTCGCAAAATACAGTAAGGATGCTGCAGAATGGGGGTAAACCAATCCGCTCCAAACTCTGCTTTCAGCAGAAAAAGTCCTTCGACGAACTCTTTATTTGCAAATTTGGTGAAAATGATTTGCAAAAGCCGCTCCAATCCGCCCTCAAACGAGGCGTGGTGTGAAGTCGGGCTGCCGTAAATCTGTGTTGTCGAGAACGGTCGAATGCCAGAGAGGTTACACCACAGTCGACCAAACCATGACTGCTGTTCGGCCGCCTTAAAGTCCCGCACTGTTTGCATAACCATATCAAATTGCTGCCCAAGGACCACGTTCTTGCTCAGCTCGAAAATGAAACCATCATTGAAAGGCAGTCGCGGTCGCGAATTTTCATCCGATAGATCGCCATCGGACAAGTTACTGGTCGTTGCACTGGGCAAAGGTGGTGGAACCGTCACCGGGATAGGAATGGATATGGGTGCATTTGGTGGCGGTGGTTGAGTAATTGGCGGGAAATGCATCTCCTGAGATCCATCAGGTTCGGTGCGCCTTCGTTGTGTACATTCTGGTTCACCATCTTCGTCGCGGGCATGTTTGCCCGGCTTGGCTGCGTGCACACCATGATGCCCATTAACATGCCCAGGCGTCGAAACAGAACTTCGTCGCCGACTGCCACTTCCTCCACTGGCTTCCTGGACTCCATTGGCCGACTTGCCATGACCTCCTCGTCCATCTTGTGCCGAACTAGAGCCTTGGGAGAACGTAACCGTACTGTATGGCGATCCCGAGCCTTCGTTCGCCTTTTCCTGCTCCGCAGCAGATATGCGAGCTTTGGGAACTTTAAGATTATGCTTTTCCAAATACATTTCCAGAAATGCTGTAGTTATAACGCCATTAGGAGCCTGCCTGCAAACATCCATCCAAGTCTCCACCAATTTCTTTTGTGGGACTTTGGACAGCAGCTGACAATGTGACTGATACATGGGGGGCCGATATTCCTTTGACAGCTTTGAAGCAATGTCAGAATAGATCCGGTACGATATTATGTACTCATACGTGGTCGATTTGGAAAATCCCAAGTGGGCCTTTGTCCATTCCAAAAATTCCTTTTGGGTTTTCATCAGCTTATCTTCATAATAAAGCTTGTGAAGGGTCTGGCCAATGACCACAAAAGACGATACATTTTTAGTCTCGTTGAGGATACGCAATTTGTGCTCATCAAGGGCCGCCGCGTCTCCATCGCCCATATTCGGAGGCTTCTGCCACGGTATTAGCTTGATTTCACTCTTTTTCTTCCCGGACTTTCGTGAGCTTTGTTTGCGTTCGGTATTCGCCGACCGCCGGCTTGCTTCCCGCTCCGGAGAGGGTAAAGCTCGCTCGAGATGGTCGTGAGAGTCCGTTGCCTGATATTCCTGAATGGTGGGAGATGAAGGGGCGGGTGAAGGGGGTCCTGTTGATGGAAAAAAAAGTTTAATCACCGCCATATCAATTCTTGCTACAATCATGATTCAAACCTCGTTTGTTTGCCTTGGCTCTGGTGTCAGTGGGAAGCGGTCGAGGCTTCCGAGGTGTCTGAAAGCTTTGTTGTCCTATAGACCGTGAGTGCCGAACGCGATCAGGTGTAGGCGGCAAGCGAACTGGACTGAGCTTGTGCAGAGCGTCAAGCAATTCTTCAGGGTCCGACCGGCAAAGAGGCAAATGAACGCCCTCCGAGTCGACTGAATCAAAACCAGAAGCGTGCCAACCGTCCGTCTCTTGTGCACTCGTCCAAGGATCGCTTAAAGTTGGTTGTTGATGAAGCGCAAGAAGAGTCTGCGCGGCGTCGGAAGGCAGGAGGTAGTCTTGCTTGGCTGGAATTTTGACGGAACTGTAGACCTTGAAACGGCTGCAAGGGCCGTTAAGGTGGGAGGGCAGAACAATGTGTTCACAATAAACAGTCCTCTCTCAAATTTTGTTAACCCGTTTACTGAATGGGTCCTAGAATATAATGGTAAACCAAGTATATTCAAGGCGTTGTTTTTCCCGACCTGTCGAAAGAAACATGAGAGAATCAGCCAGTGCCGAAGAAAGGGACGATGCTCAAGCAACAAACGGCCACCAGACTGTGAGGGACTTTAGCAGCAACACCAAGTCCATTCCCTAAGGGCATACACGACACATTGTTATTGGAGACAAACGTCGGAGCACCTTGTCTACCAACATAGACCAAACAATCGTATGGATAGCCCCTATCGACACGACCCGGAGACTCACCTACCTTCTTCACACCGTCATGCACAAGACCAAGAAACGACTCGATGCGCACGAGATGGGAACCAAAGGCCGTATGGGAAGAGTAAGGTAGAATAAATGCCTTCAAAGCCCGACCGTCTTGTCTGGACTCAGTTCGTCCGAATGGCGGCCCCTTTCGGACGAGGACCCAAAAAACTGTTCGCACGCGTCTTTTTTTTGTTTGCTTTTGGGGAGCAGCACAAGGAGAAAGCCACGGACTGCAAAGGAACTTTCACCAACAAATGGTTTGCAAAAAGGAATGGAGACGACGACGACGACGACGAGAAAGAGTAACTCGTTACGTATCAAAAGCAAAGTTCAAAAGGTAGAAAATAGAAACCAAAAGTCGCGCTGGTTGGGGAATCCGAAACTCGGGAATTTTGTTTGGTTTCCGCCTCCCAGTTCGCTTCCTATTCAAAAAGCAACGCAAGCGTCCTTTTATTCTCATTCATAAACACATCTGCACTTGAGTGTTCTCGCCAGCAGTTTAATACCCCAACACAGCACGACAACGACGACGACGACGATGGCCAATAAATGCAACTTTTTAGCTTTCTTCTATGTCTGGCCGATTCGGACAAAACGCTTTTCAATCTCGTGTCACCTTTGGAGCAGTTTCACGTGACTGATGGTCATGGCTTGAAATGCCCATATTTGGCACGATCAGTTTGTGGCTTGTTGCCTTAGGCTTGCTACAAGGGCGATGAGAGCAAGGAAAGGAGGATGGACCCCAACGAGTCTAACGGCCATGACGGCGATCCGGTGAAGAGATTGCTATTCCCGGGCGTCAAATAGCAGGTAGTGGTCCAGAAGATGCATAGCATCCACCTGTAAGCGTTGCCAGCAGTATTATTCTTCTTGATTTCTAGAATGTTAAATCTATCATCGGTCGTATATCATATATTATAGTGTAATTAGTTCAATTTATACAAGTCAACTGCATCGGATTCTGCTTTATCAAAGTCGAATCCGCACCAGATATATACATTCGTCACTTTTCCGCACTCCATCTCCAGCGGCGATAGTAATCAATTCGTTCACTTTGACGCCATCTTGTATCCAGATGTATCAAGGATCTGTGTTCCGCACATTGCACATATTCCTGTCGTAGTAGTTACATTTTATTCCAAACTATCGATGCCAGCACCTTGCGACCACAGTGATCTCACCATTTTTGTATGCACACCCTTGACAATAATGACTTCCCGACTGATGAACTCGACTCTTGCAAATCCGACACTTGGTCTCATAAGGCATGAATTTGTTCTTCTTGGAAGATAAGAGCTTGTTTTCATTCACTTTGCGGCCTTCAGTGCCTGCTGTTGAATTACGAGATCCCTCTTTCCATTTGTCAGGAGCCGCTAGGGTTGCAAGTTTCTTCTCGCCTGTGATGCAAAGAGTGTTAGATGGGACAGGACTGAGAATATCGAGCCTATTACATACACTTTTTGCAAACCATTTGGCCTCAATGTGCAATCTGGAGCGTCTTGGCGAGTGGCAAAGAATCTCAGCATGACAAACGAGGCGCTTACCAACACGTTCAGCCGACTTCGGCGCACGTGACTCGATGACGGCTTTTCAAAGCAACTCGGGAGAACCAGCCTTGGGACATTACGTCCTTGCATGTCCTTGTCAGCAACGTTAACACGATGCCCGATGTTCACGTTCACGATATGACCCTCCCTGCAGCAACCATAACCGACCTCATCTCACAAGTAACATCCCAAATCGCTTCTATCCGAGACGGCCCGAGCATGGACCTCGGCCCAACCGATCTCGTGGAGCAAGCTGGGAGGGCAGCACGTCATGCTCGTTACGTTCCAGGTGCGGATATACCATTGTTGCTGGGAGGACGCCGTCCTGTGCGGTCGTCATGGGATGTAGAGGATGATGACGAGGAGGAAGAGGACAAACCCGACGTGGAAGACGAAGGAGAGGGGGGGAGAGGGCATCCAGGGGCGAACGAGGCATTAGAACGATGGCTCGTTGATTCCACTTTGATTGAGCTTGTTACATCCGCCCATCCTCCACCCCTCTTGTTTGATCTTCCCCCCTTTGACTCGACGGCTCGACTGCGACGCCGGTTACGGCGAACTGATCCTTCAGAGCGGAGCCGGCAAAGCCGATGGCGACGGCGACGGGACCGAGTCCGTGCATTGCGAGGCCTGGATGAGTCTGACCCAGCTGCAGTGGTGCAGAGCATGGTGGACGAGATCGAGAAGGCCTTGGCGGAACGATTGGATCCGAATGGGGTACCAAAAGAGGATCCACCTTGCAAGGCCCCGGATTGGGCGCTTTGTTGGGAGTTGTTGGGCAGATTGGATCGAGTGATTGTTTCGAGGGATGGAGAAAGACCGGACAAGGGGTGCTATGGGGAGGGGTATAGAGCAATATTGGTTGATGGGGACGCATGCAGGTAGAAGAATCACGGGCTGTATTGATGAGGCACACAACGCTTAACTTGAGCAGGAGGTGTTTTATTCTACTTAAAACTATGCCGTCTAAGAAATCTACGAAAAGGAAACAGGATGAAGCCCTTCTTGGCATATCAAATCATAATAGAGGAAGAGTTCCCGTTCACGGCCATTATCTACAGTGGGAAATCCCACGCAAACTACTAGTAAACTCGGTGTTTACCTGTCGTTCTGCCAGCACTGCCGCTAATCGACGCCGGGTCTACACGTTCCCTCTTGGGACTGGCTTTAGTGTCTACGGCCACACCACCAGCAAATTCGGCCAATGAAAGTGTGCTATTACCACCTCCAGGTGGGGCAAGGTTTCTTCTGCCCGGCTTATGTTTTCTTGGGCTGAACTCTGGCTGTGGAGGATCATCGTCCCCAAAGGTAATGGAGCTTTGGAAATGCTTTCCAGGAGATGAGACTCGGAGGGAGGCGGGTTTGGAGCGCGGAGACTCCGTTGGTGATTGTGGGCGTGTTGGCGGAGGCGACGGTGTCTGCGAACCCAGAGCGACAGAGCTTCTGTGTCCTGGATCACCTAGTTGACGTTTCGCTGGGCGACGGATCCGTTCGTCTTCCCCTAATGGGACAATGCTCCCTGAAGGCCTAGAGGTGGAGGGAGCCGTGGGCGGAGACGGCTTTGCATCCTTTTCCTTGGTTTGTAGGATAGATCCCATGGTACTCTTTCCACCCGGAGATCTCCCACTTTTCTTTGAGATTGACAACTTGTCGATTCCATCTGACACGTCCTGCGTGTCATTTCCAAATACTGTGCTTTTATTCTTCCTCCCCTGCCACGGTTCCGTCGCTGTCTTTGGAGGTGTTGCAGGTCGGGACGGCGGTGGCGTTCGAGCTTCCGCCGCAGCCGCTTGGCTTGTGGATCGCCATGGAACTGAAGTCGTATCGTCACCAAAGACGATGCTAGTGTGTCCACCAGGAGGAGGTCGACGGGGCTAGTTGGGTATATAGTCAACAACTTCTGGTTTCATGTTTATTTGCAAGCTCAAAAAACGTGGATTCGCTCCCTTACCATTCTCGGTTTCCTTTCGGTCTTCCTCTCGTTCTCGTTTTTACGTATCGATTCCTTTACTCTCAACCGTGTCGACGGACAGACGCTTTGTCGATGGGTCAAGAGAAGATGATAGATGTCGTTTCCACTTTCTTGCTGCTCGCAGGGTTGAGCCGCTTTCTTGCCCTCCATTCCTCCCTTTGCCCGAAACGCGTGGCTTAGCATTTTGATGAGTCATCTGAGCTCTGTCCCATCGCGTTACAAGCAAAACGTCCTTCTGACCGCGCGTTTGTGGTGAACAATGACTGGCGTAAAGGTGGGCTTCCAAGGCCAGAAAGGCGCATATTCGGAGGGTGCTCTGGTGGAGTTGTTTGGATCTCAGGCACGTTGGGCGGGCAATGCCGTCGAGCCGGTTGGGTTCGAAACGTTTGCCGAGGTTTGTCGAGTTTGAGTTCAAGATGCTGGAAAAGGCACGGGTTGAAAGGTCTTTTGAAAAACAAGGTTTTCGATGCAATTCAGAACCAGTCTGTGCAGTATGGTCTTATTCCCATTGAGAATTCCTCTACGGGAACCTTTCAGTACGTATTGACACGTCATGAATGGTTTCATAAACAGTTCAGTCCGCTCATCCCAGCAGTTTTACATACGATCTCCTCCTCCGACACTCCTTGTACATTGTAGGAGAATACCAGTACCACGAAAAGCACTGGTAACACGTCCACTACAGAGCATGCAGCGGTTTGTTCCAAAAACTTACAACAATACAAGTCTTGTAGCACTTCCCGAAGTCAAATTGGAAGATATCACTCAAATCAAATCCCACCCATACGTTATTGACCAGTGCCGCAAGTTCCTTGCGAACCTGGATAAACGAATTGCGATTACTCAAGCACAAGATACTGCCTCCAGTGCTGCTAGTATCGAAAGGGAGAAGCTCACAACAACGTAGGCAAACTTTTCTGATTACAAGATTTATCCGATAGATCCCACTTAACCCATGCATGCAGAGCAGCTATTGCCGGTGCCCGAGCTGCAAATATCTACAATCTCAATATACTCAAAGAAGGCATCGAAGACGATGAGAACACCGTCACCCGCTATGTGCTCATATCCCGTACGCCGATTCAACCGGAACGGCACCAGGACCCACGAACGAGCATATCGCTATGGCTGAAGAATCAGGTTGGGATGTTCCATAAAGCCATTTCAGCATTTGCGCTGAGGGACATCAAGTGAGTGTTCACGGTTTGATGTACTTGCCGCGTGAAAGATGATGTTACTGACATCTTATCTTATCGCGGAATGCAGCATCTCAAAGATCGAGTCACGGCCGTCCACGAGGTCAATCCAGCTGTCAAAGCCGTGGGAATATGTCCTGGTACGTAGTCATGATATTTTCTGGAAGATCCTTGTCTGTATCCACTCATACTTGATTGTGTCCCAGTATATTGATGTTGACGGTAGTTCGTTGGATGCACCCCTGGCAAACGCCATAAAGAACCTGGAGGAATTTGCTTCGCATGTGCGCGTCCTCGGTACGTTCCTTGAGTCACTGTTCATTTATTCGTACAGAAATGAAAAGGTGGTAATATTTGGCCCTTTTGGCTGTACATATAGGATCGTACCCTCGATATCAGCCCCCTGCACAGGTAACTACGTGTTTCTTTTGGTATTTAATGAAACATTTACTGATTGCATTTACTGAAGCGGCCCACGGGTGTGTTTGGGATTGGAATGTGAGCGGCTGCATGTCGTATTTTCGTTGTACATTTTGGACCAAGTTCATCGCTTGGATGATAATAATTGTACTGCCCACGGTCAATTATATTTGATATAAGATGTGCCTCAAATTCATTTCTGGGATATCCAACAATCATGTTTTCTTTTTCCCTGCCTTTCTCATTGGCGGACCCATAATATGCCGAGCACAAGTTGGTCATTCATGTAACGAAAGGACTTATTATCCGGCACCTAGTAGACGTTGCTCGTGAGGTGTTTGCCCCAGGATGGATCGACAATCTATTGTCGTTGAGAAAAGAAGTTTCTAGTGATACGCATTGAGTAAAGCATCCCCTAAGACATGGGATTCACCAGCGCTCATGTTCGTAAAGCAATAGGTTCCGTTGAAAGGCATCCGCGCAACCATCGTTGAAATACAGTAACAAAGATGCGCTGGTCGGACGATCGAATTTGCTGATGACTAATAAATGGGCCACGTGACTGTAGGTTCCGCTCTTGTCGCTCGCACTGCCATAGCCCCCATCTTGCACTGAGATCCCCATCCAAATCCGGCTGAAAGAGTAACCAGCATGACCACACCGAGCACTCACCCACCAATAACCAAATTTCCACAAGGACTCGATTCCTCTCGTGTAAAAGCCATCGCCTGGTAAGTCATCTCAATCATTCCAACTCGCTATCATGTCTTCTCACGCAGCCCCACCAGTGACATGGACGGCACGACTCTTCTCCCCACACACACACCCTCGCCCCGAACTATATCAACGTTCTCCGTCCTCCGCAAAAGGCATCCAGATATTCACATTCTCTTTGCAACAGGGCGGCCGAGATCAGCTGCAGGAAATATATCGCCTTTACTTGCGACGGTGCATAGACCCGTAGGAGTGTACCTAAATGGAGCGCTGGCAGGCGAAGAAGTTCCTGATGTAGACGGAGGGACAGATCTGGAGGTCTTGTACGAGCGACCTGTCAAGTGTGCTGATGCGCGATGGTACTTGGATTGGGGTTTAAAGAGGGGATATACCGTTATTGTTTATAGTGGGGACGAAATTTTGACCACAGTGACCAAGGATCCTGTTTTCGATTTTATGAAAGAGTCCGGTGAGCCCACTGTCCTTGTTCAAAGGGATGTGCAAGAGTTTGTCAATGGAGTAGCGGAAGGCGTTGTCAAAGCCCATAAGCTGGCGTTCGTAAGCATGGATCACCAAAAAGTCGATCGAATCCGATCCGAGCTGGACTCTGATACTTTGAGACCAACTTCAACGACCATGCTCGTGCGTACGGGTCCTGAGCGGTTGGAAGTCATGCACACGGATGCTACCAAAGCTCATGCATTGGCAGTGTTATGCGAGACTGGCAAGCTGGGCGAAGAGGTCGGACTGGATGCAGTCTTGGCTTTTGGGGATGGGGAGAATGATGTGGAGATGCTTCGTGAAGTCGGGATGGGGGTTGCGATGGGAAATGCAGTCCAGAGGGCCAAAGATGTGGCGGGCTTTGTGTGTCCTCCAAATGACGAGGATGGAGTTGCGAGAGTTTTAGAAGGGTTATTCCGTTTGTCGGAATGAACATTCTATTGGACTATGGGAAGTAATAGACTCTGTAAGACTTTCGGACAATTGTACAAGATTATATATCGTATTTGTATTTACACAAAAACTAGAGAGCTGTCCCTCTCTCAAAGTTGCCTTTAATTTCTGCAGTGTATTTATCATATGATCGTGCAATCTTTTTGTTGAACTGCATATTGCGTTCGTTGATGTAGGTACTGAGGAGGACAAGTCAGCGAAGCCAACCAAAAGGTCATCAATCGTACGAGAATATACGTACACTTCGTCATCGTCATCAAACGCCCGTCGTCGGGAGAATTTGCTTCGCGCCTGTTCCCTAAAAATCGGTCAGCAATTCAGTACGGGACGAATTAAAAATGCAGTGTTCTTGAGTGACTGGTACGTACTGCTTCTGTAAATCCTGGACCAGTCTCTCAACCGCCTCCCTGCTCGGCTTACCGTCCGGGTTCGCATAAGCCAATGAATCTGCATCCCGGTAAAAGCTGCTCTCGCCTCCCTCAGTAGCCACCACCGCTGCACGTTGTTCGGCATATTCTATCAAATTGGGTTTCAGCTCTCGGACGAGTTTATCGTACTTTTTGGCCTGCGCTTGGGCGTAATCTGTAAATGCGTTGTTGGCGTTCTTTTCCTTTTGTTGCTGTTTTTCGTTCCAGGCTTCCACTTGCTCGGCTGTGTAGTGGAGGGCTTTTTGTCGGGCATAATCCTCCCCAGCCATTTCAACCGTCTGTAAGAGCAAAGGACAAGTTGAGCTTCCTCATCCATCCTAGATACTGCACAACAAACTTGTTCCAACCTCTTTCTCCAGCAATTTTTCCGCCTTTTCCTTCTTCCTTTCAATTCGCACAGCTTCTCGAGGGTTCTCTTGCTTCTTCCTATACTCTGCTTTGACGTCCTCCCGATTCAATCGTTCCGACTCGCTCTATTTGAAAGTTCAACTTGTCAGCTGTCCTGATCCCAGCAACCAACTCTCTATGAAATAAGCAGTAAATATACCCGCAGCTTTTTGAGTTTCTTTAGTCTCGCCATTTGAGCGGCCAATTTTGCCTTTTGGTCCGCTGCGTCATCCTTTGGGGTTTGTACGGGATCTGTTTGTACAGGATCTGCTGTTGTTGAAGTCGCGGTATTTGATGTGTTGTCGGATGGTGATGTATCGTCTGGCTGCTGCTCCTGCTGTGCTGGCTCCGTTGGTTCTGTGTGTTTTCTCTTTCTGGCCATTGCTAAAGTTCTGATCTTGTTGCAGGCAGCTGCTGCTGCGCACATGCCAAGCTCCTGCATATTTGTTGCCATGGCAACAACGAGTGATCAAATCACCCCTTTCTTGGGTTTCTTTTCATCCTTTTTGTTTTTCAATGCTTGAGCTTTCGCCCAACTGCCTACGCCGTCAGTTTGCTACACCAACATTGATGAACAAACGGTCACGGATATGGAGATGGACTCTGTAGTTTCCTCGCAGCTTTTCCTTGGCTTCTTGGCTTGAAGGGCTGTCACGCCCTAATGTGTGAAAACAGCCCGTCCGTCCATGCCACCACCTAGCCAAGCATCAACCCAGCCAGCCAGCAAAGCCAAGCAACGCAATGAAACGTACGAACGCTCATACGCACACAAGACGTGCCCTGCCCTTGCCAAGAAGCCAAGAGTCCTTGTTCGTCGTCTTGGCCAAAATCCAATGCAAGTCAAACTATCTAATATGACATAAGCAAGAAGGTGGATGTGGCTGGTGTGAGGTGGATGTGGCTGTGAATTACCATAAAAGGAAATTGATTGTTGTGGTTGCGCCTCTCATTCAGCCAAGCGGATTTTTATATTCAAAAAGGGCCCCCGTCGTTCTTCTTCCCATCTTTACGCATCTCATCATCATCGTCATCCTCCTTCTCGCCTTCACAGCAGCCTCCGCGTCCTCCTCCTTTTACCAACACACTCGTTCACACCCTCTTTACATTTCCTCGACATGTCTGACGACGTTGCTGCTGTAAGTTTTCCTTGTAAGATGGTAGCGGCGCGACGTGCTGGAACGCGTGCAGTCGTGTTCATCTGCGGTCAAAGAGCGGCGCAATCCTTTCTGCTGTCGCGAAGGGTACTTGCTAATTGAATATGCGAGTTCTTGCTGTTGCTCTCAAACTCGATGCATTTGTCTCTCTGCCTCGCGTTTCCGCAATCTTTCATCGCACGTTGCACCTGTTTCCTGGTTTGTTTTTTTTTGGTTAACGCTAATCGTGTTCTTTCCACGTCCTCTTTTTTTTCACCAATAGCTCGTTATTGACAATGGTTCTGGTATGTGCAAAGCCGGTTTTGCCGGTGATGATGCACCTCGTGCGGTACGTTGGCGCTACTGCGCAAAATATTTCACAACATTAGGCCTTTTCTAATGAAGCATTTCTTTGATTATCTAGGTGTTCCCATCCATTGTCGGTCGTCCCCGTCACCAGGGTGTGATGGTGGGTATGGGACAAAAGGACTCGTACGTTGGTGACGAGGCACAATCCAAGCGTGGTATCTTGACCCTCAAGTACCCCATTGAGCACGGTATCGTGACCAACTGGGACGATATGGAAAAGATTTGGTAAGGGTTGCCGCGTGACGCGTATTCGACCATCCTTTTCTTTGGTTTCTGACCGTTTTCGTTTTTTTTTATCTAGGCACCACACCTTCTACAATGAATTGCGTGTTGCACCCGAGGAACACCCTGTCTTGCTCACCGAGGCCCCCTTGAACCCCAAGGCCAACCGTGAAAAGATGACCCAGATCATGTTCGAGACCTTCAACACCCCAGCATTCTACGTTGCCATTCAGGCTGTGCTCTCGTTGTACGCCTCCGGTCGTACCACCGGTATCGTACTCGACTCTGGTGACGGTGTCTCCCACACTGTGCCAATCTACGAAGGTTACGCTCTCCCCCACGCCATCCTCCGTCTCGACCTTGCTGGTCGTGACTTGACCGACTACTTGATGAAGATTCTCACCGAGCGTGGTTACTCTTTCACCACCACCGCCGAACGTGAAATTGTTCGTGACATCAAGGAAAAGCTGTGCTACGTCGCGTTGGACTTTGAGCAGGAGATGCAAACCGCTGCGCAGTCCTCTGCCCTGGAAAAGTCCTACGAACTTCCTGATGGTCAAGTGATCACCATTGGCAACGAGCGTTTCCGTGCCCCCGAAGCTCTCTTCCAGCCTTCCTTCCTTGGTTTGGAAGCTGCGGGTATCCACGAAACCACCTACAACTCGATCATGAAGTGTGATGTCGACATTCGTAAGGACTTGTACGGTAACATTGTCTTGTCTGGCGGTACAACCATGTACCCCGGTATTGCTGACCGGTACGTGTGGGATGGTTTGATTTTGTTGCTGGTCAATTGTTGAAGTTTCTAATTCTATTTTGCTTCCTATTCAATAGTATGCAGCGTGAAATCACCGCTCTCGCTCCCTCGTCCATGAAGATCAAGATTGTCGCTCCCCCCGAGCGCAAGTACTCTGTCTGGATCGGTGGTTCCATCCTTGCTTCTCTCTCCACCTTCCAGCAAATGTGGATCTCAAAGCAAGAGTACGACGAGTCTGGTCCCTCGATTGTCCACCGCAAGTGCTTCTAAGCGCGAGGTTGCAACGCGCTGCAGGATGGGCAGGTTTCATTATACCGCGCTGCGCTGTGAACAACCAGAGAGTTTTACCTTTATTGTTGTATAATACCAGTTTGCTTCATATATCAATTGGTTCTTCAAACTGTCTCGTGCCTACATGTTTGGTCTTTGTTGATTGTGCTCATGTGCAGGCTCGGAGCAATAACTTTTAGCTGCATGTTTTCTTGCAGATTTTTTGGGTTTCCATTGCAATCCCTTTTCGTATTTCTCCAGGCAGCTAAACGCAACGGTAATCTGACCGCTGGCGACAATCGTAACTCAACCCCAATCGCTTCCTCGCTCCGTGGATTACGCGCGGCGAAAGCCGATGCTGTTGTGGAGGAGGTCGGCCGAAAGCGCACATAATAATTGCCACTCTACACACGCTCATGATTACCAGCAACGACGCATTTTTAGACTCTGGTCGCTCTGCGGCCGCTCTTCCCAAACGCTTTTCGGACAGCTGCAGTTTCCTCCTCGTGTGTTGACGAGATTTTCTCCGATGCGTACGTAATCTGCACAGCCATTTTGGATTTCGCCAGGACGGGGGAAACGACCCTCAGGGTCATCCAGGATTTACGCTTGTCTACGGGGGCTGATTTTTTAACTTTGACCCTTTACGATATCCACGAGAGAGGGTGGGATAGACGTTTTCAGTTTCCGCTTTGCGTTGGGATTCCTACTGTTGAATGTGATGTTTGCTTGGATGGTCAAGTATACTGGGATATGGGACGAATATTATGGTTTTGGAATGTGATGTATGCACAGGGTGCTTCGGTACGGTTTATCAATATATGTTGATGGTCAAGTGGTTGAAATTGAAAACTGAATTGCTTTGCTGTTGATGTAGGTGCCTAGTGTAGACATGGGTGTTGGCGCGAAATTGGGACGAGTTGGACATGTGAGTTTTGGACATTTGTTACAGCATGATTTTTAAGCATTTTGCGCTGAACTTGAAACTTTTATTACAGCAAGAGCATGATACTGACGCTCAACACCGCTCACGAATTTTATCACTTTTCCAAACGTTGGACCACAATAAAACTGGATATCTGGACCACGATAACATTATTCGACGGTTTGATGATCTTGCTGGGGCCAAGCGGAGATCTGATCGTCCTGCTGGAGAGGCTGGTCCGTTAGGGTCTGTGGTCATGTATGCGAGAGAGCTGGTTAAAGAATGTGATAAGACGAGGGATGGGCGGATTACGTTTGCCGAGTTTGAGCAATTTGTTCGACAAAAAGAGGTGGAATTATTAAAAGTTTTTCAAGAGGTTTGTTTCCTTGTCCTTGGTTGTTTCGGCGGTTTTAGTGAAAGAGCTTTGCGAGCTTTTTCTGATGATGCCTTTTTTTTCAATTAGATTGATACAAGTGGGGATAATACCATACAAAAGTCAGAGTTGAGGGATTTTGTCAAGGCTGCTGGTAGGGATATTCTGCATCTGACCTGAAAAGTCTGGATCCTTTTGCTTATCATTGGACTACCTACAGGAATTCACGTAACGGATGCGGAACTGAATAATCTAATATCACGATTTGATAAGGATAATACTGGGAGTATAACGTTTGATGAATGGCGGGTAAGTGTTTTCATCTCTGTTTGGCATCACCCAGGGGTACACGTTAATCAACTACGATTCAAAGGATTTTCTACTACTTCTTCCCCACGAACCGACCCCTGCAAACATCTTTAATTTTTATAACAGCATCTACAATGTCGACGTAAATTCTGATTCAATGCCCTTCCCTGAAACTATGACGGATCCAATGGCGGCAAAGCGTTATAGATATTTTGTTTGTGGTGGACTGTCGGGGGCGGTTAGTCGGACTGTCACGGCGCCCTTGGATCGGTTAAAGGTATGTGAACTTTGAGAAATGTTTGCAATAGATGGCATGTTAAACCTACTGGTTGCCTATAGGTCCTACTCGTTACCCAAACAACCGTCACCCCCACGACAACGTCAGCAACAGCTGCCACCACCACTCGCTCCAATACCGGCATCATCATGGAAGGCTTAAAACGAATCTACCATGAAGGGGGCATACGCTCCTTTTACCGCGGCAATGGAATAAACGTCCTCAAAATCGCCCCAGAAAGTGGTGTAAAATTCTTTACATTTGAAACTATGAAAAACTTTATCTCGACAGTTGAGCAAGTTGACCATTCTGATCACATTTCGGTTCCTGGACGATTTCTGGCTGGGGGTGTGGCGGGATTGATTTCGCAATTTACGATTTATCCCCTTGAAACGATCAAAACCCGCATTATGGCTCAAATATCTTCCTCCCCATCGTCTTCGTGTCCCTCCACCTCTCATCCACCCATGGCACAGAAACGATTGATAACAAGCACCATCCGGAGCATGTGGGCCGAAGGCGGCCTTAAAACTTTTTATAGAGGTTGTATACCCTCGCTAATTGGCATTGTCCCGTACGCTGGTATCGATCTCGGCATATATGAGACACTGCGATCCACGTATGAGGGCCGGTTGAGAGTGAGAACGGGGCGAAAGGATGCAAAAGTTGGATCCGGGTATTTGTTGGGGTTTGGAGCGATCAGTGCTGCTTGTGGGGCTACGATTATGTATCCGCTGAGTGTAGTCCGAACACGGTATGTTTGCAGTCGGAATATTTTTTGACGGTATTTTCAAACATTGAATTTTTTACGTCTTTGATTTTAGGTTACAAGCTCAGGGTACTCCCTCCCACCCAATGACATACACCTCGACGTTTGACGTGATTCGTAAAACCTACGCTGGGGAGGGTCTACGAGGATTTTACAAGGGTCTAGCGCCAACATTGCTAAAGGTCTTACCAGCCGTGTCGATCAGTTATGTCGTTTATGAAAAGACCAAGGTGTTGTTTTGAGAGCTTGGAAGGGGTAGGCTGCGTTTATGAGCTTGGTTGTTAGGTGGTGGGGTAAATTAAACAGTGGTTATGGGGCTATTTCATTGGAATAGGGGAATATGTTTGACACAGACAATGTAAATATCAATGGAAATGGGGAGTGGTAGATGGGGACTCTGATGCTCGAAGACCTTGGGGAAAACTCTTGGTGGTGGTTGTATAGATTTTTGACTTTTTTGATTTGGTTTGGTTTGGGGGTTGGTCGTTGATACCGGGGGGTTATTTGATCCTTTTTTTTTTTTTTGAAATGGGTGGGTTTTTGGCGATGGTGAAAAGAAGACAAGGACTTGTGTATTTAAGATGTGATAGACGACGGATGCCATCTTTTAAAATTTCTATTTCTTTACTTGTTATTTTGGATATCTTCATTTTATCGCTTGGTTTTGGTTTGGGGCCAGGTACATTGCGTGTGGGTCTGGTTTTTCAATCCGATAATGTGCATGTGGGAAGGGGTTTTTGCTATAGTAGCCTACATAAATATGCCTCTGAGAATATCTGGATATAAATGAGAGGCATGTTGCAATATATACATCTTTTGCTACCACCACGAACATTACCCTTTCCTCTAGGTCCTTTTCTTTTGTCATTTCCACACATCAAGACCCACCTCATCCACAAACCCCGAAACCCACTTCCAAACCTTCTGAAGCCTTGCAAGACGTCTCTTGATATCCAATAAGGGTACGAATTGTATTTTGGCGCCAGGAGGGTAGCCCCACCTCGTTTCTATCTCACATGCGATTGGACACCCATTGACGGTAGTCAAAGCTGATTCGAGTGTTTTGATTTGTTCAGAGAGGATTCGCGTGGTAGTTAATAGGGCAACGTATTGCCATGATTTACATGCTTTTGAGGCCTGCGCCAGAGATGGTTGATCTTGAATGTGACGATCAAGTTCTGATTGAGCTACTTGGTCAAATAAGCTGCAAAGGAGTTCAAGGGGGAGGACATCTCGTGCTGGGTGATTGTAATACGTTGATTTGGTTGTGGTGGTTTGAAGGAGTTTGTGAAGGCGTGTGGATTGGCGGAGGAGGGTTACTGCTTGGGTTTCGGTTTGGTGTCGGTGCGTGGCGAGGTGCTGTAGGATGGCATGGTCGCCATAATATCCTGGGCTGTAATGGAAAAGTTATAGCAGATAGATAAAAAAAAACTCAAAAAGAAAAAAAAGCAGGAAATGAGAAAAGGAAAAATAAAAGTTACCTTCGTCCAATTTCAATCGTTGTTACGGTCAAATCCTTTAAAACCTCCAACGACGACGGCCAAACACCAGCAACCATTCTCAACCCCAACATTTCCCCAATTCCAAAATCAACATCCGCGACAAAATCCACTCGGTCCAATTCACTCCACCCCGTTTCCTCAGCAATCTGCTTCAAAGCCTCTGGAGGACCTGGACAAATTACAAGAAACCTTGTATCGTGTGCCAAGAGTACATGATTGAATGCTTTTTGTGATTGTGTTATGGACCGTGTTTCGGAGGTTAGTTCGTCGGTCCATGTTTGAGTACTATCGGATTTTAGGCCTAGGAAGGAGAGGAGGCGGAGGAGGTTGGGACATACTTGGCACCAAGGATCCTGGACGATTGGATATTAGTTTTTTTTGTTGTGGGTTGAAAGCAATGCAAGGTGGATTATTTACTTTGAGGAGGATGACGACCAATTGGGATTGTTGGGTAAGGTTGACCAAGTCTACGGTTTGGCCGTTGATGGTGGTGAGTTGTGGAGGGAATCGTGCCGTATCCGAAACTCGCGGGCGGACAATCATGTTTTTTGCAACAACCTGCAGAGGGAATGCGTTTGTCCGTGATCTCGGTGGATTTACGTCAAATACTCCCAGTCGCGTCTTTATGGGTGTCCTGACAGCTTACTTGAGGCAGCCTTTATAAGTTTTCTAAACCAAAGCACAGGTCTTTATTTTTGTTATTTCCTCGCCCGACTAGATGATTGCATTACCATTTACACATACCAGAATATATGTGCTGTTTGTGGAAAACAACACTACAGGAATGTTCATCTATCAATGTAAAAAGTGGAGTAGCCGCGCGAGACTAACCCGCTTACGAAACGCATCTCATCCAAGTTGATAATTGAGGGTCCAAAGGGGCTTTATCCTCCGGAAACCTGCGGAGGGGTCTATGCTTTCATACCGTTTGTCTTTTTTCATTGATACAAAAGTTGGAATATTTGAACAAACATTGGCCAACTCGAGGGCCGGTTTTATTTGGAAGCAATTATGGCAACACCTCTCTCGATTCTTCTTCCCTCCGTCGAGTCCCCCATCAACCCAACTCCCCTCTTTCATCTCCCACTCCCTTTCGACATCAAAGAAGACCAAGCTGAAATCGACCGCGAGTCCGTGCGTCCGATTCTAGAATGGCAGATTGGGCCGGCGTTGGATAGGTTGGGTTCCGAGCCGAGGCGGGTTTGGAGGTTGTACAGTCGTCTCTGTGAAGGCGGTTCACAGATGGCGAGTGTAACAAAGAATGCTTTGAAGAGTATTTGTGGTGTTGACATTGATGATGAGGTGGCTGGTAGTACTGTATTTATTCTCTGGCTGAATATGTGTACTGACGACAGTTTGTTACAGAGTGCAGCTCTGATCGTTTCCGCATATCGGCTAACATCAGATGGTATGCATACCAGAAATTGCAAATATGAATGTCATTTGCACTGATTCAGTCAATGTCGTTTTCAGATCCAACGACGATAGAAGACTTTATTCTCGACATCAAGGTAATCTCTCTACCCGCTGTGTGCACAGCGTCCTTTACTCACGTACCTTTTCACAACAGGGAGGCCTCAACCCCACCCGTTTCGATCTAGTGCGCGATACATACCGCCTCATTTCGAAAGCAGCTAGCAACCCCAAGCAATTCGTTAAAACCGCCAAAGCCCTCTTCAATCCCCTCGGCCATCCCCGATCAACGGAACTCGGTGCGGATAAAATATTGCAAGAGTTTTGCACATACTGGGCGAGTAACCCATCAGAAGGCGTGGAGATGATTGAGTGGGAGTATTACTATGCGGGGATATCGGCGGGATTTGAATCGGATGAGCGGTTTGAGAGGATGATGTTTGGGTGCTGGCCGGGTCTGGAGAAAAAGGAAGATGGGAGTCAGGAGAGTAAAACTGGAGATGCGGGGAGAAGGACAGATTTGGAGCTGGCAAGATGTGAGGTGATGAGAGATAAGAGAAAGCTTGCGGGTCGTGTGAAACTGTTGGAGGCATTGGGTGAGCTTGTTTCTTGCTCTTTGCATCCATTTTGCAACTCGTTTGACTAAATGTGATCGATTAGTGAACGATTCTCGCACCTTTCGATCAGCCCTCGACCTCTGTCTTTTGCGACATCCCCCACCTCCTTCCCCACCTGCTCAGCAACCGCTTTGGACGCGAACCTACCTTTGCAACATCATATCCCAAATGTATGCACTGGTTGGGTACACCATCTCCACTACTGACGAAGATGAACAACTTATCAACAGTCTCTATCGGAGAGTACTAAAGGAAGCTGGATTCAGAGGGCTTGAAGTCAATGGGAAGGGGGGTGCAGGAGGAGGTGGGGTCATGGAGTTGGAAACGAGTCTGCGGAATGCGTTACGGAGAGAGTGCAACTTTTTAGAGTACAGAATTGTGGCCAGGGTCGCGCAGATGTGATCTTCAAATCCACTTGGCCTTTTACTGCTTTTGTTTCTGCATAGAGAAGATGTGGGTGGAAGTTGAAGCGTATCGCAGTAGGTAAAGGGAAGGATAATAGGGGACGACAAGGAAGACACTAATGGATTTGCGACACGCTGACGAACCCAGAATATTATTCAAGCTTTGAAGAATACCAGGATAATAGTCCACATATAGTTTCGCTCTCGTTTCTATACATTTTGATGCCACATATACAGCCGGTCACATATTTTCCTCTTGTATGGTCTACGTCTATGCCTTGTGCTCATCGACATACGCAGGCTTGATCCTCGAGCTCAAGACTTGCTCAAAAGTAGGATCAACCTGCTCTGAGCTTGACACATCCATTTTCAGGTCCCTAAACAGAGAAAGTCAACATGGTGGTTATATCGCACAGCTGAAAAATGTTGAGAGCGAACCTGATCTGCCCATCCGACAATCTGTAAACCCATGCGTGAACAGTCAAGTCTTGACCCTTTTTCCACGCATTTCGGACAATGTTTGTATGACAAACACCCCGAACGGTTCGTAGTACGTTCAGTTCGCACATCAAATCAACTTTTTCCTTTGGGTCCTTTACGGCCTCCACTCGTCGTCTGTGCTCCATATAAAAGTCTTTGATGGGTTGCAGCCAGTTGTCGAGGAGACCGAGTTGTTGGTCGGAGAGTGCGGCATGCACACCTCCACAATTGTAGTGACCACATACGACAATGTGCTTCACCTTGAGAGCTTCAACGGCGTATTGGAGAACGGAGAGGAGGTTGAGATCGCTCGTGGTAAAGGTGTTGGCAATGTTACGATGTACAAACATGTCTCCAGGACCGAGACCGACTGGCGAATGTCATTGTCAGCGAGGTCAAAAATACAAGTTGTCTTACAAGCATCCAGAAAACTCACCAATTTCAGTGGGAGGGACGCGAGAGTCACTGCATCCGATATACATGATTTCGGGTGCTTGTCCTTGCGCCAAAGTCTCGAAAAGACCAGGGTTTTCAGCCTGCTTTTGTTTCGCCCATGCCTTGTTGGCGTCCAGCAAGTGTCCTAGCAATTTAGGACTACTTGTTACAGGCTGGGTAACCTGGTCGGCAACTGGCCGCTCCTCGTTAGGTTTCCCATTTTTTGGATGAAAGATTCCACTGAGCATGCTGATGTGTCGACGGCCTGATATTGCAGTGTACCGAGATGGGTTGCTCGCAAAGGATCTCAAGAGCGGACACACCAGCCGGCTGCTGGCTTTTATCAAAGGCAGTTTGAAGGGAGATGGAATGAACCGTTGTAGTCACAACGGCTCGGCAAGTTTGCCCAAATGAAATTGAGACTGTTTTGAAATGTAATCGAAAGGAACCCTTTATCGTTTCCTTGTTGAGATGAACGTTGAGATGAGCGGTGGGGGGGGAGAAGCTAAATAAGCAAATCGACAACGGAGATAAACGGCCGGAGCAAAGCAGCAGCAGAAGGAAAAAAAAAAAAAAAGTGAGACAAATGACGAAAGTGTGAAAATCAAAAAGGCAAGTCGCGTGTGTGATTTTAAAAGGTTGTTGTTTGTGGGGGGGAAATCGGGACGAAACAAGATTGAGTTTATTGGCAAAACGGGATTTGTTTAAAAGGGAAATTGAGTGAAGAAGGAGAATGAACGAACGAACAACGACGACGATTATTAAGAAAATGGGGCATTGAAATGACAAGTGTGTTTATTGCCAACTGTGTTTTAGTTTATTATCTTGTCATCTGCATGGCCCATCTGGCAGCTTCATTTCCTATCGCTCTGCTGCAACACTTGTTTGATCGGAATGGGCCAAACTCTTGAGATCGATCATCTCTCCCTGGAAATCCCTCCTAGTTTTTAAAAAACCCTTGATGGTTGATGCACTGGGCGCTTTTGGGGGCAACACTTGATGCATTTACAGCAAGCGTTTCTTTAAATAGCAACAGACAGCCAAGTCATAATGTGTTGCTCTCCAACACCACACTTGTGGAGCGACGCAAACGTCCGTTTATCTAAAAGCACCACATCTATCTGGATAGCTGTGCAAACAGTCCATGCGTACCACTGTACCGCCATTGAGTGCCAATTTACGCTCCAAAAGTTCCTCCTTGCATGATCTATTGTCAAGCAAAACAGAAACCAACAATGGTCTAGTCCATGAGCAGACGGGAGAGCAGCAGGAGGATGGTGGGGATATCCCAGCTTCACCTGCCGCCACACATGGAATCCACTCTTGGTCAGATAGCGAGACATCTGCCTACATTTCCTGGATCAATGCACTGCTCCCTCCCACTGACCTCGATCTGGCGCACCTTTTGCCCCTTACGAACGCTGAAACCTTTTTTGACGCTTGTCGGACCGGTGTCCTCCTGGCCAAACTCTTGGACAAGACCATACCGGGTTCAATACCCATGGAAAGAATCCACCGGAAACCAAAGACTGAGATTCATATGCGAGAGAACTGTGGACTGGTCTTGGACGCTTGTCGCAAGGTTGGCGTAAAGACGCTGAATATTGGGCCTGCTGATGTGATGGCCGGTGTGCCGCATTTGTGTTTGGCATTGGTCTGGCAGATTATCAAGGTATGTAGGATGGGCCAGCGGATTCCAATTTTGCCAGACTCTGAATTCTCACTCCCGGTTTGTTGCAGGTGGGACTCATGTCCAAAATACAGGTGGATGATCCTTCCGCACCAACAGATCAGCCCAAGTCAAAAGCTGGCACATCTACTCAGGCCGTACCGCAGGACCGTGTCCTGCTGCAATGGATCAACAGAGAGTTGAAGCGCAATGGATGTCCTCGCTCCGTCTCTAATTTCGGCACAGACCTTTCTGATTCCGAATGCTATGCCCATTTGCTCTCATCCATTGGAGATGGAGGTGGCATAAATGTTACCGGGGTACTACAAGAAAGGGACTTTTATCGACGGGCAGAGATGGTTCTGGATGCTGCAGATGCACTTGGGTGCCGATACTTTGTTACTCCCAAAGAAATTGTGGCGGGCAACCGAAAGTTGAGCATGGCATTTTTGGCGGTTTTGCATGAAGCAATGATACGATTGGGGAGACATGGCGAGCGGGACCAGGTTGCGAGACACAGGGAGACAAGCGAGACATTCGCACAACAAAGCTCGGAGATCAAGCGACTCAAAGACGAGCTAGACACCATGCGGGCCAAGATGAAAATAGTAGAGTATCAAAACGCTGAACTCCAGCAATTGGAAGGAAGGGCGATGGGTGAGGTCGGAGGTTACAAGAAAAAGGTGGACGCTCTTCAAACCCAGGTGAAGGAACTCTTGGCCGAAAGATCAACTCTAGAGTCCGAAGCAGAAACCGCGCAAGCAGACGCAGCTGCACTCCGAAAAGAAAATGGCGAACTCCAAAAGAAAACTCGCTCCCTGAAAGAAGAGTCAGGGCTCCTCCGTGCCGAAATCAAGGCCCTTACTTCCGAAAACCGCTCCCTCCAACAGGAGCTCGACAACCTTTTGCAAGAGCTTCGGGACCAGGCCACGGAGCTTAAAGAGAAGCTTATGGAAGCTGGAGAGACGGTGGCAAGAATGACAACCGAACGAGTTAAACTTCGTGCAGAGTTGGATGAGATGACCATCGAACGAGCACAGCTCCGTCAGGAAATCGAAGCTCAGACGGCAGCTAGATATAAATTAGAGGAAGAGCTTGATATGCGACAGCATGAATTGAAACGAATCTCTGTCGTGACGGATTCAGCGATTCGCGAAAAAGAAATGCTACACAAACGTGTGTCGGACATGGAGATTGACATTGAAGCCACTGAAGGGCTACTCCAATCCCAGGATGCTCCACCAGAGACCCGAGCAATACAAGTCGGCTTGGAAGCACTATTAGAAACCGATACAACACCTGCGATTGTAGAGGATCAACTACGATCGTCCACTGCTACTTTATCAACGTCAAAGCGACCTCGCAGTGTGAGTCTCCTTGCAAGGAACTCGACATCGGATCTGCAACTCCTAGGATCACCATTAGGTCTCCGCTCCAGAGCGTCATCCGTGACAAGCGGGACTAGCACATCTGATAGACCTCGCGTCCTTCCAGTGGCAGTGCAGATAAAGTGGCTGCTGGATGACAAGGACAAGTTAAAGGATGATTTGGAAAAGGCTTTGAACCGTGTTCGCAACCTTGAAGAGACGATAAGAATGTTAAAATCTGCGAGTGAAGCTGTTCGGTTGGCGCAAGCCATGGATCCTGTTGCGGATGTAGAGAGGCCGGTTTCCGAAGTAGTGGAACGGATGGATAAGGTTGGTTATCTTTTATTTTTTGCCTCATGCGATCCTTTCGGAAACTCAAGTTTGAAAATACTGATTCTTTTCCCTTTCAAATAGATCAATACCGAAATGCGCGCATTGACAACTAGGATTCGAACTAGACATCACCCAACTTCCAAATTGCACACTAGCATGACTTGATACATAGGTTTAGGTAGGATTTCAAGCAGATAGACAAAGCCGTAGTTTATTTAGGGATTAGGACCTTATATGAGACAAAGAAGAACTGCTTGCTGTCTCTCAAGTCAGGTAAACGTCAAATAGGGTAGACCTTGAAGCAACTATTACTTGAACATGTCCTATATCCTGTACCCTTGCCCTATACATCTGACCCATAAAAATATACACGTAGAATCCTACCTAAAATACATCTTTTAATAAAGACCCTCCCGATGGATTTTAAAGTCCAAATGTCCATCATCTTTCGATCCAATCCCCAACCTGGACGAATCTACACCTCCACTGCTCACCCCAGACCGATTCATGATCAATGTCGCAGGTTGCGCAATATGCTTTGCAGCCGCCTCAAGTAAGGATACATCCTTGTCCACTGTGACTGTTGCGATGCTGTAGACCGTTAGAGCTGCTACTGCCATCCAATACAAAAAGACAAGGACCCAAAAGACAATGAGAGGAGCCCAGGGAATAAAAGTTGCTTGTGTCGGTTCTAAATGTTCTTCGAAAAGTGTTGGACTCGTTGTATGGACTCCGGCTACTTGCGCTAACGATGTAGTTGCGATACTGTGGGCGTAGGCGTGAAGAACGGATTTTTCGCGGATACCAGGTGGGACGAGGGGACTTGCTTGGCCATTTGTGTACATTCGGGATGTTGTCCCAGCTAATTTAATAACATAAAGATGAGTATATGAACTAGTAAAAAAGTAGAAACGACACCCAAGATATATACCATTGAACATTGCCCCGGATACAGCCCAAGTAGCAGACGAGTTTTGCGGAGCAGGAATCGCCGACACAACCGTCAACCGTCCTTGATTGTTTCGGTATCTCACGGGTTGCAGTACCTGCACATTGCAGACCAACAATCCGTACATTCTTGCCCCGCCTGTATGCATAAAGCCCACTATTGTTGTTATGCCCGGCATCAGTATTCAGTTCGCCTTGGTCGACATTCCAGATCATGGACCAAAAGACAGGGAACGGGTTGTTTGGCTGCCCGCGCTGTTGCAAAGCTGTAAAGGAAGGATCAAATTCTGCGGTACCGGACTGTATATTAGATGGAGATCAATATAACACCTTGAACGACAGGTACATACGTCCGGCATTCCATCCGGCTTGTGGGCCTTGACCAACTGTATCCGTCAGTCCCGGCTTCCCCGGACAATTATAACCAACAGATCCGGCCGGAGGTCCATTTATGGGTTGGAACACTGTCACATTGCAGACTGGAGTAAGGTTTTCGCAAGTCACCTTGACGCCGGTCGTTTCAGCTATATAGTTGATGCCCGATGTGTCCCCGGCGGGGAGGAGGAGGGCGGTGACCTCTGGGCTTTGAGGATCAGGATCGTCCAGAGTGCGCACCTGAGCCAAATGAAATGTCGTCAGGCTGGTATGGTTAATGAAACTTGGACATCATTCGCAGAAATCCTTTACCATATGCTTCGTGGACATGTTATTAGCGGTCAATAATCCGTCATTCCCACCTCGCAAGATATCCATTGCACCTTGGGCATCAGCGCAACTATTGGCTACATACCTCAGGACACAAGGTAAAATCTGTTCACCCCCACAATCAGAATAAACTGGTGCCTTCTGGCATTCATCGTCGAGTACCCTGCCCAAAGCTGATGTCACCGTCGGTCGTGACGCTGAGACGGGTACAATTTGGCTCTGTACAGCAGCATGTAGCCATATGCCTTCCACAATAGCGATAGCGTAGGTTAAAATAACCAGTGGAACAAACATGAAAACCACCACTCGTAGGAGGGATGAGACGACTGAGCGAGACGATGTCATGCAATAGAAGAGTGCTTGCATAACTGAAAAGGGGCTTGCCGTTGCACATATGTTGGACATGAGAGTGAACTTTTGTCTTTTGTCAGTTGGTAGTCTACTGAACAGCAGGCACTTGGTCTTACCTGCTTTGGAGTAGGCAACCGTCGGTACGCTCCATTGTCATTCGATGCAGAAAATGATGCCTTGAGCCATTGGGAGCTCAAACTGTATGCTAGTGTCCCAGCCAAAAACGGCAATGTCAAGGCCGTGAACCTGTACAGCAGATAAAGTTTCGTATCATCCAATTAATGACAATCTTGGTTCCTGCAACGTCGTACCTCGACACCAAACTGGTAATAAGCAGCACTCGACCCGCAAATGCTAGAATATACAGTCCACTTGAATCAACTCTTAAAAAAGTCGCTTGCAGATAAGCAGCTAATGCAAAAGTTGCAGCGTTGGCACGCCATGTAAAGAACCGGAACCGGAAAGTGAACATTTCTTCAAAAAGGACAACATACCAAACCCTGCAGCAATGATCATTGTCGTGAATATAATCACAACACTTGGAATCCATATCCGTGAGCGTTTGGCCTCTGCCGAGTACTGGACGGGATGTTCTTCGATTTGAATGGTGGAAGTTGAGTTGGTATGGCTTGGCTGAAGCCACAGAAATCAATAAAAATTATGGTTTTAAGGTTGCCCTCCAAATGAAAAACGAAATACGCTTGGATTTTCAGCGCCCTTTTTTGTATTTTCGGCAGTGTCGTGATGTGCGATGTTGACGGGAGCCTCGGGAGGATCCATATTTGCTCAACTGTTTTCCCAATGTGCTGTCTTTGTCTTGCTTGCGTTGGCAAGTTTTTTTATGTGAAAACCGCTGTTTGTCGTCTGGCTTGCTCAGTAGGGACCTCTTTGTTTACTTTTAATTTCCTTGACCCTTTTCCGTGTCGGAGGGTTGGCTGTGCACGCGATTTTTGTCACCCAGCGCAAGTTTCAAAAGACTGTATTTTAGATGGTTTTATTGCTAAAGGCAAGTTATGATAAAGGACGGGAATTTCTGTCTAGAGTTGACACATTCCGTCTAGAGTTGAAAGCAAATTGTCCAAAGTACGGCATGTTTACATGTTATCTACAAGTTCATGAACCAGATGTGGTCCCAAGTGTACGTTCGACCCAACCCTCCAGATACTGAAGCAGAGTTAATGGCAGAAAACAGACAATACCACAACATGTGTTGCTATGAGATAACCCTTTTGAATCCCCACATTGAACCCGCATCTGAAAAGAATACAATGGAAATCAAGAGTTTTGCTATACAAAAAAGGCTCGGGAAAGCATACTTACATATAGCAGCGGTGATACCCTGCAGTAAGAGCTTCATCTCCACAACAAAACCATATAGTTGGAATCCCTTTGGCGACCGGTCCAAGTGACATAAAAAGCGATGCACTCTCGCCGCCGTGTCCATCTCTGATGGTGTATCTCTGAAACGACAAAGGCAGTCGGACAGGAGAATGATTGTACGGCGGACTTCGTCTGTGACACTGGCTAAACTGTATACGACAATAACAAGAGAGAACAAGGACGTTGCAAAGGCGTGCAAAATCATTGTGGGGACAAGGAATGACGGCAAGTTCCAATTCGAGCTAGTAAACACCTAGAAGAGTGTTTAGGGTTGAATAAAGTACTCGACAAGGTATCAAAACAACAGTAAAGGCAGCTAACCAGCAAGATGCCATCGCCCAAATTAATCGCATGGACGATTCCAAAAATTGCAATCGCAAGTGCATTGGCGGCACAAAACTTGCGCAACTGAGTATCGGCTTTTCGAAAGTACGTCATAAACTCCTCGACATCTTGCGGGGTCGTCAAAGGCACATCGCGGCGAAGCGTTTGCCATTGGTAACAGAGTCCTTTGCACATAATGTAAACCTGCTCAAAGTGCATGAGGAGCTGAGCCATCATGTTAGAGTTGAATTGTAACTCCTTACACGAAAGAGGAATGCATAGGTTGCTCCATCGTAAACGGTCACACCAACAATGTGCAGGAAAGTATAAAGGAACCTGACGCCGCCATGATGAATGTACTTGTAAATGTCAGAAGGGCTCCATATCCAGATCATTGGCCAAAGAGCTAAACGGGAATCTTAAATATGTAGCGGCAATGGGTTTCTCAATCAGCAAGGTTACAGTACCTGCATTCTCGTCATCTAGCTGGATCCCCACCGGGACATACCATGATATCGTCGTCCCCAAAAACGCACCCAGGAATATTGCTAATTAAAACAACTGATCAGAATCATCCCACGGGTTCAAAAGCACATGTGTAGCATTTCCTCATACCAAACACCAATGTTTCCTCATGCCGCCGTACGGGTGCGAGAAGGCCGGATCTTGCTGCCAAGGTAGAAAGATCATTCGGCTTTTGCCCTCGGGTTAAAAAGTGCAGAACGAGGAGGAATATCGACGTCGTCAGGATATAACTACGCAATAAAAAAAAACACGAGTTGAAAATAGGTGACGTTTACTGTTTTCCACCTTTTCAAGAACTTACAGCACCAAGGCGAGCTGGCCTAATCCCATCATGCCTTGAACCGTCATCAACATTCTAATGTAGGCACCCAACACGACGACCACTAAGCACAAGCAGACCACGTTGACCACTTTTGCGATTTTCCGCATCATAGGCCGACATTCTAAACATGGGTCCACCCCGAAAAGAAACGCAAGGAAGCGTGCCCCTTTGAACGTCGATAGCGAGACTGCTTGATAGTCTATTGATTCAAGATCCAACATGGACCATGTTTTTCTACCCTTGATGTGTGTTCTCCCCAGCGAAAGGGTTTCCGGTGATGCATAGCTCGTCTCTGGATCGCATTCAACGGTTTTAACGATGAGGAGAGTCATGGTTGGGTGTCTAGCGCTGGTCCATAGGGCTATTAGTAGTTAACTGGGTTAATGTGCAAGGGTTTTTTCGTTATGGGTCGAGATGCACATCCGCGATCCGCGGTTTTAAATGTTATTTATTTCCTTGCAATAAGCTAGGTTGATTACCCAGCATTCTATTTTTAGGGATTGCCATAAAGTAACATTCATGGATATAGAGAAGGGATTGTAATGGTTTGGCAGATCCCTCAAATGCCACAAGTGCGCCCTGCATGGTATTGACGATAATCGTACCAAGGGACCCTAAATGCTCGAAATGTTTAGGGGTAGCTTTGATTGTCATGCTTAATCCAGTTTCTTTTGAGAAAAACAAATCCCACAATCCTGGATGGTCACCCTGCAAGCGTTTACAATTCTAGATGTTTGACAATCAGTTCAAATGCAGACAAGTTAGAGGTCCTTTTTTGAATGGAATCAGAAAAGTGTGAAATGTGTAAGAGCTCACTACCAATGCACTCCTACACAAAGAGAAAGACTGCGAGCGGGTGTGAACACTCTTGTTCTCTGCACCATGCTTGAGAGACGCGCTATAGTTACAAGAGTGCATCACTTCAAAAAGTGCAATATGACAAAAAAAGGCGAGCCCATCGCAACGACGCAGCCGGACAGACCCCAATGTACGGTGGGTATGGGCGGTCTGCGCGGATGAAGAAGCAAGCCCACTCTAATGTCCGCAGCGGGACACAACCAGTAATGGTCGGTGGACATGAGCCTTCTGTTCAAAAAGGCGATGGCAGATGGTTAGAGGAAGAAGCCCAAAGGAAGAACACACCTAGAATGTTGGTTGTCTTGGTTGCCATGACAACAAGAGCACAATTTAGCCATGAAAGGCAATTTGACTACGCATTGTAGCACGTGATCTGTCAGTTGGGAAATGGCCCCCATGGAACCCACTTTGCTTGCTTTGCTGGAAGGCTTTCCATCATCGGTCTCACCCCATCTTGTGCTCATTTCGCCTTAACGGCCTGCCTGCATCGCCCTCTATACGACTCTACAGGACAGTCACTATTGCTCTGTCCTTTTATCTCCACGTCATTCCGGTTTCCTAGTGGGACGGATCTGGAATCATCGACGTTGTGGGGCGCGTTGCCACTTTGGAGGCAGCGATTGGACTAAACGTTTAAACGTAAGTACAGTGTGAAATGTAAAAAGAGTCTGTGGATGAATTGTGGAAAGGGATGTGATAAGGCGGATCGAGTGCATGCGTTGTGAAATGAAAGTTTTCAAGTTGGTCCATGGGCAATGGGAGATCTGATTCAGATTGGAAACTGAACTCCCTTCTTACTGACAAAAAGAATCCAGGCGATCCGACGTTGGAATGTTTAGCGGCTACGGCTCGTCTGGCTTTGGCCAGCAGCAGCAGCGTCCTGCTAGCACCGGATTTGGCGGAAGTAGCTTTGGTCAACCTCAACAGCAATCAACTTTTGGCGGTACGTGATCGATGTGACCTGGAAATTTAGTGCGAATCTCTCATTGCTATGGCTTCTTAGGTTTTGGGCAGCAGCAGCCACAGCAGCAGCAACCAACACAACAGCCAAGCACATTCGGCGGTGCGACTGGTGGATTTGGCCAGACCAGTACGTTTGGTGGAACTCCAGGTTTGTATGCATTGTGTGTATTGATATCATTATATCTAATGATTGTTGCTTCCAGGTGGTGCATTTGGCGGAGGTACCACTCCCGGGGGTGCATTTGGAAGCACTGGTTTCGGCAGTAGCGCTGGTACTTCTTCATCAGGTTTCGGCAGCACGTCAACGGCACCGACTGGTGGATTTGGCGGCTTTGGTACTGGTAAGTCCGAGTTGATGATTAGGCTGCAAGAGACTCGAAACATCAAACATGTCCCACCCTTCATGTGATACAGCGAGTGCTGCTCCAGCTACTGGCGGATTCGGCGCAACCTCTGGAGCAGGTGCCTTTGGACAGAAACCTAGTACTGGGTTCGGCAGCTTTGGAGGGGCTACCCAACCAACGCCGAGTGGATTTGGCGCGAGCACCACAGGTTTTGGCGGAGCGGCCACAAGCGGTTTTGGAAGCACTGCTGCCCCCACTGGTGGTCTCTATGGAGCGACTGCTGGAGCCACGAATGAGCAAGCCAATAATGGGACGGGTAACCCGCCCTTCAGCGCCCCGGCTGAGAAGGAAGGAAACCTGGGGGCGGCCGTGAACCTTCATAACATTAGTGCCATGCCCGCCTACAAGCACTGGTCTACCGATGTAAGTGAGGTATCAGTTTGCACTTTACCGAATGCGGTTCTAAGATATCTTAATCCACAGGAACTCCGATTCCAAGATTATCAAATGGGGAAACGGTTTGCTGGAACTGGTGCGGCTGCTCCAACGGGCGGGTTCGGTAGTGGATTTGGTACGTCCACTAGTACGCTCGGGCAGACTACGCAAGGCGGAGCCTTTGGCACGACTACTTCTGCCCCTTCCGGTGGGCTTTGGTCTGGTGGTGGTGGATTTGGGACCCAACAACAGCCGGCTTCGACCGGGACCGGATTCTCAACATTCGGAGCGACAGGTGTGTGTTTGCAGAGACTTGGTCGTTACTGTCGAAAACGGCTGATTATGTCATCTTCCAGGTGGATTCGGACAAACCCCAGCGGCATCTGCTCCCGCCGGCTTTGGACAAACAACTACAGCAGCAACCGGATTTGGACAAACCCAGCCAGCCACAGGGGGTTTTGGGGGCTTCGGACAAACGCAGCAACAAAAGCCAGCAGGATTCGGGCTCGGTACGTATTGCCTATCTCATGTTTACTATCACTTATATGGCGAGCGAGTGACGTATCAAATCTTTAGGTACCGCAACCTCCGGCTTCGGGACCGGTACATCCACATTTGGACAAACGGCCCCGTCAACCACGGGTGCCTTTGGAACTGCTGGCACTACCACCACTGGGTTCGGCCAAGGGTTAGGTACGAGCGCTGCTCCTGCTACAGGCTTTGGTCAAACGGCGACTGCCGGCGGGTTTAGTGGACTGGGAACAACCTCAACTGCAGCTAGCGCTTGGGGACAGAAACCTGGTAAGTCAAGAAGACTGCCTATGTTGAATACTAGTGTTTACCGCTCGCCATTTACAGCTACCACAGGATTTGGCGGTCTTGGCCAGCCAGCCGCTACCACAGCGGCTTCATTATGGAGTTCAACACCTGCTGCCTCAACAGGCGCTTCTCTGTGGGGAACATCAACTGCCGCAACGCCAAGCTTGTTCGGACAGCAGGCTCAGGCGCAACCGGCAACAGGCGGCCTTTGGGGTAATACGGGAGCCACGGGCTTTGCGACTGGCTTAGGAGGCCAGCCAAGCGGAGGTCTTTTCGGGTCGGCTCAGCCATCTACAGGTAGGGAGAGGGAGATTTGTGGGCAGATGTCTGGGGTTGCAAATTTGACTTACTGTTCGCCCATAGGTCTTGGGCTAGGTGCCAGCCAACCTCAAGTCGCTCAGACTGGAGCCTCGTGGTTCGGCCAACCGGCCACTTCAGCTGGAACAACATCACTGTTCGGAAATTCACAGATTGGCGGGGGCCTGGGTCTTGCCGCTCCCGCAGGCGGATCGCTCTTTGGTGGAGCTGTTACAACCGCGCCGATGGGATTCAGTGGAACACTTTCCTCAATGCCGGGTCAACCTACTTTAAGTGCTAGCATTGATAAGAACCCTTATGGAGTGAGCCAAATCTTTGAACCCTCTACAAAGAAGCCAGAACCTACGCTGCTACCTCTCCCGGAAAAGAAGAAGCCGCCAATGACACCATATGCGAAGGTGTCGGCTCGCGAAGCATCCAAGATTAAGCTTCGAGGTTTTGGACCATCGCCGCTTACAAAGTCGCCTATAATCAACGGTGCTACTCGATATGAATCGGCGATTGGAACGCCGAAGGACGACGCAACTCTGGGTTTGGATACCCGTTTCACACCCCGCAAGAGTGTACGGCGACTGATTATTGAAGATGAACCTGCCGAGACAAATGGAACGGCCACAACACCGGTTAGCAAAGGAAGGAGCACAACCAAGAAGACGGTCACGTTTGATCCGCGCCTGGAAAGGACTGCTGCTCGTCAGCTGACTAAAGAGTTTGCCGAGGCCCAGGAGGAGTACGGCGGAGAGAGTCCTGTACCGGGAACGCCGCCTTCGGCGCGTACGTTAAGCAGCGCCTCGTCGAGCGTGCGAAGTGGCAGCCTCTTGAGTAGTCCCGGTTCACCAGGGACACCGACACCTACTGGCCGAACCTTGTCTGCTGTTTCGCCACCATCGGCGCCATCTACTCCGGGTAGTGAAGGTGTCAGAAGATCGGCATCTCCAGCTAGCACTCCTGGAAGTCCCGCACGGGGTTCTGACTACCAATTGGAACCACCGATAAGTCAGCTGCTTCTAAAGAGCGATGAGGAGCTCAAAGCCTTGGAGAATTTCAAAATATCTCTACCCGGTATTGGCTACGTCAGGTGGCTGGAACCTGTTAATCTCCTTGAAGCCTCTCCGACCAAAAACCGTGAAGGTCTTGGCCAGATTGCTGGCACAATTGTCACATTTCAACCAAAGTTGATTACCGTATATCCTGATGACGCAACTAAGCCGCCGGTGGGGCATGGATTGAATGTTCGCGCAGAAGTTGCGTTAGAAAAATGCTGGGCTGTTGATAAAACGACTAGAGAGTTCATTTTGGATGTAACTGATCCCCGACACGATCGACTTCTTAAAAAGCTCGAAAACATGCCCGAAACTGTTTTCATTGGTTTCCATAATGAAACTGGGACGTGGAAGTTCCAGGTGGAACATTTCAGTCGGTACGGATTGTTGGATGATGACGAGGAAGCGCCGCCACAGCCACCATCGCAGCAAAAACGGCCACAAACTGATCAGCAAAGTCCGTTTTTTCAGGACGCCCAGGTTGGCACACAAGGAGCGGGTCAACCCAATCTGGGCGATACTAGTGCAGACTCGGCGTTAGAGGACTCGATGATTCATATTAAGCGTCGTCCTCTTGTCCGGAAGCGACAAATTGTTGACCTGGCTAAAGAGTGGGAAGAAAATGTAAGCGAAGATTCTGAACAGGAAGAGGAGATACTAGAAGAAGAGGCAGAGGAAGAGAGTGATGATGAACCAATGGGAGTCTCCATGATTTATAGTCCGTCAAAACATCAACTGCCAGTCTCAACGAGTCCGACGATCGAAGAACCTGCATCCCCTCCCCTCACTCCGCGCGAAAAGAGATCATTTCGAGAAATGGAAACGGCTCACAGTGTGCAGAGAATGAAGGCATCGCTGTTTGGACCGACAACCAGCTCGCCTAATCCGACGGCTAAAAAAGCGACACCTAGAAAAGCTGTTCAGTTCAAGGTACCGGATGTATCAATAGGCGGTGATTCCAGCTTTAGCGAGTCACAAGTAGACTGGTCCCTTTCCGTATCTTATACTCCACGAACGGGAGACAAACGCTCTCATCTTGATATTCCGACGCAAAAGGGATCTGAGGAGGTTGCGCGTCCTCGCCGTGGGTTTGGACTGTTGGACGAACTGGAAAACGCAGGAGCTGTGCAAACATCGATGCAAGTAGACGTGGATGCGCAAGTTTCGCCTCCTGTGTCGCCAAAGAAGTACTTTAAAACGGACGCAAAGACTCTTCCGCCGCTGGAAAAGAGCGTGATGTTTGGGCAAGATAAGCAAATCGTTGACGCGGGACTGATGATGGGGAGGAGTTTCCGAGTTGGATGGGGTCCTGGAGGGACATTTCTTTCAGTGGGTGGAGCTGTCGGCGGCATCAAATCCTTTTCAAACATATCCATACAAGCTGTCAAAGTGTTTGGTAGCACGGATGAGAAGACAATATCGATTGAGCGCAAGCGGCACGAAAAGACTTTGGAAAAGGCTTTAAATTACTCCACTACTGTGCGAACGGCTGTTGGATTGGACACTAGATGGGAGTATCAGATCCTTGATGAAGAAGAGAAAGATGATACATCTACTGGAGTTTCATCAGTACCCAAAGCCGTTTGGAAGCCAGATTTTCACTTTGTTCCTTTTGTTGACGCCATGGTGGAGGGTAATGACTGGCCACGCCTTCGTCACGGTGAAGATCAAGTCTTGTTTGAAGAACAAGAGGCCCAAGTGTGGAAGCTTGCCAACGCTTTGTGGGATCCACTAAATCACTCGAATGCGCCACAGTCGCAGTCACAGCTTTTGGAAAACGGATTAAGGCGCGAGATGATCAGCCGGTGGCTAAAAGAAGCCGTTATGAAAGAGACTAGTCGTGGGGCACAGTCAACGCATGGTGCTCGCAAGATATTTATACTACTCGCTGGTCGTCAAATGGATAAAGCTATCATGGCTGCCATAGAGAACAAGGATTTAAGACTCGCCAGTATCCTGAGCCAACTTGGTGGACCCGGGAATCGAGTCTTGGCGTTGCGTCGAAATGCTCACTCTCGGGACCAAGGCACCGGTGGACATGGCATACCCGGTCGATATGGAACGGACGAGGTTGTGGCTGAGATGTTAGTTAAACAATTGGACATTTGGGAAGCAGCCGAAGGGAAAGGTGGCAGTGGAATTGATGGCGAATACATGAATGTTTGGAAATTGGCGGCGGGCAACCTCGCGACCTGGGGATTAGAAATATTTGAGCTTGTTCAAGATTGGAAACGGACGTTTGGGCTATTCTTTTGGTACGGTGGGTCAGCTGCATCGAGTCTCAACGAGGCTCTTGAACAATATGAACAAGGCTTTGAAGCTTCGAATGATGTAAGGCCGCCACTGCCAGCGTACCTCGAGGCCACTCAGGATAAAGTCACTGGAGACCGGCCCAAGGATGTTTGCTTTCATCTCCTTAAACTCTTTACGGAGCGGGATTATCTCCTTGAAACCGCCCTTGACCCCAAAAGTATTTCACCGAACCAGCTTGACTATCGGGTCAGTTGGTTAATCTGGAATATATTGGCAAAGGTGAAAAAGGTGCGGAGTTCCGCGGATTCGAAACTGGAGTCTGTTGTCATTCGCGAGGCTTTCCCTGATGGCACAACCATGGAAGATGTTACCCAAGTCGAGGCACGCTCAGTATCCACCGAGGATCGTTTGACGAGGGACTTGATGTGGCAGTTAGAAACGTTGGGCTTGTGGAAGTGGAGTATTTATGTTGCCCTTTTCTTTAGTCGGATAGAGGAACGGGAAAGAGCGATTCGAGAGTGTTTGGCTAGGTGGTATCCTCTGGCGGATAATAGCGGGAGCTGGATGGGTAATTCGGCGGTACTAGATGCGACGGAGGTGGACATGATATGTGATACTGAGGAGAGTGAGGATTGGAAATTTCTGGTCGAGACGCTCAAGGTGCCCAAGGAGTGGATTCATGAGGCTAGGGTACATTTCAAATTCTTTGCAATTTCTGATAATTGTTTTTGAAACTAACCTTGATTGCTTGTTTCTATTGTGGATAGGCCATGCGTGCCAAGTATGAGGGAAATGTGGTGCAAGAAGCGATTAGTCTGATTGATGCAAAAGAGTATATTGTTGCACATCGGCTGATTGTCAGTAAGATTGCCCCTGAGAGGATCGTCAATGGTAAATATCACACAATTGGCATGTTCGTCCCTCGTTACGGTGCTAACACTGTTGACGCGCCTTGTATAGAGGAATACGATGACCTCAAGACACTGCTTGCGCACATTCCACCAGATGCAATCGAGACGAGAAGTTGGGAGCGCGGCGGCAAACTCTTTATGGACTACATTGAGCTGATGGAACAAGTACCAGAAGTCATCAGCAAAGCACGAGAGTATTCAGTTGGCTATTCCCTCTGCAGCAGTCTTTTCTCCCGATCCGTCCATGCAGCATCCAGTGCTATTGACACTTCTGAACGACATCGGCGTGCAGCACAGGATGATTTGTCCTCTATTTGGATGCCCAAGATAACTCAAACGCTAGAACAGATTGCCGATGTGCGAACATTTGCCACTCCAATCGGGTTGGATCGATACGGGTCGTCGTCTTCTTCTCGAGAGGGTGTTGCAAGTCGGGTGTGTCGAACCGAGATGGCGACACGACTTGTCACGTTATGGGCGGATATTGAAATAGTTGTTGGGGGTTTGGAGGGTGGCAAGATTGAGGTACGTATTTTTGAGGTGCTTTTCCTGGCGATGCTGTGCACAGGTAGCTGACTTGCACTCCTTTACTTGTAGCCTATCAGTGGAGAACTCTTGGCAACTCTACCTATCCCTACGGGAAGTCGCATGATCATGTTACATCGGGTTGCGGCGGGTTGGTTTGAACAAATTGGTGTGGATGCATGAGGGATTTTTTTGGAGGCACAGTGTGAGATATTGGATGTAATGGAAATACACAGATACTGTTTTTTTTTTTTTTTCTTGATCCTATTTTCTATTTTTTATCTGCTTTATAAGTTGAGGAACGTTGGAGTTTTCAAGGAGCATGAGCTTTTTTGCTGTGCTGTATTGCTCCTTGAAAATCGAAGAAAAAAAGAATCCAAAGCTGATCGGTTGCTGGGTATTATTTAATGTGCCGCGATCGAGATGAACGCGAGAAACTCGGTGGTTACGTCACAAGGACGTGGCGCATGCCCGACGTCGATATGATGCGCATTTCAACGAAGATGTTTTTACGACAAAGGTTTTTAAAAACGCTGTTGGAAAAGTCTCGGGACTGGAAGTGATTCCAGAATATCATTTTTTTGAAATTATAGTAAAGACATTTGCAGGGAGCTCTCGAGTTGCCATTTTCACGTATTGTTTAGAGCATTGGATAGCGGAGACATGTCGACCACAGCAGAGTCGTCAAGTCAACCATTAACTACCGAATTCGAGTCCCTTCTACAGTCGCAACGAGCACGAACTGACGCATTACACCATCCGGCACCACCCATCAGGAATGAGTCGCTGGGAGTCATTAGTGAGGAAGGGGATGTGGAAAGTGAAAGAGTAGCGGGATTACGAGATAAAGGTCCAGAGAACCATGGACTATCAACGAATCAGGCATCGGCGAGCAAAGTGGGCAAGGACGCAGCTGCCAGACCTAGTGGAGACGATCCCATTCTTGAGCAAGAATTCCAAGGGTTAATGCACAAATTGACCCACCCACCGCAACAACCTTCTCACCTTAGTAGCACAACCGACTCGAAACACAATATCAATTCTCAGCAAGTCAACCACACGGATGTGCCTTCTTCGAATGATGGTGAACTTGGTGGAGAGTTTGAGGGGCTAATGTATCGGCTTACGCACCCGATGCAGCATGAAGCTCCTCGGAACGAGACAAGTGGCGAAAGCACTGACCACCCGACGGAAAGCAGAGTGAGCATCACAACGCAGGCCAAGCACAACCCAACTGCGGCCGAGGGGAGATTGGAACAAGAGTTTGAACATCTCAAGCATCAAGCGTCACGTCCGTCACAAGCTGTTCATAATCAGCCTGCGTCAGAATCTAGCGAGCAACCACGAGAGAAGACCGCGGTGCAACATCCACATGCTCCTACAGCAAGAGACAAGCGACTTGAGAAGCAGCTCGATGAGCTACTTCATCCGCCGCGAGATCACGAGGCGGGACCGAGAGCTACATCCCCACAAGATACGCGGTCGTTAGCACAATCTTCAGACCATGATCGGACAGTACATACACCTAGCAAGAGGGATCAGAAGCTGGAACAGAAATTTGAAGAACTTGTCAGGAGTCATTCGATCGTAGACAGCTCTAATGCGGAGACGGGCCCAAAAAAAGAACAACCGAAAGACACAAGTCACCACAAAGACTCGCAAAGCCGACCGACGGGCCCACGAGACTTGAAGCTTGAACAAGAGTTTGAAAATGTAGTACAAAACCTTTCGCATCCTTCTTTACCGGCGGACAAATCCGCTGCTGACCACGTCCCGAGCAACGAGGAAAAGAAGCCGGTTGAACGATCGGGACAAGAGCACATTCACCACAATCCCAAACTTGAGCAGGAGTTTGAGCAATTGAAACACAACGTCGCTCATCCTCTACCAGTTCAGACACAATCTGATGAGAGGACCGTTCACTCTTCTCAAATACACGATACCACTGGTCACAACCAGTCTGCCGAAGGTGTAAAGCGAACCCATCACGATCCCAAACTTGAACACGAGTTTGAGCAGCTCAAGAACAAGGTGGCCAAACCCCAGCCTGTACAAAGTCAGCATCAACCGGAACACTATCAGACAGACAACAAGGAGCGCGCCATTCCCGATCACCTTCCGAGTTCACGGAACCCTAACCTTGAGAGTGAGTTTGCAGAACGAGTACTTAGTGCCGCTCAAGCATCTCATGAGGTTGGAGGTGCCAAGGTTACTGGAAAGAAGGAAGAACTGCGGACCTCGCCCGGTGATACTGCACATCAATCGACCTCCGAGTCAAATACACTGGGAAAGGAGTTTGATGGTTTAGTTAATGAAAGTCAACAAGCCGCTGTGGCAGTGGACAGAGATGCACAACACCGAGAAGAGCATGTTCCGGCTCCTCCTTCTGGAGGTCTAGTCCCTTTGGACAAACCGGACACAGCGGGTCGCTCGCAGACAAAGCAGAAAGCAGGGGCCCATACTTTGCCCAAGAAGCTCTCTACAAGGTTCACAAACCTTTTGGACCGGGTTAAAACATCGAACCCGCACTCACCCAACGAGCATCCAGAGCATGACACATCGACCATGACTCGTAGCCCCAATGTGACAGCTGGCTCCTCATCCAATGATCGGTATGGTCAACCGGCTTCCAATTCCAATGCAGTAGGGCAAGAGCTAGCCAAACCTTTGGAGCATACAGTTGACAAATTGGAGGGCAAGTCTCAACGTGAGCAAACTGCGATGGAAAGCACAGATGCAGGAAGCTCAAGTGGACTTCCCACTCATGTGGCGAGCGACGGCCGACTCGTGTACGCAGACGCAGATCGTCCGGCGGACACTCACCCAGCGGAAAGGAAAGCCCGATCCAAGCGATCGTTCATGGATCTGCTTCGTGGTGTATTCAAGTCGGGCAAGAAGAGGAAGGGTGAGCGTGGAAGGAGGAGTGCCTCGGCACCTGCTCCAGGAGACCGCTCAGGTACTGTCAATAACAAGGCTATGACTCGTGGTGACCTGGGAGAGCATGGGGAGTGGCGGACACATCAAGACGGCGGTGAAACATCTAATCAACCTCAACCTTCTGAAGATGTGATCAAAAGTCCAGAGGTGGAAAACAAACGTTCCGCGAGCATGGATGCATCCTTATCGACCATGAAAGACCTGGATAGTCCCGCACCATCATCCGAAACAACCAGTCAATCCGATCCTACCCCATCCCTCAAAGGACATCAAGTACCAATGGTACCCCATCCCAAAGTTCTCCTTGCCCCAGTTGAGTACGGTCTGAACACAAGTAACCTTATTGTCCATCGCCGCCAGGAAATGACAATTGTAAATGGGGATGATGAGGAAGTGAGGATTTCTTTGGATGAGACTAGAGTTCCACTCATTGCACCGGGAATTTGAATTGCAAGGGGAATTTTAGTGACGTATGTAGAGCGAGTAAAACTGAAATGGCATTTATAAATGGCCCGAAATATAAAGTTTTCATTTCTTTATTCGCGAGGCGCTGTATATTCGTTGTATTATATATCATGGTAAACATGGTAAACTTTATAAAGTGGTAAATTGATCCGTCCTTTATCCAAGTTTCCATCGCCCTTGTATCGTCCTATCGACGACACCGAGATCGGAACTGCTTTGGTAAGCTGTCATTTAACCTAATTGAGCAAAATGGGATTACTGACCTCGAGCGGGTAATCCGCTCACCTGCACTGCCACTCCATGAACTTGCCAACGCCCCGCCGCCGCCAGTTCGCTGTTTTATTATTCATGTCTTTTAGCGCTATCAAATTAACAGGACAGCGCAGCGTCGATAGTCTTGACCACCTGTCTGCGTAATGTTATTATATGCAGGATGGGGGCTCCTACTCGTTATCGTCATCACACCGTGTCAGTCTAGTCCTCTCTCGCAGCTTCAGGATATTCCTCCGCCATCTCCCTCTTCCTCCACACAGCCCCCCGCTCCAAAAGAAATGTCTGCAGCTGCATCTGAATCGGCAGGATCAAATCCGACTGGCTCAGGCGATGGTCTTCGAGTCGCCCTACCTCCCGCTCTTCTTCTCTTACTTGCCTTCCTTGTCCTCATGGTGACGATCCTAGTATGCGCATGCCGCTCTCGTCGAAACAACAGAAGAAGGGAGGGGCGAAGCAGTTGGAGAGAGTTGGTTGTTGCAAATCCGCCTCCAGTACAGCGGGATATGTACGTTGATCCCGAGTACCTTGACACTTTGCCTAGATATTCATCATACAAGACACCGCCGAGATATTGGTCTGTTTTGAGGATTGTGAGGAAAATGACGTCAAGGAGAACCATGGCTGATACGCATGTGGACAAGGAAGTGAACGAGGAACAGCCCGACGCGGGTACGGCGACATTGACAATGCCAGACGTGGAGAGCAATGCGCCCATGGCGGTTGGAGAGGAGCATGGAATATCAATCTCTCGGGAAGCTGGTGCTGGGGGAGGAGAGATCTCTCGGGAGGAACATTTGCCTCCTACATATCGAGATTCGGTAGAGGCGAATGAACGGCTCTTTATCGCACCTGTTCCTCGTCCTGAATAATCATTTCATTATACATTGACTTATTTTTCCTATTATATCAATATATGGCATTGTAAATAGCAGTATGTATAGCATTGTTTTATACTGGGTTTGCAATAGATAGCCAGTGCATAACTCTGGTATTACCATAACAACAAGGACGGATTAGAATGTCTAATCACATTCCAATGAGCTCTTTCATTAGCATTTGATTCCAACCATCCATTCCACGACAAAAAGTTCTTTGAGGTTTGTCTAGCAGCTTTTGCTGGACGTAGAGGCATCGTTTCTGGGCTCAGAGAAGAAACGAGCGCGAGAACGACGGGTGGGGATCGGCACGCTTTGACTTGGAAAATAAAGGCGAATAGGCAGCATATAGTTGACGGGATTGTTTTTATTGTCCTTCTGAAGGATTGCTTGACTGGTCATCTGCGGGCGTTACATTCATCTCGCAAGGATTTTTGACGATCGTTCCCACCAGCCGCCCAGACATTGTGTTCAATTCTGCTTTTTTGGACACACGGCTTGACATCATCTTTGGAAACTCTGCTGCATCCATCTTCTTGTCTTTTGCTGTCGGCATTTCCTTTGATTGTTTTTGTTGGCGTTTGTTCGGTAAGTTGTCAAGTTGTTTGATAAGAATGCGGTGGACGAGGGGCGGACAGTGTTATGTTTCAGTAGATTTGGACAAGTTATTGGCATGTTGGGATCATGGGAATTAGCAAACGTATGGAAGTAGGAGGTGAAAGTCTGATGCTGCGCGCCGATCAGGACGTGTCCCTCAGACTCTCCTATTGACTTTAGTGCAAGCACACTATCATGGCATAATAACAGGATGTGTCTGTCATTAGCGCTTTATGAGTTGAGATAGGAGGGGCTGACTGCGCTGATCCTGCAAGAGTGTGCCAAGCTAATTTTTCCCATTCCTGGGCACTTTCAGAATGATTAGCATTCACGACGTTGACGAATCTCCAATCAAGGAAAAGTGGCGGAATACACAGGGTATTCAGTTTCAGACAACCGATCAGCTCGCCGATCCGCATATGGCACCCATGGTACGTGTCACTCTTCAGTTTAGGGATACGTGCAAGCTGAAATTCACCAGAGTAAACTAATAGAATGTAATGATGCAGCCTGACTCTGGTGAACCAGATCGCTCGAAAATGATTTCACCCGCTCCAGTCAACAATGGCACGACCGTCGAAGGGCAATCTGGGTCAGCTGTGCAGCATCCGAGTTACCATGATATCATTTGCTCGCACCTCTACCACAATGGATATCTCCAGGGGCTCTACGCGGACTTGATCATTCGTTTGCAAAATGTACATCCCGCGGTCAACGGTGTATCTGGTGGATCACCGCTGGATGGAATCTTGTTCAAGTTGCACCGCATCATTGCCATTCGAAGCCCGTATTTGTCGTCGTTGTTGCAGGATATGGAAGCGAATGGAGAGTAAGTATTTTGAATCATCTCAAATGTAGTTTGTGCAAGGTAGCTGATATCTTTTTTCTAGATACCAACCCATTGTGTCGTTGACGCTCCCGACGCACGATCCTAACTTGACTGCCGACGGTCTGTCAATCGCCTTTGGACACCTCTACGCCTCCTACCCGCACTCCCTGCTGGCTTCCACTGACGGTGCTCCTGGCCAACGGTCTGCTCTCCTTCGTTCAGTTCTCTGCGCTGCCAACCTCCTCCAACTCGGTGATCTCGCAAACATCGCTGCGGATCAGATCAAAGCGGACATCACTCGTGGTACTGTGATGGACTACTGTCACTTTATTAGCCAGCCAGAGTACGGTGGCAGCTATGGTAACTTTGCCCAGGAGATTCGCGAAGCTGTGTTGAACTATCTGTATAAGGGGGTTGTCCGTGATGTCGCAGAGCAGTTCGGGCCAATCTGGGGAAACCGGGAAGGAGAGGCCTACCGTGAGCTTGTCAGAACCTTTGCGGAATTACCTTTTGAGTGGTTGAAAAAGGTGGTAGAAAGCAAGAGCTTTGAGGTTCCTGGTGACATGGAAAGGTTCGTGCAAGGGAATTCTTGAAGGCATGTTGCGGCTATGATCTAACCCGTGTGCGCACTGTAGATTCGCGTTTGCCAAAGAGATTATATCCCTCCGTCAGCGTAACAAGGCACCTTCTTCTACTCTCTTAGCCGGTGAAGAGAACGTATTGCTTGCATTCGGATCCAAAGAGCGGACAGGTGTGACGATCGTTCGAAAGGCTGTTCGTGGTGGTGTGAATGCGCCGCATCATGTCAACGGTGTTGCTGGTGGGGTGCAGGGTAGTAGAGGCGTTGCGTTTGGAGGAACAGAACGGAGAGTGTGGAAGGCAGGGCATTAATGCGGGAAGTTGATTATATATCTGTAGTTGTGTGTTGCGTAGTTGCTTTGGTTGAAATAAGAATGGTTGTGGCCTGTGAGTAAGTTTCGTTTGGCAGCAACTGATGGTGAAGCATGAAAGAGGATTAACTTGCTGTCGACACGGCAAAGAAATGAAATGGGTGCTGAGCGATGTCTTGATAGTCTCCAGAAATGTCCATTTTTTCGGGACCATGGATCAATTCGCCCCGCTGCTTATGCATTGATAGGGGTAATTATCGTCACCTATCACAAAATGAGTGCCTCAAAGACGATCACTGTTTTGGTCAAGAACCATCTCAGACTTTTTGATCAAATCCGGGGGGAGGGAGATTGAATTAGGACTGCATGTTCAATACTATTTTGTTGTGAAGGATGTTAATCCTTTGAACGTCAGTGCCTTTGCAACCTTGACGCTCGCCACTACCAGTAACCAGAAGGCCGAGGTTGTCACTTCTGCCAACGAATCCATACACTTCTGAACGGCATCAACATTATTTGGCACATTACGTTGGCCCGCGGCTGTCAAAGCTGCAGATTGACTTACATGGATGTAATTATACAGTGTAGCCAAACAGGTCTCAACGTAACATCATGGTCGACAATTCTTGAATTATCATCGCTGCGTTCGAGCCAATTGTTAACCTTTTATTGGCTATGAATGCATGATAGCTGGTCTCTGCTCATTTTCCTACCATCAGTGGTAGCTTTGATGTTCCAGACAATTACCCTATACAAGTTGCTATAGTCGACTCGCATAGCAAGATGACAGATAAGTTCCAATTCTAGATTTATTTATCTTATTATTCGCATTCTGCTTCCAAAATCATAAACAAAGGAAAAAAGGTGTAGACGATTAGCGTCCTCGTTCGTTGATCAAACCTGCTCGTGGATTCTGACTGTATCGACGTGCTGGCATATCGGCCAGGAACTTTACCGAAAAAGACATGAGTAAAGAATCCGTTTACAGTCCGATTCATGCTTTACCATCTGAGGGATATGCTGCAATAGTCAAAACAAGTGCGCTTATGTGCAATACGACGTGGAAGGCGGGGGGGTCGATGCAGTAACAAATGCTACTTTAAACGACTTTCTGAGGTACATGTAAAACGAGCATCAGGTAAGAAGTGCATGGCGGAAGGGAGGGATATACGGGCTATAAGTTCACATTAGTACATTATACCGACATCAATTTGTTTTACGCCCACCACCAATGGCATTTGCACAACTGGGGCAAATCGCTCTTGAACGGCATATGGATGCACTCAAACGACTGTGGCGGGCCATAGTCTTCGTAAACTAATTACTGATAACTTTCTCCAACTTTGCGCTTGGGACACTTGCAATGAGTTAAAGGTTTCCCCGTGTATGACTGCGAGCAATTGTGCAAATGTGAATTCTTGCGTGAATGGAGCCTGTGTTCCATCCGGTCGCAGAGCTCTTGGCAAGTACTTGCGGTATCAGCACCGTTTGTGCTTCAACAAAACGTGTCGGCGTAGGCGGCTCAACTGGATTATGCTTATCACCCGACCAGCGGTCTTCTACAGTAAATGTATACGAACAGTATTCAATGGGACCGGCAGCTTTACGTTGATGGCTTCAGTTTTCCATCCGAAAATCTTGAGCTCATTAGCTCATGCAATGATACCTCCAAATTGTGCAACGGAATTGTGATGTCGGGCGGGAAGCATCAAACCACTGCTTGGCTCTCTATGCCGAGTGTGCAAGTGTGCATCAATAATTGCATACGTGAAAATGTGGCAAGAAATGAGAGGCAAGAAAGGCCTTGGAGAAAATGCACAGTGATATGCTGAATGTCTGCCCGAGTCTTGCGACTCTGTGTGCTCTTTACCCTCATTGGTGAACGGTAAGTACTTAAAAAGTACATCTATCTCGTTCCACGCATAAGTCTAACTACCATATGTTTATTTTAAGCATTGGAGTATATCGGTCTTCTTCGGCAAACCTAGGATTTGGCGCCGACCAACCTTAGGAAGTCTTCTTCCCGAAGAATTTGGCTCCTCGTCTTGACCGATGTACCAGTCTTTATTACGGTTTGTCCCACTCTCTCTATCACAAACTTTGAAAATGGCATAAGGACATACTACATTTTTAAGTTACCAAATGGGCCTAGGGTTGAGGCAGTTCCTCTTGCCTTCAGCGAGCCGCATGATCGCATGAGCGCCTCGTGCTGATTGACCGTACTTTCTGCAAGAGTACCATGATGAGAGACAATCGCTCAACTGGAATATTTTTCCGCTAACTTGCAATGGGCAACAGAGTAGCGCCTACAACCAATCAATGGAGGGTGCATGAAGACAATGTGGAGAACAACAAACATACGGTTACCCATATTACCACAAGCTTTTGGGAAAGGGTAACGGTTCTCTGGTTTTTGGGGTTTCTCCAGTTTGTAGGGTAATCACTCGAAAAGCAATCGTAATTTGCAGACCATTAACGCAGCCGCCAAAGCATTATATCAATGATGAGTTCATTTTCTTCGTCATCATTCTGGCCGTACGTTTTGCTTTAATGTCTGCAGTGTGATAGCGGATTGTATGATATTGAGATAGAGGGGTGAAGGACGATACAGTAATACCGATTTTAGAACTTGGACTCCATCGTTTCTGGTAATGAGAGCAATGGTCGCCTTTGCAAGGGCCAACATCAGTATCAAGATTCGACCGAGCTCCATGATTCCTGCATACTGGGTTAGAAGGGCGTCTCCAATATGGATATTTTGGGCTTGTGTAAATTTCAAGCTGTCATATTCCTGCCAAATGCTCAGCAAGACAGCATCTGATCGCCAACGCTCTAGCAAATCTGAGCAATGATCTTCCACTATCCTCTGTATGCATTCTCCATCTAGCCACCACAATTAGTGCCTCCAGGTTATTTTGATTAATGCTTTCCTAGTCTTCCGTTATAATCTTACTGTGACGTGGTTCTCATTTGTCTGGTCAGCAAGGGCAAGCTTGACTCGTATGAAAGCGTTTATGCCACTCTGTCACTGCTACTAAACTTCCCTGAACTGGCTTGGCCGATGCATTGGCAAGGAACTATTGTCCTTCCATGACAATGGTCATATCGCCGACGACTTTGTCTTGGCCTTTCCACCATATTAGCAACCTGGAAGATGAACCCGCGGACGGACTCATATAGTCACGCACACATACACTTTGCGCAATTTCCTTCGCCTGTACAGAGAAAGCCAAAAAGCGCTTGCATTGTTCATGTCCCAGGTGCTCCACAGATGTCGGACTGCTTTTGGGCTTTGCGGAAGACAGGCGTTGCTGGTCGACCAGGCATGCTGCCATCGGATGACTGTGCGAATTTGGGAGCTCATCGCATGGCTGTGCCCCTTCACGTGCCTAGTTCAAGCAGCTTGCTTTGAGCGTTCTCGTTGTTCTTTGGGCACCTCTCAACTTGCGTCCAGTAGGAAATGTCCTCCCCGCCTCGCCAGGGCCGGCCTCAACCCTTCCAAAGGCGCTACAATAACCCCACCGGACAAGGCTTCACACCAAACCCAACAGATAAACGCGATTTTGTGGACGGAAAGCGAGTGCGAAAGGCGATTCAACGACGGACTGTTGACTACAATGGAGTCGTCATTCGGCACTTGGAATTGAGATCCTGTGCACGAGGATGGAAGGATTATGTTGCGATACAACCTGATCCGAACTTTATTGTTAACATTCAGCCACCCTTTTGCTACCCGAACAATCACTCCACATCCGTGACGACCAAGTTTGTGCACACATCCACCAACAAGATCCGATGTCCTATCAACGCAGTTCGGTGGACGCCAGAGGGCCGCCGTCTTATAACCGGTGCATCAAGCGGGGAGTTTACACTATGGAATGGTCTCACCTTCAATTTTGAGACAATCTTACAGGCACACGACAAAGCGGTTCGAACAATGGTTTGGTCCCACAACGACACATGGCTTATCACAGGAGATGACTCTGGGATTATCAAGTATTGGCAGTCCAATATGAACAACCTCAAAGTCGTTGTAGCACATAAGGAGACCGTGAGAGATCTGACGTTTTCTCCTACGGATGCAAAATATGCAAGTTGCTCGGACGATGGAACCATTAAGATCTGGTCGTTTGCAGACGCGATTGAGGAAAGGACTTTAACTGGGCATGGGTGGGATGTGAAATGCATTGATTGGCATCCCAGCAAGGCACTGCTAGCCTCTGGATCCAAAGATAACCTCGTGAAGCTTTGGGATCCAAAGACCGGGAAAGCCCTTGCCACGCTCCATGGACACAAAAATACTATTCTAGGAATCGAGTGGAATAAGAACGGGAACTGGCTCGTAACGGCGTCAAGGGATCAATTGCTCAGGGTGTATGATATTCGGACTATGAGAGAGCTCCAAGCCTTTAGAGGACATAAGAAGGATGTACAATCGGTTGCATGGCATCCAGTGCACGAATCCTTGTTTGTTAGTGGTGGAAGCGACGGGAGTATGATGTTTTGGGACGTTGGCACAGAGCATTCAGTTGGAGGTATGGAAGGCGCTCATGAATCGTCGGTCTTTGCCCTCGACTGGCATCCTATGGGACATATTCTGGTATCTGGGTCCAATGATCACACAACACGATTTTGGACACGTAATCGTCCAGGGGATGCTATGCACGATCGGTTTGCGTTTACTAGACAACAAGCGGACGCGATGGGACTCAAAGCAGAGGACGAGGAGGATGAGGCCAGCGAGGAGGGCAGTCAGGCAGGGGGGGACTGGGATGGTGGAGCGGGTGGTGCATTGCCTGGTCTTGGCGAGTTTGATGGTATTCCTGGGATTGGCTTTGGTGGATCTGGGATAAGCGTGGGAGGACGGTATGGGAGAGATGAGGAAGACTCGCGGGCTACCAAGCGACCAAGAGTTGACGGTGAATCCGGACATGGAAGATCTGGAGGGAACAGAGGCGGACGGCAGAATCAAAATCGCGGCGGGGACTGGGGTGGACGTGATCGAGGCGGAAGACAGGATCAATATGGCCGCGGAGGGTCTACCTACTCGGGACAAGGAGGGCGGAATGCACAGAATCGTGGTGGTGGTGGTGGATACGGACGATCACATCCTCAAGATGGGACTCCACCGACTGCTGGACCACCACCCTTTACACACACCTTTGACACACTATCCCAACAGCAGCCACCCCCGGTTGCTCCATCGCAACAGGGCCAGCAACTATTGACTCAGCTGGCTGCGCAAGGCTTCCCAATCAATGCGGGATTGGTAAATGCTTTGACGGGGCTTGGGACGGGCCCCGCGGGTGGATCTGGAAGATAGTGGATGATTTGACTAGAATTTGGTGTAAATAGTTTCTGGAATTAATGTGGGATCTAGTGGCAAGCTACTGTGAATGTTTGCATGCCATAGTTTGCTGGTGATGCTTTGAGCGGATCATTGTTGCCCCTTTGTTCGAGCAAAATCAGCGTTTATTGCAAGACCGCCTTTTATTCCTTGTCCACTAGACCGAAACTCACAGGGATATATCTCAAATGTAGAGCCACTTTTATTCTGTTGTAACACCCGCGCGGGCTAATCTGCATCACTAGGTCGTCTGGTCTCTGCGGTTTTGACCAAGCGGCAGGGTACATAGCGGCAGGCGTTCTTTTGATGTATCGATCCCGAAATGCATGGCGATGCTAGAGCTTGGTCTGGCCTTTCAGCTGCATCCTGCTGACAAGGGGGTCAGGTGTCTGGCCGGATATAGGGCATTCAGTTTGACGTCGAATGATATGCTCTTCACGATGGAGACAAGCCACTGTCCAGGTCGAATGAGTTCAGGAAAAGGGGTACATTGGCTTTGTTTGTCGCCATGAGCGGGTTCAGTTACGTTGGAAAAGTTTGACGACATTGTGCTCACCACAAAACAAGAGGCAAGTTGAATATCAGAAACCTTTCATTTGTACAGTGTTCGTACAGCTCGGCAGTTGTGTCGACCCGTATCTGTGAATGAAAAATATGTATGAAAGCACCTACGCCAGTCCATGGGGACGTTTCCCGCTGAGACGTCTTTGTGCGGCTGGGTAGCTAGCCCTCACAGCCCATATATCGACGCAGTATCCACTTGAATTATATGAGGTTGACTCAATACTAACCCCCTTCCTTCGCTCAGGAAATTCTTGCCGGGTCTGATGAAGGGATCGGTGGTGAAGGATCTACTGGCTGGCCGAGAGAGTACCGTGCGCGTGGATTCTCTGGCATTTATGTCGATGACAATCTCGGCATTGAACAAAGGTCCTTGCTGCTAAACGTCAAAATTGATCATTGCTGCCCGATGAAGTGTGCGATGTCGAGCTTTCTGATGGATTCAGGCTGGCAGACAGTAAGTGTACTAATAATGAACCCTATATTGATACGCATCGCAGGATCTATGGCATTTAATGCAGCATTCTGAGTATTGACGCCTTGGATTTCTGCAATTCGCATAGCATACATGTAGCATACAGCTATCTGAGCATCCCGTGTCTGCCTATTCTCTCCCCTAGCCTCGTGGCTGTATTTCTTTATTATCTTAAATCTAAAATCCTCAGTACTTAAATAAAACATGCCTTTGCATCCAATATAAATTCTGAATAATAATGTGATGTCAGCAGCAAAACGATCGTGGTAGACTTGCTCAAATATCGCGAATGACACGTGACTCAGCTATCGTTCAGTTCCGACCTTTGACACTTTTTTGACATTCGTTTTTTTTGCCATCTTGTCCATCTTTGCCGCGTTTTATCGTTCAACATGTCGTCTTTTTGGAGGAATTTAACATCGTTACGACCAGCTTGGAGGGAATTGGCGTCGAATCATTGGAGATTTCTGCTGAGAAAGGTGGCCCCAACGAGGGCAGAGCAGCTTGATCAAAGTAAACAAATAGACTGTATCCGTTTCTTTTTCTTGATATTTTGATAATTATAAGTTTTTTTTTTTGTGTCGACTTCTTTCTATGATTATTCTTACCGGTCTGCAACATAGTACTAATGTTCTACCTCCCGGTCCCGCCTTTATCTTGATACAAGTAAAATACAAGTCGGCTCACGCAGCATGGTATCAAGAAGCCGTGCTAAGACCTCTGGTGCATCCACTCGAAGGACGACGTATCCACATGGTGGGTGTGCATCATATTTCAAAGGCGTCGGATGTACTCCTTGAAAAGGTGGTGCGGGTAAAGTCGTCATCGTGAGTACCCTTTAGCTTGCAATGAAACGTATTCCATTGTGGTAGTAATTGCGGTGTATGCAGCCTAACAGCTATCCTCATTGAAATGGATCAGAAGCGAACAGCGAATCAGATATGGTACCAGTTCAAAATGCAGGCACGACCCGGATCCGAGCGACTACGGGGAAACGAAATGGCGGTGGCGAGAGCGTTGGCGGAAAGATATAAACTTCTTTGCGTGGATGTAGACATTTATGTTGAAAATATCAAAGAGAATTGGGAAAAAGTGGATTGGAACAAGGTGGAGAAGGTTTATGGTCTTCAGGTTTTGTCATGGATGAAAGGTTCCAGTATCTGGTCTGTTTAGCAATGGAGTGTGAAACAGTTTTTTCTCATATGCTTTTTGTCTTGTTTTCAGATATTCAATTTGAAGGCAACAATCCCAAACTCCGAAAACCTACGGCCATTTCCGTGAAGCCCCTCCTCAAAGCACTCGTACTAAATAAATTACGGAACCCCATTTCAAGGAAGTTGATGGGCCCAGAGTTTGCTAAAGATCTTGCCAACGATCGAGTTTCACCTATCGACATTGATAAATTCAACGAGTGGCAGAGAATGTTTACTCCACTTGACCATTTGTCGACAATAGTGTTGCGAGACATTTACATGGCTGAGAATGTTCACAAGTTGTGCTTGGTAATAATGTTCAGCCGTTGCCACGGGGCATTTTCATGATTCTGATTACAACTCTGCTTCCTCAGGATCTCCACGAAGCAAAGATACCTGGCGATATTGTCCTTGTTATTGGGAAATCACATGTCTCGGGCATTAGGGCAATCTGGGATAAGGTCTGTCAAATGCAGATTGAACGGCCAGGGTTCCCGGATTACGATAATACATCCAAGAAATGGTTGAGAGGTAAAAGTTCCGTTACGGCAGATAAAAGTTCTGTTACGGGAGATACTCGAAAGGTGGTTGGGCAGAAGAAGAAAAAGAAGCGATGAGCTGAATTGGTGTACGTTTAGTTGGGCATTTATCTAGTGTTTACAGAATTTATGGATAGGCATAATTCAAATATTGATACTCGCGTTAGTCCGCTACCGTTACAGCATAGCATGGGTGTGCCGTGTACGATCGCATTTGTGCGTTTTTGATGAACATCACTAGAATACATTCCATCTTAGCATCCTGCCTAAACAGCTTTTATTCACACTTTTGTATTAATAGGCCCTTTGCGAGTATTCGTACATTGTAAGGTATCAGCTTCCTATCTGGGCAATTCTACATACATACACTACTACGTCGTACCTTCATCTCACTTCATCTAGGATCTCTCGCCAAACCTTCCCACAAAGCCCTCATCAAACTCCTCTCATTCGTGACCGGTACATCACCGCTACTCTCCCAGACAATCACACCCTTGAGTCCTCTTTCCCATACATACCGACATTTAGCACGAATGGATTGGGGTGTGTCGTATGAGTTTAGGATGCGGCGATGGGGGTCGTATGAGTATGATGCTTGAGCCTTGAAAATTTATAATGATGGTCAGTGGTGATTTGTACAATGAACAGCGTTTACAAAACCCTCGAGGATTGGGTTCATTACTCTACACACCTGTTCATCCCAATACTCCACTGCACCAGGTCTAGGCAGCGTCTTGTAGTCACACACTCCATCCTCCCAGCTTCGGTCTTCCACGACACCCGATGAAGGCGCGCCCAAACCAGTCGTATTGGCAAATCCTCGTGAGTAGGCCGCGGCGCCTATGACCAGTTTGTGAGGGGGCACACCGCGAGATAGATATGCTTCAACTGAACGGGACACGGAGAGCGGGGCATATGGTGTTGAGATGAGGTTGGTTTGATGCCCAGCGGGACATGGTCCCCATGCAGAAGACGCAAAATCTGGTCACATCACTGATTAGAAAGACGACGTGGAAGAAAATGGAACGAAAAAAAGAACTTACCATATGTCATCACATTGATTGTATCCAAATATTGCACCATCTCGCGTAATGGTAAAACATCCATTTTCGCCGGATCACCCGTCACACAAGCCGAAATCTCAAAATGGGAGCGACCAGTTGCATTCAATCTGTGTCGCAAGAGACGAAGAAACGCGCCAAAGTTTTGTGGGTCCTCTGCTCGGACAATGTTGCCGGGGGCACCGTAGTTTTGATTCGGTGGAGAAATGTATTCCCAGTCTCTGTGATAGCAACGGGTGTTAGAAAGCGAATGAAATATGTTTGGTAGACAATGAGAAACAAACAGCAACTCACATATCGACCCGGTTGAACACCCCTGGCCACCGCTCAAAACATTCCAAAATCCCTTCCACGAAAGCTTCGCGTTCCCTCTCGCCCTTTACGGCATCTGAGAATCCCTTACTCAACGTCCACCCACCAACACTCAGCCCAACATTAAACTTTAACCCAAGCTTCTTCAACTTAAGCAACTGCCCAAAATTCCCCCACGGGCCTTTATTCTCGGGTGTCTCGTTCCATGAGTCTGGCGGTGGGACGCCTTCATCGGGGTTCGTGTACCGCTTGTCCGTGTCCGCCCATGCATCCGTAGAGGTGGGAACGAGGTGATGCGGCGGATTTGGTGATGGACGAAGGTCAAAGAAGGCGTAGTTGATATCAGAGATGTATTGGATTGGAAGGTCCTTTATTTGAAAGTTTCGGCCGTAGGTTGCCCAGTTGGTATGGTAGACTATCAGTTTTTTACCGGTGGCTGTTTTTGAACATGGAGCAGAAGGAAATTGAAACAGCGCTTAGAGAACTGCCTTGTGTTCGTTTACTGGGATTGCAACCGCGCTATGCACTTACGCCATTCATAAACCTGGTCAGTCACACCATCTTGGGCCATGTCTTTGGACTTGTTACGGAAGAGTCGGTAAGCGAAAAGCAGCAACGATAAAACGAAAAGAGTCCTATATCGATATCGCATATACGATGCGTCCCAGCCGTGAAGATGGGGAGCTGAAATGACGGCAAAAAGCTCGGCTGGTTTCTCGGCTGTGTACGTGATATGACTCATCAGCGGAGTTACCAGTGTATTTCCCCCATCAACCCAACCGAATGCGGCCCGTTATTTTACTCGATGCTCATGCATGCAGTTTTAAATGCTCAAGAATAGTCAATTGAGATAATGTCATCATAATACAAAGAAAGTAGTAATACAAGAATTACGGTACATGCTAAAATCCAGCAATCTATCCCCGTCCAGCTTAATACACCAGATATATACAGTCTTACCTACACAGGCGACTGCTGTCTTCTACACCTGAACCTCCGACGTCCTTCTTCTATATCTGCTAATAGACCTCTTGAAAATCGCATATTTACGCCCAGGGTATGCCTTTATTGTACGCCATGTACGCCAACTCCATGCTCGCCACGCTGCAGGCGAGTTCGCCTTGGCACGCCTCCTAGTCCACGCCATGAAGCTCCCTACAGACCACTCTGCTTTCATAAGTCTCTCCAACCATCGACCGAAATCCATGCTCCATTGATCAAATGTTTTGTAAAACAGCCAAGACACGACAAGGATCATGGCGAAGGTGGAGCAATAAACCAGACCTACTTTCAGCCACCATGGTCGGCCAGGAAGACCTCGAAAGATGATTGAAACCATGATGGAGCCAAATGTGAGGAAAACGACGGGGTGTAGGAGATACATCCCGAAACTGACTCTTCCCAAGAATTTGATCGGGCTAATTTCGAATACTCGTTGGAGCAAGGGTGTTACTTCGAGGAGTAACGCGAAGCAGGTTGATGAATAAAAATAGTTGATATGAAATTGATACCACGGCGGCTCAAAGTCCCGTCCGATAGCAGCTTTACCAGTGTCGAATGACCAGCCTAAACAAACATGTGAGTCTTATGACTCTAATATACGGTATGATATCATCATCGAACCGCATGCACTCACCTGCTGACCATTCTGACAGTTTATCGGACAGTTTTGGAAACTGCACCATAGTAATTAGCGTCAAGAACACCAACGCAAGTCGAAACGGCCATATCAACCGAGATGACTGTATTCGTCCGAAAACGCCGGATTGTGCGAGATCAGCAAGCCACAGTCCGACCATAAAATCGGCAAACCACGTTTCTGTCCAAAAGAACCAAAAGACCAAGACAGCGTAGATGACCCATCGATGTCGAAAGTACGATTGGGTAATTAGCGCTACTATAAAGACGAGGAACGATCCTTGCAGCTCTATGCCAATTGTCCATTGGGGTGCGTGTGGGTAATTGACTGAGCGTCCTCCTGGAACAAACTACTCGATCAAACGCATCAGATGCATTCGGCAGCAATGGAAATGAGCAATAACACAGTTCCACGTACCAACGTCAAGGTGTTTAATATGGCATTACTCAATGTCGGCTCCTCAAAGCCTTTGACTGTGCCTTCTGCCGATCGCCACGAATCTAGTACGGAAGCCGCGTCATGAACTGGCGCATACCAATTCAGCCGATACACTGCCCAATGTATCAGAAGGGATCCAAAAACAGGGATAATCAAGCGAAATGGTCGTCGAAAGAATGCGCTCGCGAGACGATCTGAATCCGGTTTTTTGAGATATGCGATGGCAAGGACGCGACCCGAGAGAATGAAAAAGAGGCTAACCGCAAGTTTCCCTGCAACAAACACCTAAACACCCATGTTGAGAGTTTACAAGAGGGATTCCATGTATATAATCATGACGATCAGATATGTGTAGCATACCTTTCCGAATTGATACCCGATCTTTCCCCAGTTTTCCTTGGTGGTTTGATCGTAACTCAAATTGTACAGTGTAAAGTGCTCATTCAAGACGATGCAAGCCGCTAATCCTCGAAGACCTTCCAAATAATCCAACTTTCTGACGACCTTTTTCTGCTCTATCGGGGAAACAGGCGAAGGATGGGAAGTCACTGAGTGGGGTAATGGTTTCGTCAGCGAACATCCTGTGCTGGTGCGCGCTAAAGGAAAGATCGGCATGTCAATCTTTCTAGCGCTATTCTGTTTCTCGTCGTCAGAAACATTAAGGGTGACTTCGTCGGTTGAAGCTTCACTATCCACGGATGAAATTGATGACGGCGCTGGAATATGCAATACCTCGTGCTCTATCCTTTGTCGGGAAGCCATGTCGTTCATTATCAAGCTTCCCGTTTGAAAAAAAAAACAGACCAAAAAACCACTCGATGAAAAAGACCTTTACAAGTACCCTTGATCGTTCAGCCCATACCACTGCCTGCACATTACGTAACCGACGCAACTCCGCCACTGGGCCATGATTTCATTTGCTATATTTGGTTACATGATACCCAATTGAGTGTGGTTGTCTTTTGGTTAAATCAGCCAAATGACGTCACGGGTCCTTGGAGCATTGAGCACTGGTTTGCTGGGCGGCAGAGAGCTTACGTTTGAAACGGCAAAATTTGCAATCATAACTCGGGCAGGGCATCTGGTCAATATGACTGTGCCATTTCAATAGCTGACTGTGCCCCTTGTGAGTTGTGATCTCGATTGACAATCCGACCAATTTGTGGCGCTTGTGCAGGGGGCTTGTTGGGCTTTCATAAAGTGCACGGCCACACTTTATCCCCATGGCAACAGTGCTGCTGCGCACATTGCTATTCTGCGTTTGGAGATTTTCATTTGCATTCCACTCGACACTATGACGAACCCAGACCCGCCGCCACCTCTCATTGGACAGACAAACGGGGTGGACAGTGTTGTCAAAGGTGAGATTCCGAGTAAGTACCGTTCAAAACCTTTGGCTGACCATTTCGTAGATCTGGTTGCGGGCACGGTCGGCGGGTGGGCACAAGTCGGTGAGTACAATGAACCAGATATGCGTCAAGACTGAACAAGTAACGCTGATATTTATTTTTGTAGTCGTCGGACATCCCTTTGATACGCTGGCAAGTTGTTGGGCTATGCATGCTTGGTCATGAGGCTGTCATTGTTGATGCGAAAGAAATGCAGAAAGTTCGTCTGCAAACCCAAGGACCTAATCCAAAGTATGCCAATGCAATTGACTGTCTCAAGATAACGGTTCGAGAAGAGGGCGTGGGTATTTTTCGGTCCTTTATTACGATTTGTGCGCTTTTGAACTTGTTTTGCAATCTTGGACAGGCTCTTGCCCTTTACAAAGGCGTCACTTCGCCATTACTCGGTGTCGGCATTTGGTGAGTGCAGTTCTCTTACACGTGCATAGTACGCAATGGAAATATTTATGCGCGATTAGCAATGCTGTGTTGTTTGCTGCAAATGGAGGATTCCGACGGTGGATTGGAGGTGGGCGGGAGGATCTCACAGTGGGTGTGTATAGTAACGATGCGCTTGAGTTCAAAACGGTTGTCATGACAAGGTACTGGCTTAGGCGAATATGTATTTGCGGGAGCCTTGTCTGGTGGTGTAATTGCATGGTACGTCCTCTTAGTGCCGCCGTTGTGCAAACCAAAACCCAACTGATCAGTTGTAAAGGGTCAACTGTCCGGTAGAGCTGTTAAAAGTCAAGCTACAGACACAGTATACCACTGGTTCTGAGCAGCAGGTAATGAGAACGCATGCCAGATCTCTTCCTTCATCCCTCTTGACGTTTGTTTTCTCGGCAAAAGTTCAAGGGCGTCTTGGACTGTGGACTCAAGACTCTCCGTCAACAAGGAATTCAAGGTCTCTACCGAGGAATTGGAATTACGATCGTGAGAGACGTGCCAAGTTTTGCAGCATATTTTGGTACGGCATCTGCTGGTGCTTATCACGGTGCGTCAGCTTCTGATGTGAATTATGAAAATCTTAGGCGCATATGAAGGCACCAAGGCCTACCTAAAATCCCACAACAAGGAGCTCAATCCCCTTCAACTCATCCTTGCGGGCGGTATAGCAGGCATTGCGGCATGGCTGCCTTGTTATCCCCAGGATGTGATTAAATCTCGGTATATATGGCCTTGACTGGTACATTTTTCTTGGACTGACGACTAACGGTATGCAATAGAATTCAAAGCGATACGAGGAATATGTCGACAATGCAGTATGCTCGTGAGATTTGGCTTCAGGCTGGATGGAAAGGCTTTTTCAAAGGGTTTGGACCAACGATGTTGAGGGCTTTTCCTGCGGTTAGTGGTTCTTGACAAGTGTTATTGTCCTGTTTCCTAAACTGATTGGCGCCGTGCATGTCACTTTAATGATGTTACAGAATGCAGCAACGTTTTTGGCTTACGGTACATTTGTCGCAACTGTCTCTTGCAACTGGGTAACTCTGCTAACGCTCGTCATCTCCGCTAGAATCGGCACGAAAGGCTTTATCGTGACACCTTATGGAGTGAAAGACCAAGATTGGATATTTATTTCAACATTTTACATAACTTATTGATGTCAAATTCATACACATGGCCGGTGCACCATACATCACATGCTTGAGTCCGCGACAAACGTCTTTTTCCTCCACATACATCGCAAGATCAGTGGAATTAAAATATTCGTATTAATGTACAAAACAGGCCCTCTCTGATTAATCATATCTTCAATGAACGGGTGCCTTCCCCTTCCCCGCCCGAATTTCCCACCGTACATCATCCAGCAAAAAACTGTAGAAAAGATAAACAAGCGGTATTGTCGCAGCATGCCACAAGGCATGTGCGTCGATTGCCCACTTCCACGGTGGAAAGTCTAGCAATTCCAGCGACATGGCAGCGGATATCAAAACAACAGAAAGAAGAACTTTCCATGCGTACGGGCGTGATCGCCAGTTATTCAAGAACCACCATATCCACACCGTATTTGATGCAACCCCCACTGTGACTCCCGCAATCATGTTATAACCGTAATCAAATGGCCAAAAGGACAAGTACGATACATGAGCAACGTAAAACAGTGTAGCAAATCCAGTGAGCATCCAGCTCTCGACATTCCGTCGATGCTGAAACTGAAAGACTCGAATGACGGCCAGACATGCCGCAAAGAGGATAGACCCAATCGCCGAAAAGTAGTCTAGCTTTTCCGTCAATGGAAAATCCCTCGCGTGAAATACGGTTGACCATATCCACGCGTTCACGCCCAAGAGCGCGTTCAAGAGGTATATTCGGCGAAGCGGGTACCAGCGCGGAATGTGCCGACGAAGCTTTCGATATCCTATCCAATGCATGTATCCGTTCAAAATGGAAAAGATGACCGACGCTGGTTCTTGTAATCCCAAAAACCGTATAAATGGCCATTTGCCGTAATACTGTTCAACGGGATGCCCAGAGGCCAAATATGTTGTTGTTACATCGTGCATGCATTCATATTGGCAGTTTTCGCGGCATGTCCATCGTGTTAGTTGGAGAATGAAAGGGAGTTGGGCGTCAGCGTCGGGAGATGAGCAGGATGATTTATAGCATTTATGTACGCAGTTGATGTACAGTGAATCGCGATCCCCGCGCGAAGCGTAACTGACTGGCGCGGCCAAGAGGAGGAACGTGAGTATGGTGGCGACATGCCCTGCAGCATTGGCCCTGACAAGACGCATATCGGTTTATGTCTGTCGTGTGGTGTAAGTGTGCATCGGAGATGGCCCACACGATCTCTTGCACGGCTCTCAGCAAAGCCACGTGCGCAGAGGCAGGGAGACATGGCTTTTTCGTTCATTGACGGGCATGCTGCCGAGCATGGGCACAATGTGCATAGAAAATAGTACGCCGCCTTGTATGCCGTTTCAACACAGCTGTAGCTGCTTTTTCTTTCACATGTACTGCTTGTCTGCGCATATGCGCATTTCCTTTGGACTCGCCATGCACAAGACAGGATTGTTGCATGAATTGCGCCGCCATGTTGATTTGTTTGCGCCTTCCGCTGAGCAAGCGGCCGTTGCGATTCCTGCAATGTACTGAACAAACGTGCGCTTCTAATGAACGGCACCTTCTGGTCCGTTATGTTTACTCTTTTAGCTTTGTGTCAACATGGTAACATGAACCCTCAAGTGTGCCGTTTTGCCAAACAAGCTCATCAGGTGTGAAATAAACACAAATTGATGATTATCCAATCATGCAGGTCACGCCCCTCTGCTGCTTTGTCACGCGAGGAAGGTTTCGCTTTTGTTGAGTTTAAAAAGGGCTGTTGACCTTGGCTTTTCTCAACGGGGAGTTTGCCCTTGCTGAAAAGCCCATAGCCTTGTCTTGTTATAAAATCGCATCTTGTCGTCGTTGTTGTTTCCCTTCGGTCGACAGCCCTTTTGCTGCAATAATCATCGAAATTATTCAACTCTGCTTACAATGTTTGCCCCGACATTTGCGCCTCCTGCCTCCCTCTTCCAAATAACCCATCAGTATGAACCTTGCCAAAATACCATCCGAGAACCCGCTTTCCGCTCACCATTTTGTGACGCCGCATCACTGGAGCGAGCGAAATTGTACCGATTACAGCGGTTACAAGCGATTCTAGAGGAAGAGCGAAAGGAGTTGGAACAGCAAGCAAATTCGGCAGCTGGGAATTGTAAAGTCCGAGACAATCTGGGGAGTGATGGGACTTTGACAGAATCCTCATCGCCAAAAGAGAATGGAAAACAAGTTAAATTCCAGTCGCATGTGTTGGTCGTCCCGCCTCCCCCTCCGACCAAACCGCTTTGGCGACGAGGAATCAAGTTATTTGGAGCGCAACGTAACCAAGGGATCGTAGTGGAAGTTGCAGACTTGGTGGGTTGAGGTGATCAAATACCAAGAAATGAATTTGGTTGTTTGAAATTGTATATTTGTGTGCTTTTTGGTCGTATGTGTTGGCAGCGGGTTCTGCTCACAGTTTGTAGATAAGTGCGGTTTGGGAGGCATGTCTTAAATTTCGTGTAAAAGATGAATTGGGTCATTTGGGGGATTTGTCGATATTTTCTATCCGAAATTCTTTTGTTTTAAAACATGATTGTCTTTGCAATGCTAAAGAACTGTTTCCCATTCCAGCGTTTATCAATTCTTCTTGGCTGCCTTGGCTGCCCAAAATACCAACAAAAGGTTCTAAACTCGTAGCTCACGAGTCATTGACAACCCCAATCCTATAAAACTCTAGCATTTCCAACGCCCTCGCCGTATGGATATGTACATTGGGACAAGCGAAAATATCCTAGCAAGCATGTTTTGGAATCAAGCAAATGCACACACACATACACATTTTATACAAAACAACACAACCCAAAAGAGTTTTTACCGTGATATCCTTCCCCAACCATTCTCGAATCAACACCGTTCCACCTGGATGCATACTCTCATCTTCAATAAAGTCGGTGATATCGTATACGATTCCTGACAAGGAGACCCAGGCGTCTTGGAGTGTGTTATGCAAGGCCACTTGGGCAGCTGTAAAACTATCGTCGCTCGTGCTTGTTGACATGTCAACCAGTTGGAACAAAAACAACAGCGTGATCAGTCCTTTTGGAGGAGGCTTGGATGATTTGTCATCATGACGTAAACAATCGGTGTAGAATGATCGAGTGGGATCTGGAGAGATTTTCATTGAGCAGGTCTTGGTGGGGGTTTTCCTTGTTGATTTCTTTTTTGTTTTTCTTGGCATGTGTTTTGCTGTGTGTGCGTGTGTGGGGACGTGTGGAGGAAAAGGTCCGTTACCGCAGTTCTTTGTTGGGTTCAGGTGCCAAGGGATCTGCTTGCCCGCATCACGCCTTGTCATCACAGCCCGCAGTGGAAAAGCACCGCCCGAGGGTTGTGAAAGGTCTGAACAAAAAAGCCTCGCTTTGGGGTGATTCATAAAGAAAAAGCAACTGGGGTGTTGATGGAGACTCATGAAATTGGCAAGGTTCCGTCACTTTGGAATGCATGGAATAGATCGGAGGGGGGTCTTTTACCCTACAGGTTTGTTGCTTACAGTAAAATGACATATGTCAAAAAGGGCTTTCGGGTTTGTTGTTTGAAGGAGCAGTTTCCTTCAAAGGTGTTCAATTTGTCATTTACCTTTGGGCTTTTAGTAAAACGTACCATGCACGTTGCGTCTTTTATATAAATCTCACCCAGCACACTTCTGTATCTCTTGATTTTTTTTTTTAAAAAAAGAATAATATTATTCGTTTTTCTACATGTGTCTATAACATTCAATTCTTGAGAATAAGACGAGGGTGCCTGAATCGTTTTGTTGCAATTTGGGCTACGCTCGAAACCTGAGAAAAGCTAGTACTACTACTACTACTACTACTACAAGCTCCCTCCCTCCAACATGGGACCAGACGTTGCGACTACTGCTGCTCAAGGGGAAGAGATGGGAGAGGAAACGACAGGGATAAAAGAATCTGGCAAACAACCTGATCAGGATACGACTTGTCGTCGTCCTCGTGAACCAGCACAGCAGCATGAACAGCAGCATCATCACCATCACCATCTCCACCTTGATAACCTCTTGATACCCTTTAAAAAGCTTCTTCACACACGGTCAACGACAACCCCTCCTCCCGAGACTTGCAATCCAAAAAAGGACGCTCTCCTCCCAGTCAACCCAATCCGCACCATGTCAAACCCAACGACCCTCCGCGAAAAATACGGTACACCCCAAACCCTCATTGGCCGGGGAGCAAACGGCTCCTGTTACGCCGTCCGCAAATCCAACCAACCTAAACCCCAATACGCCTGTAAAGAATTCCGACCACGCCATAAGCACGAATCCGAAAAAGAGTACATGAAGAAACTCTCTGCGGAATTCTGTATCGGGTCCCAAGTCCATCATCCCAATCTTCTCCGAACTCACGATCTCGTACTCGATGGAAATCATATTTACACTGTAATGCCCTACTGCCCACACGGAGACTTGTACACATATATCCAAACCCACCCAAAACTCTCCATGGACCAAATCACCCATTTGTTCTCGCAGTTGATCCATGGCGTTGCCTACCTTCATAAAACCGGTATCGCCCATCGAGACCTCAAACCAGAAAACATTCTCTTTTCCAAACCGGAGCACATCAAAATCATTGATTTTGGGTCCGCTGATGTCTACAAGCCCCCAACGAGTACCTTTAATCGTTTATCGCATGGAAAATGCGGAAGTGGGCCGTATATCCCCCCAGAAGAACTCGCTTCACCTGCATCCTATGATGCACGTAAAGTAGACGTATGGGCATGCGGAATTATCCTCATGGCCATGTTAACTCATCGATTCCCGTGGGCGAATGCGACAATGAGTGATGTGGATTATGCGGCCTATGTAAAGTATGTGGAGGCAGTCAAGAAAGGAACAAATGCTCGCCCGCCAAAGATTTTTGAGAGTCTCCCTCAAGGTCCTCGAGACCTTGTTTTCAAAATGTTACAACCCGACCCGCAACTTCGGGTGCAGATTGATCAAGTACTTGAAGATGAGTGGTTTAAAAAAGTGGATGAAGGGGAATCGCCTGATGATGACGACGATGAACAAAAGTCTGATGCAGAATGTGGTCGATAGAAAACAAAACAGAAAAAAACTGAATCTTGAAAAAGACTGAAACTGTTCTGTAACGGTGTGTATATGCACCTAAAAAAAAGGAATAGGATAGTCGGTATGTAGCATTTTTTTGGCAGTAGATAGCATAGTATAGCATTTTTTTTTCCTTCCGATTTGGGTAGGATTGATATCCCATGCTTGAAAAAATCTCTACAAAAAATAACGGTTGTTTTTGTGTTATGCATTGGCCTGACACTGAGTAAATACAAAATGATTACAATGTGTGTTTCTGTTCAATTTGCATGTTCTACTGGTTTTTGCTTTTCGACCCGTGCTCCATCCAAGTTACCCACCTCCAAGGTGTGCTGTAGTTCTTCAAGGCCAGCACGATAATGACGCACGATTCACAGATTCAGACAGGGTTTTCCACACTCTCTCAGATCTATACGCCCAGCCCACCGTCCATCCAAAGCACCCCTTTTTCTTGGGGGGCAGGACGGCGTAAAGAGCCTGCAAGTAGCAAACACCTCTTACATTCTTGCTCATGCTTTCACTTGTGTCTATACCCTTTTACATGTGCAGCGTAGTCCATGGCCAGCCACGACAACCACGCCAAATACGCCCCACAAGCAACAAGCATCATCATAAACATTTTCAAAAACCTCTTCTCCAATACCCAATACAAAACCTCGAGACCGCCTACCGTCCTCGACCCTTGACCCCAACCTTTTGCTCTGCATCCATATGCTGCCACGAGTCAATCCGTTTGGGAGGCCGTGGCGGGAGTGGTTTATCAATCGCCACAGGAACAGGGACAACCGGCACAGGAACAGGAACCAAAACCGGTCCATATGCCTCATTGTCATCAGAAAAGGGGTCCATGTCCAGCAAGTTTTGGATAGGTTGCGTCGGTGGATGGGTTGAATTTGGAATCGCCACGGAAACATCCGGTTCTGAGCGTCCGTTTTGGGAGGGTATGGAACGCTGAGAGGATAGAAGCTGTGATCGGGGAGTACCGACAAAAGAAACGGGACGCTGTTCGCCTTGCGTACGTCCCAGCCCGCTACTAATCGACGCAACCGACACGGGTCGTTGTCGAGCGGGTTTAACAGGTCCCTCCATGCCACTATCCAATGATACCGATGAAGTCGTCGAAGAGGTGGACGCAGGTCGACTGGGCGTCGTCCCAACAATAGAATTTGGCCGTCGTTTCCGATCGAGACTCACAGTTTCCCGTGCACTCTCACCATCATCAAATAAATCCTTCCATCTCAAACACAGTACGGCAAATAACGTGCTTGAAAGCCCTAGTGTGGGGCAGAAAATGACTTGGAGGTTGGGTATACCCATTTTATTTGTTGGTTCCCGGGCTTGGACGCGGAACAGATGGCCAAAGAGGAGGCAGAGGAGGGCTCGATTTTCTAGAGGGAGTTGAGTAGCGAGGGAGCGGGCTTGAGAGAATCGCTGGGGATCCGCTGCAATTTGAGCCGGGTCGGGCGGTCCGTTTGTTTCCGGTCCTTGGTATATGTGAGTAAACTTTGGCGTGAGGGCGCTGGTTAGGGTAGACTCGGGTACTTTCATATAAAAGAAGATATCATTAGCCCGTTTGCAGGTACATTTGAAATGCACGGATACACGGAAATACCAACATTCTCTCAGCCAAGCTTTAAACAATGATGCAACGGCATTCGGATCAATCTGTTGTCCAAGCAACTCAACATCAGCTCCACTATTGAACATGTTTTTCAGATGCCCGACTTGGGTCGTCGACCCCGATACACGGTATATTCCAATTTCTTCAAGCCCTATCACAATAAAAAAAAAAGAGTTTAAACATGAAATGTCCATGTTGTCTCTATAGTCAGAACCGCAGGAAAAAGACAACCCACCAAACACATCCAAAAACTCTACACACCGATACGCAACCGCCGGTACATTCCTCACAATCCAATCCGGGTATCCCATATTCCCCACATTCCCCACTCTAGATATTTGCACAACTTCACTCAACGACACACCAAACACCAAATTCGGTACATCTCCAGCCGAACGAGAAGGGGTATGCCCACCTCGAGCAGAAGCACGTTCACGAGCCTTGTTTTCCCATTCTCCAACAACGACACGAGCCTTGTTTTGGAGTTCGCTGCCTTTTTCGGCGGCGCGGGCTCGCCATTCGGCTGTGACTTTGGCGGCCTCTGAGGCCTTGCTTTTGAATTTTTGTTTGAGTTGGGAGAGACTGGGTTTTTGGGATTGGTTTTGGGTTTGGTCGGTGGGAAAGGTGCTTGAAGTGGTAGAGGGATAAAACGCCAGGATTTCTTCCGTGTCGTGTAGAGCGTCGGAAGGAAAACCTGGCGATGGCAAAGTCGATACGTCGTCGGCGTCGTTTTCAAACGGACTAAATTGGTGCTGCTGCATGTCGGTGATGGGTGCAAAGCCTTGGGAAGACGCCTTTGTACCCGGTCGTGGTGGGATTATGGGTGGTGGAAATCGGGACATTTGTCTTTAAAAGCGCGTGCGATGGGTGAAACCAGTATAAACAGGCGAGTATCCCCAAACAATAATCCTCAGGTACATCCCTCGGGCATCGTTCGTCACAAAACCCCTCGTCCCAAAAACCTTCTCAATAAAGAAAACCAACAGCGCAAAAGACCTTGCCAGTGAGTCCAAACCGCAAAATAAAAACCAACGCAGGCCTCGCGGGCCACGCCGTCGGTGACTTGCAATCCCCCCCCCCCCCCCCCCCCCCCCCCCTTGCCAATGCCTCCCCCCAGGTTGCACGCGTCCAAGTGTGAAGGCGAGACATGGAACACATTTCCGTTTGTCTCTCCTCCATGTCTCAACGGCATGACCTCTTTTTACACACACGACGACGACATGTTTCCATCTTCGCTACCATCCTCCTATCAAACTGTTCCTTGCACTCGTAGCAGCCCGCAGCCGGCGCTGCTACAAGCAAGTCACCACCACACGAAGCATTGCACCTTATGAAAATATAAGAGACAACACAACCAATTTCCCATTCATTGCAAGAGCGTATTCGTAAACTATTCGTGCTGGCTTTCATCAAGGCGAGCAAGCAGGAATAGGTACGAATAGGCAATCCAAGAATAGAAAATAATTGGTACAAAAGAAAACGATGATAGGCAGGACCAGATGAACGCAAGAATGATGTGACAGAGTGACAGATGAACGAATGAATGATGTGACAGATGAACGAATGAATGATGTGACAGATGAACGAATGAATGATGTGGCAGATGAACGAATGAATGGTGTGACAGATGAACGAATGAATGATGTGGCAGATGAACGAATGAATGATGTGACAGATGAACGAATGAATGATGTGACAGATGAACGAATGAATGATGCGAGCGAATAGGAAGACGAGCGAATGATAATAGGCATGCGAGCGAATAGGAAGACCAGCGAACGATAATAGGCACGATGCAGGGTGAGTTTATGGTCATCCCAGGACCAGACGAGCGAACGAATGATGTGAATAGGTAGAAGCGATCCAATGAATAGGTAGACGAGCGAACGAGCGAACGAGCGAACGAATAGGTAAGGACAACGTCGGCGAACGATGAATAGGAAGACGAGCGAACGATAATAGGCACGATGCAGGGTGAGTTTATGGTCATCCCAGGACAAGGCGGGCGAATGAATAGGTAGCCGAACGGACAAGCACATGTGCAGAAGAAAGGAACGATCCAGCGCGAACCAATAGGAGAATCTACAAATGCGAATGAACGAATAGGTAGACGAGCGAATGAATAAATAGGGAGTCGAAGGAACCAGTACGAATGAACGAATAGGGGAACGAGTGAATGAATGAATAGAGAGTCGAAGGAACCAGTAGATGTCGAGCGAATGACGAATAGGGAGTCGAAGCACGTAATAGGCATGACGCAGGGCGAGTTTAAGGTCATCCCAGGAGCAGGCGGGAGGTTCATGGTCCAGGACGGTGGCCGGTTTTGAGCCGACAGACGTTACTGACAGAGAAAAAGCGAGCCGGTCCCACATTCGAGAAGAACAAGATGGTCGCTGGCGGTTGACAAGTACAGCATTGAGGCCGGCCGAGAAGATGATTGTCGTGGCAGCCGTCAAATCGCAAGTCGGCGGAGTTCATTCATCTTTGTACAGGCAGCAATGATCAAAAAAGGAAACAAGCGTTAGAAAATGTCAAAAGGCGATGCAAGTAAACGTGAATACGTACCGTAGCGCTTCTCGCAATGCACCTCTATTGTCCGACACTTATGTAACGCCGGTCCTACTGTTCCACCCCCGTCGACCAGTTTCCCGAGATAACGAGGATGACACTCCCCGAGAGCTATCGGCATGCAGCTTGCCACCGAGAGCTTCTCTTCGTCCGAAATTTGGTGGAGGATAATTGTCGTTGCAGCGTTGATCGGTCAGGGCATGCAGAAGGCGTAATGAAGGGTAAGGATTAGAAGGTGTAAAGGCAAGGCGAAGCCAACAACTTGGATGCATACCGTAGAGCTTGTCGCGATGCGCCTCTTCGTCCGACACTTATTTAACGACGGTCCAACCTTTCCACCCCCGTCGGCCAGTTTCCCGAAGGTAACGAGGAATGACGTCCCCGAGAGCTAACGGCAGCTACTACTAGCCGAGAGCTTTTCACGGCTACCTGACGTGACCCACATTCTTTAGCGACGCTGCGGACTCTGCCCCACCCCGCGTCGGCCAGTTTCCCGAAGGTGACGAGGTTGACTCTCCCCGAGAGCTAACGGCAGCTACTACTAGCCGAGAGCTTTTCACGGCTACCTAGACGTGACCGACTTTTCTTTAACGACGCTGCGAACCCTACCCGTCCCCCGTCGGCCAGTTTCCCGAAGGTAACGAGGTTTGACGGTCCCCGAGAGCTAACGGCAGCTACTACCAGCCGAGAGCTTTTCACGGCTGCTAGACGTGACCGAATGGGAGATATACACGTCAGATGAAGGGTATACAGCGACGGAACTCGACGGCAGATACTTTCCAAATAGGTTTGCCGCAGGGCAACAGTCCTTGAAACCGCACCGGTTGGCCGTTAAAGACATGGATGGAGGACGAAGGTCGATGTTTAAACCGTCGAGGTGGTGGAGGATGAAGGAGGACTCTTGCGCTGAACCGGTTGGTCGTTGGTTGGTCGTTGGTGGAGGACGATGGTGTAGGAAGGCCGACATCTAAACCGTCGAGGACGAAAGGCGCACTGGAACCGCAATAAGGGAGGAGTGAGATAGGTTCAAGTGCGCAAGTCGAATTCACCAACTACCTTGGAGGACGACATGTCCTACCTGGGGAGTACCGAGGTTGCCGTGGTCGCTTCGCACTTGTGGAGTGAGAGACCGTGATCGAGGACTGAAAGGCAAAAGGAGGGTGAAGCATGGGAAGAGTAGAAGCCAAAGTCGAATGCACCAACTCACCTCAGCCTGGAGCCACCCTGCACTTTACTTCTTTGACGACACGCATTACCAGGCCACCCGCGCCGAGCCGTAACGCGGCCAACCGAGCCATTTCAGTTCTTCTTTGACGGCGCGGACCAACAAGCCGAGTCGTGTCGTGAACCATCCGGGCCGTTTCACTTCTTTGACGACGTGGACCAACATGCCGGTCGCGGTGGAGAATCGAGTTGCCGATGGTCGTTGATGATGATGAAGTTGAAGGCCGAGGTCGCCGTGGTCGCTTCGCACTTGTGGAGTGAGAGATTGTGATCGAGGAGCGGTGTTTGGGAAGGGTAGATGCAAAAGTCGAACGCTGGCGATGGGCGATGTGCGGGGAGGACGAGAGGCAAAGGCGGGGAAGGAAGAGAAAGACAGAAATGTTAGACTCTTTTGCAAAACAAAGAAGATGATGCGTATACTTACTTCATCCGCCAATCTTCAGCACCTCCGCCTTGCGCGCTGGGCTCGGTACGAGCGACGTCCGACGCTGGCTCGTCAGCAGCCTCTCTAGTGAGCCGGGGGTTCGCTTCGCACTTGTGAAGGTCCAGGTCGCTTCGTACTTGTGGAGTGAGAGACCGTGATCGAGTGTTAGAATCGGTTGAAAACCCTAGAAGGTGATGCGGTTAGAATCGGTTGAAAGCCCAAGAAGGTGATGCGTATACTTACTTCATCCGCCAATCTTCAGCGCCTCCGCCTTGCGCGCTGGGCTCGGTACGAGCCGACGTCCGACGCCGACTCGTCAGCAGCCTCTCTAATGAGCCGGGAGTTCGCTTCGCACTTGTGAAGGTCCAGGTCGCTCCGTAGTTGTAAAAGTCGAGGTCACCGTAGTCGCTTCGCGCTTCTGGAGTGAGAGACCGTGATCGAGTATTAGGATCGGTTGAAAGCCCAAGAAGGTGATGCGCTACTTACTTCAGCCTCTCTAGTGAGCCGAGGGTTCGCTTTGCACTTGCAAGGTCGAAGTCGCGGAGATCGCCGTGCTTCGCACATGTGAACTGAGAGACCGTGATCGAGCCTGAAAGGCAAAGAGCGTGAAGCATGGGAAGAGTAGAAGCCAAAGTCGAATGCACCAACTCACCTCAGCCTGGAGCCACCCTGCACTTTACTTCTTTGACGACACGCATTACCAGGCCACCCGCGCCGAGCCGTAACGCGGCCAACCGAGCCATTTCAGTTCTTCTTTGACGGCGCGGACCAACAAGCCGAGTCGTGTCGTGAACCATCCGGGCCGTTTCACTTCTTTGACGACGTGGACCAACATGCCGGTTGCGGTGGAGAGTCGAGGTCGAGTTGCCGATGGTCGATGATGATGATGATGATGATGAAGTTGAAGGTCGAGGTGCCGATGGTCGATGATGATGATGATGATGATGAAGTTGAAGGTCGAGGTGCCGATGGTCGATGATGATGATGATGATGAAGGTGAAGGTCGAGGTGCCGATGGTCGATGATGATGATGATGGAAGTGAAGGTCGAGGTGCCAATGGTCGATGATGATGATGATGATGAAGGTGAAGGTCGAATACTTGAGAGGCGAGTTGTTGAGGGCGAGTTGTTGAGAGGCGATGAGAGTGAGGAAAACAGATGAGGAATGAGTGGGGGGGGGGGAACGAGAAAAGGGTGCCTTTTTATAACTTTTGGGGGCCCCGGGGCCCTCGGGAAAAGACGGAAGAAAACGAGAAAAAAAACCGGATAGCGTGACCGAAAGCTTCGCCAAAGAAGCACAAGAAGCACACGAATGCATCATGTGTGGAAGGGAGAAGGGGAGGAACGTGCCGGGCGTAAATTGGCGTAGATTCGAAAGAAAAAAAAGAAAGCGAGGGGGGGGGGAAAGACGCGCTGCGCTCGTTTGGATAAGCCAACTGTATGAACGCGTTCTTTATTATATCGCACGTATTGAGCTCGGATGGTTTATGGCGATGGCGAGTAATGGAATGGACCTCGTATATGTGTGTGTGTGAGTGAATGATGAGTTTTCCATCTGCTTGTTGGTCGTTGTTTTCGTCGTAAATCTCTTGTGCAGCAAGCAGCGAGCAGCAAGTAGCGAGCAGAAAGTCAAGTGGAGGAGGGGGAAATGATACGTAGAAGGGGGAGAACAGAGTGGCGCGCGTGTGCCAGGAGAAGGTGAAGAACGCCCAGAAAGAACGCGCGTGCGTGTGTGGATAAGTGAGGAATGACGCAAAGAAAGAGAAGAAGAAGAAGAAGGAGATGGAGAGATGCAATAAAGAAGATAATTTAAGCAATGTACGCAGTCCAATAACAAGAGAAAAAAGATGGGGAGGAGAAGGGCGATGAAATTCCCCCCCACAACGAGAAGAGAAATGCAGTAGGAAATATTTGGATTAGAATAGAATAGAAAATAGCGTTATTTTTGATATTCACAAGAGTGTAAGAGGAAGAGAGATTTCCCATGTGAAAAGAGAGAGAGAACAAGAGAATAAGAGAGAGAGAAAGTGTGGGAATATTTAGACGAGTATTTTCCCACGCGTGGGAACTTTTTCTCTTTCTTTCTTTTAGTCTCTCTCTTTTACTCTCTACGCTCTTACGCTCACTCTCACTCACTCCATCGGGTATGTTTCTCTCGTTCTTTTGTAAGATTGTATTTGCGTATTCAGTAACCGTCTAGTTCCTTTCCCACAGCCCATCCTTTTACGTCCTTCCTTCTTGTTACGGTTCCTTTTATCGCAACTCTCGACTTTCCATCACGTCCCACAGTCGTCTGTCTATCCTACCGCCCGTTCGCTTGTTTGACTATGCTCAACAACTGCCTTCTTTGTAGAATCGTTTTTTGGTTCTTTTCGAGCGAGGTACCAAACGTATCGTAACAAGGCATTTATCGGTCTGCTCGGTTGCAACAGTACAAGGATCAGTGCCTTTCAGGTGCTCAACGTTCAAAGCAAGCGTCTGCAAAGCTAGTGTGCTCAAGTCATTTGCGGTTGCACGGGTGCAATATTACAAGATCTCTCTGCCTTTGAGCTTTCAAGGATTTTGCGATTGCACGGTTGCAAATACTCCAAGATCAGCACTGGAAAGTCTCACGGTCAAGGCCTTTTGCGGTTGCACGGTTGCAATACTCAAGATTAGCGCCTTTGAGGTGTTCAAGACCAGGCTTCTTAAAAAGTCCATTCAAGGCCTTATCGGTTTGCACGGTTGCAACAGTACAAGATCAGCACTTCAAGTGCTCACGGTCAAGACGAGGATTCCCAAGACTTAAATCCAGCGTTCTTGCAAGGGTACCCAAGGCTTTCAGTTGCACGGATGCAACAGTACAAGATTAGCATCTTTGAGGTGCTCAAGACCCGCATGCTCATTAGCATATGGCAAGGCTTTCGGCTGCACGGTTGCAGCGTAACAAGATCAGTGCCTTTGAGGTGCTCAAGACCCGCATGCTCATTAGCATACGCCAAGGCTTTCAGTTGCACGGATGCAACAGTACAAGATCAGCACCTTTGAAGTGCTCAAGACCCGCATGCTCATTAGCATACGCCAAGGCTTTCAGTTGCACGGATGCAGCGTAACAAGATCAGTGCCTTTGAGGTGCGCAAGACCCACATGCTCATTAGCATATGGCAAGGGCTTCGGTTGCACGGTTGCAACAGTACAAGATCAAGCACCTTTGAGGTGCTCAAGACTCGCATGCTCATTGGCATATGCCAAGGCTGTCGGTTGTACGGTTGCAGCGTAACAAGATTAGCACTTTCAAGGTGTTTACTTTCATGACTCGCATTCCCAAGACTCTCAAAACTGGCTCTCCCCCATTGGCGTACCCAGAGCTTTCTATCGGTTTGCACAATTTGTAATGCACCATTAGCGCATTTGAAGTGCTCACGTTTCATGTTTGCATTCTCAACTCTCAAGCCTAGCTTTTCAGCAACCATATTCAAGGCCTTTGCGGTTGCAGCAATGTGCACCGTAACAAGACTAGCACTTTCAGTGTTCACATTCAAGCTCGCATTCCCAAGACTTCCAAGGCCAGTGCCGTTCTTACAATCATGCCCAAGACTCGCGGTTGTACGGCTGCATCATACCAAGATTAGCGCCTTTGAGGTGTTTACGCACAAGATTGCAGTTCCAAGACTCCCAGGTCAAGCGTTCTTGCAAGCGTACCCAAGACTTTCGGTTGCACGGTTGCAACATGACAAGGTCAGCGCCTTTGAGGTGCTCACGTTCAAGACTAGCATTCCCAAGACTCCCAAGTCCAGCCTTCTTACAAGGGTACCCAAGACTTTCGGTTGCACGGATGCAATGTTCAAGATGAGCGCCTTTGACGTGCTCACTTTCAACATTGCATTTCAAAACTTTGCACGAGATTGCATTTCCAAGACTCCCAAGACTGGCATTCCCATTAGCGTAGCCAAGGGCTTTGCGGTTGCGCCAATATGCAGCATTCCAGGTCAGCACCTTTGAGGTGCTCACGTTACCGACTAGCGCTGCACTGTTGCAGTGCTCCAAGACTGGCACCTTTGAGATGTTTCCGCTCCAGACTCGCATACCCATTAACGTGTACCCAAGACTCGCATTCTCATTAGCGTTTACCCAAGACTTTTGGGTGCCCGGTTGCAACATTACAACATCAGCACCATTGAGCTGCCCATTTCTAGACTTTTAATCGTGCACTTGACCAACCTCGTCGCCGCTTGTCGGAAAGCTAAAAGATTCGCCTCCCCAAGGTCAAGACTAGCTTTCCCACGAGCGTAGCCAAGTGTTTTGCCAACTGCAAGGTTACCAAATGATGAACCTTTTTAGGCCAGCGCAAAAGCAGGTTCCCAGCAAGTGTTTGCAAGTTTTTTTGCTATGAGGCAGACCCAAAAACCAACCGCCATGGGGCATGCGGCATTTCTTTTCTGTTTGGCCGACCTACGCAAGTTAAAGTAAATGACCTAACCCTCATGCATGTTTTTGAACATTTTTTAATCCTAACGACGTTTACTTGATCATTTCTCTGTCGGTTATCAGTGCAGGCTTGTTGCACAATGGTCCGGAACATGCGCTAATGCACACGGTTTTATAAGCAACTTCTTGATGACGTTTCTCTGTTGACCCCACTAGTGTCATGGATAAGAGTAGAGAAAACCAATATATTATAAGAAGGCAATTTATTTGTCTTGAACGGCTGCAAAAAATCAACGTGTGGGAGCTAGCGTTGCCATTTATTTGTCAGTTAGATGCCAGTAACACTTTGGCCACTTTCTTCTTGGACAGTTGAACGACCATCCGACGCACCATGTCTATTACAAAACCCTCTTACAAGATATATCCAAAAATGATAGACTTGCGAACCCATACTCTTGTTTATGTCAATCATGATACCTCATCCAATGCCTGACCTCCCTCCCAACATCATCCCATGCAACCAGCCCACAATCTAATTCCCTCCGTACCTTATCCACACCAGCAGGTTTCAAACTCGCACAATGACAAGAAACCGTAACAAGTTGATTTCGAAGAGCCGAAAACGACGGACTAGGCCTTTCACAATCTTGTACTGACGGAGCCACATACTATTTTTTCAAAAACATACTTAGATCCACTCAAATATATCCATTTAAACAATTATGGATGCCCTACCTTGATAGGCCCATAAACCTTTCGCTCAGAAACTTTACAAGCCACACTCTTCAACAACCCTTCCACACGACATAGCCTGCATAATGTTGGATTGGATCCTGTTACGGGTGTTTTGTGTTTGCAGGGTTGGGTTGGGAGGATTGTGTGTGCGGAGGGGAGGTGCCGGGTTTGGAGGGGGTTTGTTGGGAAGAGCGGGTGCAAGGGTGGTTGTGGCATGGTGTTTGGATGTGTGTACTTGGGTAGGGTTGTTGTGTGTAAATGTGTTAAAGAAGGTTGTGATATCTGTTTTTTAAAACTCAGTTTTTTTGCAAGGTTTATGTTCGGACATTTTTTTCTAAATCATCTTGTTTTCATTCGTTTTCCAATTTCTCGAGACATTCCATAAAAGTTATCTGTTAATTCTGTAAAACATTATCCATATCGCAATTACCTCAAAAATAAATCCGGAAAGTGTTTGGACAAGTGTAAAGTAAAATGCTGTCAAAACTGTCAAGTGTTTTTCTAGAATTTGACTCTATATTTCTTGATCAATGTCAATGTACACCATAGCGATATCACACACACAACAGCCAATAACGAAAAACCAAGTCATACAACCATTCCAGATATCCAGTAACCATCCCATTCCAACAATCAACGCACTCGCCTCACTCTTCTCCACAATAAAAACAAAAACGTATAGACAAAAAACCAACTAAAGTTCTACCCATCGGAGCCTATTACGTAAGACAAAAGCCACGACTCCAACACACTACAACAACCTTCAAGCCCCGTTTCCACCACACGTCTTGATCATCAATATGCCAACGAACCTCGACATTCCACCCGCCCGCTACGGCCACGAACTCTACACCCTCACTCCACACACCCCCGACACAATCCAATCCCAATGCAAAAAAATAACCACCCACATTCAATCCACGGCCATTCCAACGGGTATACTCGTCGGACGAGGTGTTAATGAGCATTTACGTTGGTACACGCCTCATACACCATCAACGGTAGTGGAGTTTGGGGTTTTGTATATCCCGTGTGATGTCTTTGGTGGTGCATTCTCCTCCCCTCCATCACAACAATCAACATTACACAATGATATTCCACTGCACATTTGGGGATCCATAACCCATCCAACACTCTTAACACACCTCCCCACCACATCCTTCCATTCCCTCCTATTCGACTACTCCACATGGCGATACATGACACTCTCACCAACCGTGCTAAAACACTGGCACACCATTCTGGTTGAAGAAGGGTGGATTGGGTTTGATGCCTATGTCGCCAGTGTGCGTGCGGGGAATGAGGTTGGATACGAGTGGGAGAATCCGACGCATTTGGTTTTACCTTGTGAGGATGTCAAGGTGTTTATCAAAAAGAGGGGCTTGTTGGTGAATCAGAGGCAGATTGTGTCGGCGCCACTAAAAGGACATGAACAGATGGATCGTCATCCATACTTGGACACGTTAAAGGAATTGTATGAACGGGTGTTTGTTGGGAGTGGGTTATTTGACAAGGTTGTGTTGAGACGGGATGCCTACCCTGTTCAGACGAGAGGTCATATTGGGGTGTGGTTCCAGGTTTTCAAGAAGAAAAGTGGGTTGCAAACATGAAAGAGCATCTCCCGTCCCTCACAAACAGCAGAATTACAGAATTTATACATTAAAAAAAACAGACACACAGAGAAGAGAGAAAATTACATAAAACAAAAAGCCCATAGTGAAAACCCCCAAAAAGCCGGACAAAACATTGGGAACCTTGATAATCCGTAAATCCCCTTCCAAAACAACAACAACAAGAAACCAAGCCAAAAAAAAAAAAAAAAACAAAACCCCATTTTGCATTCACATCAAAACGAAAAGGAAAAAAAAGAATATAGAAAAAAAATTTCACCATCACAAAATACCATCACATACATCTATGACTGATCCCCAGAACTTGATTCCAATACGGCGCTCACAACAGATAGATTCCCGTCATGCTTTACCTCTCCATCCGTCGTCCCATCCACAGCCGTCCCATTCGCAGTCGTCCCATCCGCAGTCGCCCCATCAACAATCGTCCCACCCGCAGTCGTGCCATCCGCTGCCGGCCCATCCACAGGCGTTTCGGTGGCTTCCTGACCTGCAGCAACATCTTGTACCTCACTACTCCCCTCATTGACTTCGGTGGTGGCCTTGCACTGCAAGTGGAGCAGACCCGACTTGCTCGGATTCCTGTGCAGCGGGCACACCACTCGCGGACGGATCAGGAGTCGCAGGAGACGGAACAGGTGTCTGCGGCGTATTCTCACTATTCTCATCCTCATTGTTGGTCTCGGCTTCTTGTAAAGACCGTCGTATAGCTTCCATAATCATCAACTCTTCCAAATCAGCGCCCATGTTCCGCATCGCTACACCACGTTAATACACTTTTACGAGCAATAAAAAAAAAAGAATGTACATACCTTCCAGATAATTCATGCCCAAATCCCCACCGGCTAATCTATCTCTTGGTGGCCTTCGTCGCTGACTTGCAGTATCATGACCAGACCTTCGAGACCGAGACGAACCGGATTGAGGTGATACACCCGTCATACTCTCTACCAACGCTGCAGCGGCCGCAGCTGCCCCAGAAAGGTCGCGGTCAGGATCAAGCCTTTAAAAGAAACGGAAAGAAAAGAATTTTAGTCAAAAGTCTTTTGCAAGAGAAAGAACAAGAAATGTACATTCGCCGTCGTGATGAGCTGCCACCGTGCTGTCCCAGAGGAAAGGTCATACGTCGTTGGTTCGCCGCACGCACTAACGCGAGTTGCTGTTGTTTTCGCAACCAGTCCGGTCGAAGATCATCTATATCGTTACATTTTTGTCTGTCATTACCTTTTCACATTCCCCCAATAAACGAATCACTAGTCCCACTTACCGGATGTAACGACCAGCGCACTCTTATGACTGACACTCTGTCTTCGTTTTGATGTGACTGGCGGGAGGGGAGGTGCCAACATTTCCTTTTGCTCAGGCCCACCAGCCCCATGCGCAGGCCCACCATTCTTTTCTTCCTTGAATGCCTCGGGATAGGCTTCCATCAATTTAATCTTATATTCCGGGGACCCCGGCGGATGATACAGAATCCCAAAGTTGGCTTCAACACAAAATGGACATGAGGCGGGTTCTAACGTTGCTTCGGGGCGTTTAATTTGCACAAAGCACTCTGTACAAATGGGTTGATCACAACAGCGGGAATAGTTGACGTTTGCAGGGTAGTACTATTCAGAAAATGATTGTCAGCAACTGTGTTTTTACAAAATCATTTTTTCATGACTTTTCATTACCAAAAAGCAAATGGGGCATTCAATGGGATACTTGTAAAGGTCTTCTGCACGAATCAGTGACAGAGACTCTTGCGCCACCAACTGGCTAGGCATCGACACCGACCGCTTTCCTTTCAATGAAAATGTACTGGATGAGGAAGACGAAGGTTGACGGTCGTGGCTGGTCCGCCGTGCCGGAGTCCAGGCCAACCCATCACGTGCAGAGATGGAGAAGCCTTCGGGTACCACACTGGCTCTACGACTTGTTGAGCCAGAGGACACTGGTGGCGTAGGTGTCGGAGCGATTTCGGGTTTGTCGGTCATCTCGGCCAGTCCTTTGTAGAAAGGTGACATTCGGCGTTCTACGATAAGGCGCTTGACGACCTGTATATCCCAGTCTTGTGGCGAGTTTGGATATACTCCATCCTTGAATGGGATCACTTGCTACATGATGGTCAACAAATGTCAATGGTCGTCCATACTCTTTTCAAGCGTTGGATCACATACCCCCTCGTCCACTCTGATATCGGCGATATCGTCCTCCTTTGCCTTTGCAAATGAGTTGCCCATGTTTTCACAAAAGGATGGATAGGGATATCTAGCACAAGGTATACCTGCACGATCAAACATAATAGAAAGTAACGATTTAGAACGAGTATCTCGTCGCAAACGATTGCCAGGTAATGTGTTTTGGACATGGATGAAAGATCACTGCAAAGTCCAGGTTCTTGTGATGCAATGGTCATTGCCCTCAATCTCCCCACACTCTGGCATTCGACAGACAGTCCACCCCTTGCTTCACATTACCTCACACGTCAGAGACAGCAGAACCCAACTTTAAAGAACGGGGTACGAAAACAAATGCCGGCCGGTCCCAAGACGACGGAAAAAGTCAGATTTGTTTTCGTTTTTCGGCTGTCAATGCGCCTCCTGACTTCGCTACACCGATCCGATAACCGTTTTTTTTGTCCAAAGTAGACTCGTTGAGGTCGAAACAGCTTTCTAAAATTGTTGCCCAACAAAAAAAAAGGGAGAGACACACACAGTTACAATGGGCCGTGATCCCTTTTGTCAAACCCTGCATCCTTGCTCATCCGCTTACCAGAAAGCCTTTTGAATACGTCTTGGCGCTTTTCGTTTCTCGCTTCCGCAAATACCCAAACTAGACGAACGCAGCACTTGCAAACCTCCAGTAACAAAAAGAAAAGCCGTAAAAGCGGTAATGACCCCCAAATGCCTTCCTTCCCAAATTGCACCTTCCTCGTTGCAGTCCCAGCAAAGCTTACAGTTTGGCTACCACGCGTTGAGGCCAAGGCAGAGATACGGTTACTAAGCATGTGATGTGGTAGTTTTGACTCATCTCATGTGATTTGCGTGATAAACAAAGCGCATTTTGCGATATTCCATTTGGGGTATTGGAAAAAAATAATCATTTAAAGGTTCATTTTTTAATAGATGACATGGTATTTACAATAGATGCGAAATGCCTCGTGTAAAATCAAATACTTTCACCGCTCCATTGGCAAGTCCCCATGCAATATGTCCATCGCCTACCTCCACCACACCTCGTACAATCTTTCCATTGAACGTGAGTTTTCTAGAGGCTCCTCCGACCCATGGTTCGTATATATACACGTCTGCGCCTGCCCTTCTTTTCAGCCATATGAAGCTGGATGTTGCTCCCAAGTCCCGCGTCCACAACGACGAAGTTGGCACATGAATGGGGATGCACACGGACTTTTGCCTCTCGGGAGAGACACGTTCAAACCATACACCATCGTCATTACTACTTATAATATACCCGTGAGTAAATCCGTAGTCGAACATTTGCTTTTGGGAGTCCTTTGATCGGTGGATCTGGTCCAATTGTTTGCCGGTGCGATCATAAATAACTACCAAATCACCTTGTAATGATACCAAATATTCCCCGTAAAGCCCAAAAAAGGAGCGCTGAGCATAAAAGTGCTATTAGCTTACAAGTGAGGAATCCATTGGGTTTTTATGGATGCCTTACATGGTCAAAGTGATCTGGTTTTATAATCCCCACAGTTTCTCCAGTTCGCAACTCCCATATCCAAATACTTCCATCTTGTGCGGAAGAGTATACACGATTACAATGCAGTCGCACCTCAATGATCGAGCATGTGTGTCCGTCCAATGTGCGAATAAGGTTCTTGGTTCGTAGATCCCAAATGTATATTCTCCTAAAATCACGCGGCCGTAAACATACGACAAGTACGTCTAAAACCTCTGCGCGTTCTTTGCAGCACGTACCTATCAAAACTTGCAATAACAATCACACCATCTTCACCTGAAATCTCAAAGTCCACCGAAATGACAGTTCCACCCTCAAGTTCAGCGATGCAACTTTGTTTGTCAAGATCCCACACTTTGACAGTCCGATCGTAGGATCCACTGACCATAATGTTCTTTTTGATTCGTACGGCGTGCACTTTGTCGCTATGCAGGTCAAGGACATACTCCACAGGTGAATTGTGAAAGAAATTGTAATGTTTGGCGCAGGTGTGTTTTGCATGTGGGTCCAGTTGTCTTGGTATGCGCCAAGGACACCGTCGGTGCATCTCGTCGAGGCGCTGCTGCCATAATGCTGCGGTATTTTTGAACGTATGCCATGTACGAGATACCTTTAAAAGCGAAACATTGAATGAATGCCTACGAATGCGTGCATCGCAAACATAACAGGCGTTGTCTTCCTACTCGACCCATGGCGCCCAAATCCGGGATATCAAGATATCGGGCAACTTTCAGTGAAATCTCCAAAGGAAGTTGTCCAACAAAGTCTACTGTCTCCGTACGCTTTGCTTTGAGGAGCGGTAAGAGCGTCTCGACATCGCCATACTTGCATTTCTTGACGAGCTCGGCGAGACTAAACTAAACGGGGTCAGCGCAATTGACGTGCAGTCTCGACACGAATGTAACATACAATGCTCGACGTGTCGCTGCGGATGAGGAGGAAAAGGCCTCAATAGCCTTGTTCAGTTCGTCTGGCAACTTTACTGTGCCCATCTCACCCATGACCCATCACATTCTTCAAAAGCACAGCCCAACATTTGAACTATGAACTGGCGATGCTTGCAATTTAGCCAAAATAGGCAAGTCCTGCATACGTCATCCATTTTGAAAGATTATAAACAAAACCCCATCGCAAAGTTCCTCGGTGGAAACTCAGATCTTACCCATCATCGCGCACTAATTCAGAAACAATAACAATAATACAGTAAATAAACTATGTCCAAAGTCTAACCATGCCATACGCTTGCATTCGATGCTACGGAATCTCTTCCTCTAAAAGAGAACCCATCTACGTCATTCAACCCACGGTCCAAAGATCCAGACGGAGTGAGAGACGGTGGCTCTTCTGTGAATTGCTCATCAAAGAAGCTGACGTCGTAGTCGTCTCTCTGTCATCCATGCCACCAGTTTTAGTCATACGGCCTTAACAATAATATGACACATCCAAAACTCACCAGTTCTGGTCTGAAAGGTACTTCTACCTCCTTATTAAACAGCTTGATCCAGTCTACACCCTTGAAGAATGCATGCTGCTGTACCATCTTTCGCACCAATCTTTTCGCAGGGTTTCGGTCTAGGATTCTGTGAATGAAATCTTGTGCCAGAGGTGATACGTGCGACGGGAATTCGATGGGCGCGTCGAGGATGTTTAACCGGATCTCTTCGCGGTCTTCAGAGTAAAAGGGATGGAAACCGCAAAGCATTTCAAATACCACCACACCGTAAGCCCAATAGTCGGCTGCTGCGGTGTGCGGATGTCCTTGCAACACTTCTGGAGCCTAATCATGAATGTCAACAATAGTCAGCACATGAAAACAGCATCTTATATCATGGAGTTGAAGCATACCAGATATTCCAACGTTCCAACCACAGAGATTGTATCAGAGTCTTCATCTTCTGGGATGTCATTCTCGTTTTCATGCTTACTGAGTCCGAAATCCGTGATTTTGACATGCCCGTCCCTCGTTAATAGGATATTTTCTAGTTTCAGATCTCTAGAAATTCCAAACAACAGGTGAGTTACTTTTCTTGGGGGGAGGGTATGAGCGTACCATGACAGTAACTTACCGATAAATAATACCTTTCCCATGAAGACATTCCAAACCCAATAACAACTCTGCAGCATAAAACCGAACTCTCTCCTCCGAAAATCGGCCAAAGTGACTAACGTGAAAGTACAACTCCCCACCGTTCACATACTCCATTACCAGATAAAGACGCTCGGGTGATTGGAATGCGTAGTGAAGACCAACGATGAAGGGGTGGTGAATTGAGCGCAAGATACGGCTTTCTGTTCGTGGATCGGTGGACGTTGGAGAAGAAGGAACATCTGTGTCTATAGACGCTTGCGGTTTTGTGAGGACTTTGATGGCGTAGACCTTTTGGGTTGATTTTCGACTGCAGAGCAGGACCTAAAGGTGTCAATGGATCAGCACTTGCACTCTAGTACGAAAGCGTGTGTCGGAGACTGTTTCTACCTTTGCAAACTTTCCTCTTCCAATAACTTTATGTATCTCAAAGTCCGCCATCGTCATTTTAACTTCCTTCTCCTTTCCTCCCACTTCCGGAATCTCACTGTTATCTTTCACCAAAGCCGGTTCCGCTCTTGCAAGCTCGGACGCTACCGGACTTGGCGAAGGTGCCTCACTTGGACTCTTCGTTTCGACTTCTTTCCCACCACCCACGTGTGCACCCACTTTTAAGCAATTAACCCAGTCCGCATATTCACCCTCAGACCCGGCAGCCATGACAACCTTCTCCCCATTCTTTTGTAAAACCACAAATACAAATGGGCGCTTGTACATTCCGGATTCTACTCTCTCCACAGCACATCCGTCCAATTGAATGATAATTGTGCCCCGCTCAGTAGCAAACGATGAGATGACTGCCTCGTTTTTTGTGCTTGGGCGAAGAATCAAGGTACGGTTATCGAGATTGACCCAATGTGACGTCCATGCTTTTTTGGTTGCGTTGTGAATATGTAACCAACCCTCTTTGTATAGTGTGGTCGGAATCTGAATCGGACGGTTCATGGCTCTACTGAACGAAGAGGAAGAAGAGGAAAAAGATGTAGTCCGGGGAATCGTCGAGACGGGTGCTGTAGTTGACGAGGAGAGCGCCTTGAAAACTTTGAAGAGCTCGCCGTATTCTGGTGAACTTTCTTCCTCGGCATTGACGCCAAAAAATCCTGCGAGTTTTGCAACACGTTTCGCGGAGGGTGCTTGTTGCTCTTCCAAAGTGTATGTACTCTCGAAGCTACGGAGTTCGTTATGGGATATCTACATTGACGAGTACTTATTACTTGACATATTCTGCGTCGAGCTGGTGCAAGTGATACTTACCGGCTTATGCCTCAACAAGTTTTTAGTTGCCTTTCTCTTGAACAAGAAGAATTCATTATCTGTCCACTTTAGCATTATATCGTACATCTTCTCATCACCGTGCAGCTCCCGTTCATCTAGACAGCATCATTAGTATCATCAGCTGAAAATCGAATGACGGTCCGGGGAAATAACTCACTTCCAGAATGCGGCGCACATAGAAACAGGCCATACTGTTCTCCTGTATCTTTAATCATCAACTTATTCATTAAGGCTAACTTTGCCTCTGCTACAGAGGCAGGCATTGGAAGACGGAGGTTACTGTAGGTAAGATTGCCAAAGTGAACACGAACAATGAACTGAGATGCGGCGTTGGGGAGGGGTGGTGGTGGACCAATCGATAGCGGCTGATACGTTTGAGAGCGTTGGTTAGCCATTGAAAAAACATGTTCAAAGATGGTCATCGTATAAAACATACTCTATCCCCTTTTGACGAACGTTTGGCGATCATACTTTGAATCTCATCCATCTCTTTCTGTTTTGCGATACCAAAAAAGTCTGCAAGCTTTTCTGTTCGTTTGGCTGGTTCCTATCGCATTCAAATTCTGTTAAGAACCGTGCGGAAACTGACAAACAAGCCACTTTCGTACACGAACCTGCGACGCAACTGTCCCTCCTGATGCAGCATTCATCAACTCGCCGGCTACTGAATGTCTCGATCGCAGATTGAACAAGGCAGCGCTGCTCTTTTTGCTCACCGTTGCTGACATTGGGCGTGATGGCTTTTGATGGACAACTACCGGTGGATCAAAGAGAGAGCTGACCGATGCGGAAGCTGAGCGGCGACGGCTTTGGACAACGTTAGCGGGTCCTGCATCACCTGTTGACACATTAGGATCCTGTCAGAGGTGAAATTGGTAGTCAACAAAAATGTGAGATGAAGAATGAGCAGTTTTCGGCGCAAGCTATCACAAACATACCTCTGGCTGGTTGAGGTTGATCAAACTCTTGCTACTGCTTCCCTTCAGAAGCCCCTCTTCGCTATAACTATCTCCACTCTTCCTCAAGGCCTTTGACGGCCGCCTCTGAGGTGAATTCACACTCTTCCGGTTCTCAATGCCGAGAACATATGCCAGCTTTTGTGATCTCAACGCGTCATTACGTCGCTTGAGGTCTTCGGCTTCCCTCGCTTCTTTGACTACGAGAGCATCTAGGTCAGTACTGGATGGTAGACCGAGGATACCCGCCAGCTTGGCTGTGCGCTTGTGAACCTGCCAATGGGGGTAAGCAAACAATGGTATCAAAACCGTTTGACGTCCTTAGAGCTTTTCTTACCACTTTGCGGAACGAGTACTTGGAAGTTCGATTCCACGGTTCAAAAGGCTTCTCTGCTGGCTCCAGGAATCTCGATTCTGTTTCATCTGGGAACGTAATTTCAGCATTCAGGACTTCAACATGAAAAAATCCAGAGGATAACCGGGGCCATTCCTACCATTGACCCACAAACCCCACCCAATCTCCTCTTCCAACCCCTCAACAGCCACCAAGATCTTGACAACATCCTCAACTTTGGTTTCCGATCCTACTACAATCCACCGAGTCTTTGACTTTTTTTCCTCTATTTGCACAGGTATTGACCACTTGATTTCTGATTTTCGGCGCAGACGGAGTTTAATTGTGGAGGGCGGTGGGGCATGTATGTGATCTATGGGTGTATTTGGATCTATGCGAGTTTCGATGGGGGTGCCTTAAAACAAAGAACAGCAGGCTTTTATTTAGCGTGCTGGACGGTAGTAGCTGACAGCATGCCCACAACACCTCACCATTCATTCCAACGTCCATTAGAAATACCCTAAAACTCTCTAAAACCTCCACAACTCCCATCTTGTTCAAAGCCTCCATTCGTACTTCGTTGACGGTAGTGTTTGGAGATACGGTGAACATGTTGCAGGTATCGTCCTCCAAGTACATAAAAACAGGTACAGAGCCATCTGTCCGTAATGGTGCAGCCATCTTTGCGTCGTATAAAGGTTGTGCCTGTGGGGGAGCGGCATTCGGATCCTCCAAGGTGGGAAATTGTAGAGCGAGAGGAGAGAAATTAAAAGTTGGAAGTTCGGTAGTGAGGGCGGTTGTGACATTATCATTAGGACTATCAGCGTCAACTCCTTTTGTATCGATTCGAAGCGGCCCGAGAGATGGACCTTGGCGTAGCGAATCGCTGGCATGAGATGCTTGTCGAGTATGTGCACCGGACGACGAACGAGGGCTATATGATTGTTGGGATGACAATCGGGCACCGCTTCCCGGAGGACCAAAATTGAGCGTACTTCGAGCACTCTCTGGGTACGAGCTGAATGCAAAGTTGCCCAACGAAAGGGTACTTCCAATCTCTGGTCCAAATCGCTCTTTTATCCGCTGTGAAAGCTCCTGCAGGTTGGAGAATGTGGGCAATTCATCGCTCTTGGTAACCGTAGATGCCGACGACATGGATTTACTGCGATCCAAGGAAGCCAAGGGCGAGTTTATATGGCTTAGAGAAAGTGCTGGCCCCATCCCAATGACTGTCACTGGTCTTGACGGCTTCGTTGCGCTGCCTGGAACAGGCGGTGGTGGGGTGGCACTCCTCCTCGAGTTCAAGGAAGTACTTGGGGCATCTTCGAGAATCGGATCGTCTTTGATGAGCGTATGCTGCGTTGAAACTTTTGACAAATGTCTCTCGATTTTGAAGCTGGGCTCGAAAATGGGAAGACCAATATCCAAATCCTCCGTCTTCGTCAAAACTGAACTCTTGACAAATGTCCCACCGTCCATCCCCATAACATCGCCGCCATTTTCATCATCACAAGCACCTCGCAAAGCAGATGCGGTAACCAACGTCGGCGGATCTTCTGTGGGCCATAGTCTTTCCTCTAGTTTTCCATGATATCGAAATTCGTTGTCATTGTTCTCGCGTCTGCCCCATGCTCCACCTCTTGTCTTTGCATCTAACGTAGAGGAAACCGCTCCCGTCGGCTTCTTTTCCGGTAGTCCTGGAAGGTCAGCTAAGGCGGCAGGGTATTTGTCTGATTGCGTGGCATCGATGGACTTTGACCGGCTATGCAAGGACATTATCGGGTTTTGGCCTTGAAGATAGTCATATAACAACCTCGTGAGAGTAGCTACTTTGTTTTAAATATATTCTTCACACTGCCCAAAAGAAAATAAAAAACTCCCCGAGCTGGCTTGTGCTTGACCAAAAACTCAGCTGACAGCACGTTTTAGCTTCGTAAGTTAACTTGTATTAGTTATGAGGTTCCCAGCTACCGGGGGAATGCACAGTATTCCTTGACGGTAGCGTATGGATGGCTCCAATAATACTTTGTAAATTAAAAGAGCACCAGACAATGGATGCTATTTATAGGTGGATTCCATATTCATTCGATAGGACAATAAACCGAGGGTGATCGGCAGAGCATGTAAATTGCGCAAGAAATTACGATAACATGTTTGAAAACAAAAGTTACAGGAAATGGACATTCTAAAGACAGCATTTTGAAAAGAAAAAAAAAAAAAAGTTTCTACTACATCACATCTAGGATATGCTCAGAGTTGCGATTTGTTTGGTAGAGCAGGGACAGCCTCCCTCACATATCCTTCTCTAGATTCAACTTTTCTCCATTCTCTTTCGTCGACATTATCCTCTTCATCACTGTTTCCTTCTGTCTGAACACCACTTACACTTGTATGATTGTTTTTACCCTTTTTGCGGTGCTTGGTGATAACCGTTTCATTATGGTCATTAGCGGGTTTGTGCCCGAGACTCGTCTGAGATAGACGAAGGCTGGCGCGAGAACCGAGTTCGTTTAGTTTCGTCAATTTACTGGATGTTTCTTCGTCGTCATCGTTGTCTAGTTCGTTTGATTCTGCAGGCTGCTTCTTTTTAGTGATCTTGTTGGTTTTTTGGTGTTCTGATGGTGGTTCGCTTTCAGAGGAGGACTTGTGCGTTTTGTGGGTAGAGCTGGTTGTCGACTCGTCCTCGGTAGTGTGATCTGGCCGCGACTTTTGTAGTGTACGGGTGGATCTGGTTGTAGACTCGTCATCTGAAGTAACATCCGGCCGTGACTTTTGCACCAGTTTACGGGTGGATTTGGTAGTAATTGCCTCGTCCTCTGAAACATCCGGTCGTGACTTTTGCAGCAGTTTACGGGTGGATTTTGTTGTCCCCTCGCTGTCATTGTTCCTAATGTCTGATCGCGACTTGTGGGAATTGGACTGCATAACACGAACTTCGCCAGATTCACCGTACACCTCGTGCGCATCTGATGACGGCTCCGGAGTGACGATTTCTTCAATTTGGTGGTCAGTTACTTCGGTAGGAGGTCTGGCAATATGCTTGCGGCGTGTAGTGATTTCCTCGTCGTTTTCACTTTCCGCCTCTGCCGCCGCTTTCTTGGGCTTGGATTTGCCGGTTAGAATCTCTTCCTCGTCATCGGTAACATGCTTTTGTTTTCTGCTGCGAACGGTGGTGGTTTCCTCGTCGTCCTCATGTACCTCTGCATTGGTTGCTTTCTTCCCCGGGTGAGACTTTACGGTCTTTTCCACTTCGTCCTTTTGTTCTTGTCCTTGCTTTTTCCCTCCTTTGTTGGTAACGGGTGCGACTTTCTCTTCCTCCCGGGCGCGGACGGCAGCAGGTTCCGCGATCTCCTCCTTGCTTTTGTATATTTTGCGGTACTTGTGGGGACTACCAATGCGTTCTTGTGAGGTCTCAACTGGTGTTCTGCTTGTTTGAGATACGTCGCGTCCTTCGTCGTGTTTTCGAGCGACCTGTTCTGATGCTTTCTTGGGCTTTGCTTGTTCAACTTTCTCTACGCGTTTCGCCTCTGCAGGGGCCTGTTTGGAATTGGGCTGTTTGCTTACCACTTTCTTGTGTGCGGCTGGTTCAACAAGCTCGTTTTCTGGTACATGTGGAGGCTGGCTACTCGACCTCTTGGCCTTCACCTTCTTCCGTATGCGAGCGGCCATCTCCCCCAATCTCCGACCTCGTCCACTGTCGCTTTCCTCATCCTCAGTAGCTTCCTCGGTCACCGCTGGGTGTCCTTTCTTTGGCAATTTGCGGATGCCTGCCATAAACTCATTTCTCTGTGTCTGCCCCGCTAGCCCCTTGACAGGATGTTCAGAGACAATGGGTGCATTGACATTATATTTACCGCGGATGAAGGGATCATTGTTCGAGACGACCACGTAGGCCCCGTTATGTGTCAGCTCATCGACGGATTGAATGCGGTGGCCGTCGAGGGCATAGAGCTTCTGAATCATACCCGTCACGAGGTGAATCTGGGTATTGAGATTCTCCAAGAGCTGTAACGGGCGACCTTTCAGCTTACATTGACATCCATCTCTTCAAAGGCAAACTGGTCACCTACCCTCTGTAGATTTGGGAACCGCTTTTTGGTAACCGTGACAGTTTGTCCAATATGATACAAATCTCCATTTGGAAAAAACGTTACAACACGGGGAAACTGCAAGCATTCAAAAAAAGCATAAGAAAAGTCTCCCCAACATTTGTGCCAGAACGTTCGACTTACGTCGTCTTCATGTTTGTTAGCCTGTGCAGGATGCTCTATATGGTATGTTGTTTGCTTGAAACCGTCCGCAACGGCTGCAACCAGGTTCTGCCCATCATGAATCTGACGGAGATTGCTAATTTTGTGACCATTTTCTGCGTCGTAAAGTCTTCGGACGCTGATGCGGAGGAGTTCTGTAAGGTTTTTGAGGAGCTGAGGGAAATGGCGTTAATAAATCAACAGAAATGCATTGAGCATTAAGAAAAGGTGTAAATAGTAACGTACCTGATCAAATGTTCGACAGTTTCGGTAGTTCAAAATCATCTTGATTCCAGCAGATGCACCATCCCCATTTGTGAAGACGGTGACTTTGTAGGCTTTGCTCTGCACCAAACCAATTGCCGTTAGAAAATGCTTTTACAACGCAGTAGCGTGATACTCACTGTAGGTCCAAAGATGGGTCGCTCTGGCTCTTTCTTACGCCGCTCTTGCACCTCCTTTGGCGCCTTCGAAGTTCCAAACCGCTCCTTGATAATATTCACTCCCCACCCACTCGGACGCTTTGTTCGGATGAGGGCAGACTTTTCTCTGGATTCACTATCGCCATTTGTCATGCCGGACACGGCTGATGGGGGTATATCGGCGGTAATGAGGTAGGGCACCTTTTTGAAACTTTCGCCACCTGTTGCCACGTAGACGGCGCCATCTTTCAGGTCGTCTAGTGTTCGGATGATGTGACCGTCGAGGGTGAATACTTTGCGGACAGCGCCATTGACGAGGTTGATCTCGTCAGAGAGTCTGGAAAGAAACTGGATAACAAACTAAGCGTTCAGTTGCATCAAACAATCGTATTCGGCCAGTACAAATGTATACCTGTTCAAAGTTGCGGTAGACTCGGGTGTTGATCACCAACTTCTTCCCTGGCTCATACAAGTCTCCGTTGCGGAATACTCGAATCCGTTTACTTCGGAACTCGTCGAGAGACATGGTACTATGACGTTAAGGCACGGGTAGTTGGGAGATGGATATGATCCCGCAGTAATCCACACCGTATTATCTGATGAGCACCTTTGAGAAATGCAATATGACTGTGCGCAACGTTAATCCAGAACAAAAATAATAAAGAAAAACCAAAAGGCCCACACTGGGCGGACGGTTTTGCCTCTCTTGAGCCGAATTCCCAAATGCAAGCGGCGCAATCCAGTAGTAATTCGCAAACAATACTGGGATGCCAATGTGTCTATTTTTATCGCTTTGAACTGATCCTCGTCGGTTCAAGGATGAGGGCAGCTAAGTATGCGCGGGAGCAAACATGTGGCTTTGGTTCAGTCGGTCATGACAGAGGACGATCCCAATTGCTGACCTCTGGGAAGACATGACCAGCGGAGTTGATTACGTAACGCCTGAGCCAGGGTTGGGAGTAAGGGGTTGGGTTAAAACTCCGAGCGATCAAACCTACGGCTGTGCTGCATGTGCCATGATCTGACTGTGTTTAAATAAGCACGAATGTGTGAGCTAATAACTGCCCACCTATGTGTTCGTTTGTTCCGTAACCATAGAGTTAGGTATGAAGACGCATGGACAAATGCTCTTCGTTTTGCGTGTGTCAAGAACCCAGTGTTCTAACGCTATCAACCATGGCAGCATTGAGAACGCTATTTCTTTGAAAAAGTTTCCCAAATGGACGTTGCCCTCTTAAGATCTGATAGATCATGAACACTAACGAGGAACAGAAAGCAAACAGACATGTGGACTTACGAGATACTCGTCAACGAACCTATTGGCTCGAATATGAACAAGGATGAGATTAGTACCTTATAAGACGACGAAACAAAAGCAGAACATGCTCTTCAATTGGGATGAACGTTCAAAGTTTAAAACTCTACGTTACGACCCAGTGTCATCTCAAACCCCCAACCATTCTTTGTTCCAACAGCAGGTTAAACTAATCAGAATTTCTTCCTTTATTGGATACACCCACATCCCAATTCAAAAGCACATATAAAAAAAAATCCAAACTTGATCTACGTAGATCCGTTATTTCATTCAAACAATTCCAAACCTATCACCAAGCTCATCCCCATTCATACAATTGTACACCGACCCACAAAGATTTGAAAAAAAAAAAAAAAAGAATAAACATAGGCTTGCTTGGACTTAGCCATCACACGACTGATCACGCTAGTTCCACTCTCTCCAACAATTCTGTAACCTCTCCGGCCTCTTCTTCTTCTTCCTCCATGAGGGGAAGGTAACCCCTCTTTGGTGATCCATGCAAGAGTTCCCGAACACCGTCAACAAACGCTCCGCTTGTTCTTGGCTCCGCGATACTGGCTTCCAAATCAACATCGTTCGATACAATATCCGTTGATGAGAATATTTTAGGCGGTTTGTAGAACTTTAGGAGGAGAGATGAAACTACGACAGACACGGAAGAGAGGGACATGGCCATGCCCGCAATCATTGCTGGTAGAGTGATTCCCCAAGGGGAAAAGATACCCATTGCAAGGGGAATCATGAGTATGTTACTACGAAGAGTCATAACGCGTTAGAATCTGAGATGAATGATATGAGAGATGTGAGCAAAAGACTTACTAAATAGTAGCCCACAAAAAGTTCATTCGAATCCTTCTAAATATCACTCTGCTCAAATCAATGGCCGTAACAACGTCTCCCAACTCGTCTCTCATCAACACGACACTTGCGGCTTCCACAGCAACGTCCGTGCCTCCATAGACAGCAATCCCCATATCCGCTTGAGCCAGACTTGCCGAATCGTTCACACCATCGCCTACCATCGCAACCACATGGCCATCAGCTTGAAATTGCGAGACCAGAGACTTTTTACCCGACGGTGTTACGCCGGCATGGATGGAGGAGGTGGGTATGCCGCACTGGCGAGCGATGGAGAGTGCGGTGAGATATTGGTCGCCTGTTACCATACAAACTTGGATGCCCATTTTCTTCAAGGCTGCAATCGTAGGTGGGGCGGCCGGTTTAAGTGTGTCTGCCAGTGCAATCAGGCCGACTGGCATTTGGTTGAATGCAACAAAAATTACGGTATGCCCATGGGATTCATGAGTCCGCTGCGAGTCGAGAATACCTGGCGGTATTGCACTGCATTTGTTGGACGTGAGGAAGGATTGGTTTCCGATCAAGACGTGGACAGGTTTGCCGCTGGGTGGTGTGACGGTGCATTGGACGCCTGATCCCATGACCGCCTCAAAAGTTTCGACCACATGGGGGAATGTACTGACATCCAGCACCTCTTTACCATGCTTCGCGATAGCCTTTCCCAAAGGGTGCTCACTGTTGGCCTCTGCGGCACCAACGATACCAAAAAAGACCGCCTCATTGTGCCACTTGAGATCGTCCGCAAACAACTGGTAAGTCACGACCTCCAACTTGCCCATCGTCAACGTCCCGGTCTTGTCAAAGACAAACTTTGTCACTCGATGTGCCGTTTCCAAAGGCCCACCTCCTTTTATCAAAATTCCCAGCTGAGCACCCACACCGGTCCCCACCATAACGGCCGTGGGTGTGGCAAGCCCTAATGCACAAGGGCACGCCACAACAATAACTGATATGCACATACTGAGACAGACAAACACCACGCTGCTGTCGTCAGGGAACGATGGCGGTATCCATTTCGTCGCATTCAGAATGATGATCCACACAAAAAAGGTAGCCAAGCCGAGGACGATGACAGCAGGAACAAAGTATCCTGCCACAGTATCCGCAATGTTCTGGATTGGCGCTTTGGAGGTCTGGGCGTCATTGACAAGTTTGACGATTTGAGCCAACGTCGCATCAGCCCCAACCCGTACTGCCCGCATGTGAATGGCACCCGATCCATTCACCGTGCCCCCAATGACCGCATCCCCAACCTTTTTGCTAACAGGTAAAGGCTCACCCGTTACAAGGGCTTCGTCAATGCTGGTCGAACCGTACTCGACGACACCGTCGGCTGGGACGCGTTCACCGGGAATCACTTTTAGCAAATCGCCTGCTTGAACGTACTCGGTTGGAATCTCCTTTTCAGTTATTTGCCCAGTACTCTGATCCGTGGACAAAAGCAGAGCCTTTGTGGGTGCCAAGGAAATGAGTTTTGATAACGCCGACGACGTCTTGCCCTTGGCCAAATTCTCGAGAAACCGGCCGAGAGTGATAAACGTGATGAGCGTCGTGCAAGTTTCAAAAAACACCTGAGGTTTCGGGTGTCCTCCTAAACATATCGAGTACATGATGGACGCAACGGAAAATGCAAATGCTACAGAGGTACCGAGTGTGATCAATACGTCCATGGTGTAACTTCCATGCGAGAGGGCCTTGAATGTAGCACTGTAGAATCGCTGACCAATACCAAATTGAACCGGAATTGTCAGGATCAGCATCGTCAAATCGCCCAACGACAATCCTCGCACGATCTCCCAGTCAATCACGCGCGCGAAAAACGTCATGGGCAGGATCATTGAAAGTAGCGTGACAGGAATGGCAAATCTGAGTGACTTCCAAAAGGCTGATCTCCATTCCTGAATTTCTCTTGTTCGCTCTAGGGACTCCACCTGGGCATTGGATCCCATGTCGGAAAGAAAAGCCGTGAACCCAAGAGATTCAATCTTTTCAACTATATCCCGCACACCAATGATGGATGAGTCAAACTGAAACCGTCCGCTTTGACCCAAAAGATTCACTGCAGCAGTCTGCACCCCATCCATCTTGCTCAGCTCTCGTTCAATCTTTCCTGAGCAGCTTCCACAAGTCATACCGAAAATCTTTAGATCAATCGTTCCATAGGTAGCACTGGGTAACACTTTAGCTCGAAACCCAATGTCATCGATAAGTTTCGCCACCTGCTCTTCAGTCATGAGCAATTCTTTGAACTGGACTTCAGCTCGTTCAGCCAACAAAGCGACTTTACAAGAAACGACTCCAGGATTTGATCGCAAGTGCTTTTCAATCGATGCCACGCAACTTGCGCATGTCATTCCTTGAACTTCGATTTGCACAGTTCGTATGGGTCCGGCAGTTGTGGCGGTGTAGAGAGGGGATGATACGCTGAGCGAGAGGGATGTGCGGGGATCGGGACTTGAGGGTCGGAGAGTGGATTTGAGGACGGTAGTTAGGGTAAGCGGCTTCGGACGGGTTTTTATGGGAGATGTTGAAGACAGTGAAGCATCAAAACCGCATTCTTCTATGGCGTCTATCAATGCCAGCACATTTGTCTGGGTTGTATCGATTTCAACGCTTGCGTTTTCCGTTTCTAGATCTACCTTGACCGCCTTTACTCCCACCATAGGAGAAAGTTTCGCGGTAATCGTCTTGACACAGGATTGGCAGACCATGCCCTTTATAGATATGTCGTAGTGTCCGGACGCAGTTGGCTGCTCGTTTAGCCCATGTTGTTGAAGAGCGGCATCGAATCCACATCCTTCTATGGCGGCAACTAAATCCTCTGGCGACAGCAATCCACCGTCGTATGTAACTGTCGCTGACTCGCTAGCGAGGTCAACCACAGCACTTTCCACGCCCGGGAGTGCCTTCAAGACACCAGTGACCGTCTTTACGCATGACTAAAGAGAGAGGGTAATGAGGCTATATGTTGCTATATGGAATTCTATCAACTACATCGTGCTTACCTGGCAGGTCATTCCTTGTACACTCACCACTACCTCTTTCGTCCCGCCAACAGGAATGGCCTCAAACCCACATTCCTCAATAGCATTCACAAGGTCCTTCTCATCCAGTAGGTCCGCATCATACACCACTGTTGCCAGCTCTTCCTCTAATGAGACCGCTACTGAGGAAACACCAGGTAGCGGTCGCAGTTGCGATTCTATTGTGCGGACACATGAACCGCAGGTCATGCCCTTGACGGTGATGGTTGCAGTGTGTTGTCGTGGAATGGTCATTGCTGATGAATATAAAGTAACAGAATGTCCTACAAATATATGTTAGTTGTGTATGGAGTAGCAGAGGCCAATGCCATCTGTGCCGGGTTTGCCCTCTGCGAAAATGAAAGAAGCGATGGGCGAGAAACCCCAGACCCAGAGTGAGTCATACCTGATCAATAGCCCTGGATCACTGCCACGGGGGGCTGTTTTTAGAGCACAGCTTCTTTTTTATGGTCAAAAACCTTTTTTTACAAACGGGAACGAACGAGGACGACAGAAAGTGAAAAGTAAAAGGATGAGCTAGCTTCGTGAAAAGGGCATTTTGGTTATCGCCCGTTACATGACTCGCATCGAGTGCTGTGATCGTTTGTAATTTTCCAACAGGTTTCAAATGGGGGATTGGCTTTTGTTGCTATTTTAGTAACGCCATCAAGAAACGGTTTGAGAATTCAGTTCATTAGAGCTCATTTGAACTTTGACAAGAATGCAATCAACGACAAGCCGATAGACAATCTTTCTTCCTGTATTGGTATTGGAATACTTTTGTCCAGGGGGCCGATGAACAAAAACCCTGGTCATGCTCAACAAAACTGCTGACAATTTCAAATCCCTTCCCAATATACCCATCCCATAAGCCAAACATATGCCCAAAACAACTTTCTTTTGATTCCACAGGGGAGACAGGAGAGACAACAAGTTGAAGGAAATGAAAATGCTCATTAAGCAATGAAAAAAGATTGTGGTTTACGTGACTAGAACTGTCTTCCTTCTTTGTTAAAGGAGTCACACGTGTATTCTGCAAAAGAAGAACAAGGCCGTGTGCGCTATAAAAGAAAACAAAGTCGTCGTTTGCCCATCGCTAGCTGGTTTATTCCCCCCCGTCGTCGTTCGTCAACACACACACACATCTAATAATGGGTGAGTTAACAAAGTGTGACATTGCGCAGCACGCTGTTTGATGAGTCATGTGTAAGGCACAGCCATCGTCTGAGTTTATGTGATAACCGATTGGGTCTGGCTGCCAGGAAAGGCACGAAACCGACGCCGACTGCCACAGCAACAGCCGCTGCAAGACATTGGACAAGTTGACAAGGAAGAATTGTGCAAGGAACCTTTGGAGAGTGTCAACAAAGAGGCGGGAGAGAGTGTTTGTGTTGACGTTGCTTCTGAAACTGCATTGACGGCAGAGGGAGCTGTCGTTCTGGAAACCGTTGCTTTAAAGCCACCACCGTCACCATCACCACCCAACGAAAAGGAGGAAGCTCTAGAGCAAGCTACAAAGCAACCGCCAAAGCAGCCTTCGCCAGACCTCACTTCATTCACACCTGCCATTGCCAACCCCGTCGCAGCAGAACCTTCAAACGTTCTGCGCCCTCCGAAACCCACTTCCCACCCACCCCGACTCCCAACTCCTCGTATGACGCCCACAGCAACTCCCCTCCCAACTGCGCCTCGTCTGGAATGTACTGTTGTGCCTGGTCGCTCGGTTGGCCCATTTATATTGGGAGCACCTATTGGGGAGGTCGTCGAGCGGTTGAGAGGAATGGAGGGGGTTGTGCCTCGGGTTGAGTGCAAGTATGGGGATTTGGTAAGTGCATGTATTTGAATGATGTGGATGATTGTGACGCTTTGGTGTGACGCTTTTATTAAACGGTTTTCACATTTTTGGATGTGTAGAATCCGTTGGACATTGATATTGTGCTGAACCTTCCTGCAAACGGTGTTTGCATGCGATTTGATCCAAAATCGCAGGTAAGGGTTCAAGGCCATGTTTCTTTATTGTTATTCTTTATTGACGGTACATTCTTAGTGTCTGAAATCCATTGAATTGTATGATTTTTCGAAACTTTCCTTATTTTACAATGGGGTCGAATTCAAGTAGGTTGCTACATTGATTGTCATGGCTTTGTCCACTTGTTGATAACGTTGTGCGCGTATATTACAGCTCCTACAAGGTCCTACCCACATTTGTACACATTTATCGATTATTTGGGCCGATATATCCTGTACGTGGAATGCTGTTGCACAGGCATCTTTGACAGTGGTTGCTAACAAGGGAAGCTGCCTAGGGCGAATTCTGCGAGGAAAAGAAGCACTATGTGTTGAGTTATCCGGTATGCGCTGGTGATGGGTTTTAGCTATCTAGCACCGGTCTCACTAGTTATGCAGGGGATATCATTTATGTTCCCCATTCCGGACAAGTACATTCCCCTGCAAAACATTACAGGTAAAACATCGTGCGACTGGCCCATTATAGAAGCTCTTATTGAACTGTTGTATACTACTAGACCTACCTCTTTCGTTCCCTGACGGTACAACTCCCGTCCTAAATCGCATTTACGTCTACGCTGGCGCGGAAAAATGGGAGGACGCGGTTCCACCTACTCTATCCCAACTTGAACCCATCACCGCTGAATTGAACCATGGCATTCACATTCCCCAACGCGACTGTACACTCAAGTTTGGCGCGCCCGCACAAGATGTTTTGGATGCGCTTGGGAAACCAGAAAAGATACTAGAGAAGGGTGAAGATAAGATGAAGATTTTTGGAGTGGATGTTGCTGAAGAATGTGATGGAGGAGGATATTTCTGGAATTGTAAGTGTATTGCATTGTTTTTTCGGGCCTGTTCAAGTGAACTGAAAGTATCTATTTTGTCAAGATTTTTCGCTAGGCATTGATATCCTCTTTTCCGGTACTACGCACACCATCACGAAATTCATCCTTCATACAAACTTTTTGGGATGCTGGGAGTTTGGAGAGTATACGAAATGTCGGTTCCAGGTTGTGGGTTTTGAGAATGGTGCTGTGATTGGGTGTGACGATCTGGTACGCGTGCTTGATGCATTTTACTCGACTATTGTGTGCTCACTGGTAAACGGTAGTGGAATGACGTTCAAAGCACGTTACCAACACCATCACCCCGCCCTGTTGTCTTCAATAGAGGGAATCATCATAATCCTTTTGGTTCTACATGGTTTTACGGATTCGATGGGGTTGTTTTTGAGGTGCGGCGTCTTATTCTACTACTTTCTAGCTGACGCTTCACTCACGTTTGAATCGAGTAGGTTATGAAAAATGGGTATCTGGCTTCTGTAACATTGTATGCCTGAGACCGAGGGTGAGTCTGTAGCATATGCCCCCAAGTTTAGTTGAGACGAGTTTGTAGATAATTCTTGTAATAATATCGATTGTGCATGCAAGTAATAGTGTTTCACCCTGGCCCTCATAGTCCATATATCGACGCAGTATTCCCTTGAACTGTAAGGCTTATGTGAGATTGAATCAATACAAACACCCTTCCTTTGCTCAGGAAAATGCTTGCCGGTGGTGAGTCTGGTGAAGGGCTCGGTGGCGTAGGATCTGCTGGCCGGCCGAGAGTAGTGTGTTGAGGTATACGTGAGCAGGGGTAGCGCTCATGGTCAGCTCCTTACTTCTGGCAATCGTCGACTGTGGTTTGCGCATGTTGTTGTGTCTAGAGGTACTTACTCATGGGGAAGTCGAGGAATTTGTCCTTTCGCGGGGAAAACGCAGCCCTCGGGCCGCGGACGCTGTCCTGCAGTACATGAGATTGGTGTGCGATGAACGCACAAGCTGGGGATGCTCAGGAGGTTGTTTGACGGTGGGCTATCGTGTAGCAATCTAATGACTTACCAACATCACTCAACAGTGTAAAGCAACTACGACGTAGACCTGACATTCAAAAACAAATCTCTTGTATACCAAAAACCTTTCCAAGGCGAAAATTACATCACTACCGTGCGCACAAACGTTTACTACCACAACCGTCTAGCAGGAACGCGAATACTAAAACTCTTGGGTCGTCCAGTACGATCGTAAAACAGTCTATAGAACAACAGAGAAATAAGGAATCCCATTGCGCCGCCAAATGCCACGTCGGATGGGTGGTGGACATATTGTTGTGTTCTATGCCAATTGACGTATTAGCTTCAATGAGCTTGTCGTGCTGCGCTTTCCAAAACAAGGAACCTACCGTGATATCCCAACATAGAAAGCGGGTAAAAGAGGAACTAATATCAAAACACCTTTCCAACCTTTTCCAAACTCCTCCTCAACTGCTGATTCCATTCCATCGGATTCGTCCTCCTCGACGCTCACCTCGCGTTCCCGCCAATTCCGAAGCACACCAAACCAGCCTGCCATCCAAATGCTCAGAAAGCCCATTCCCGCAAACATGGAGCTGGTATGCCCAGATGGAAAGGACCGACGTCCTTCACGGATGGTCTCTGTATCCCCTGTGCACGCATTTAGCGTCGCATTCCACAAACACCGTCCAAGGAAATCAGGACGCAGCCTTCCAGCCCAATTCTTTAAGAAATCCGTAAAGAGCTTCGTCGTAGCCAAGGAAAATAATAATCCCAACATAAACCAATGTAAATCCTTTGCAAAGCTTGCTACATTCCCTCGGTTCGGTCGCACGGGACTCGTAACATTGCTCAATGGAATCCATCCCATCCTATCCAGCCCGACTCTCACAGCCCAAAAGAGCGCCATGACTACTGGCGGAACGATGAGAACTACAGAAATGACAACGCCATTCGGTACCCAGTCATTGTAATGTGGATGTGAAATGTCCAAGTCGTCTGGCCGGAAGGGTCGCTCGAAGGGATGGATATAGGAGACACCTACGCCAATGAAGAAGGTGATGAGGAGGGCTACATAGTCTGGGAGGGTATGTCGGATAGTTGGCGATATCTTTGGAAGCATTCTGTGTGCTTCTCAGGCGGGGCGGCAAGTGGTCGTCGTCGATGTAGATGAAGATAACAAACGAGGACCCCGACCCCGACAACAACGACTACAGTACCTTCGTCAATGGCACAGTCATGTGAATATTTCAAGGCTTCGATAACCTTAAATGGGGGCACAGTCATTGAGCACCTCAATAAAGCCATATAGAGCATTATGGCTCCTCAGCCACTTCATTAATCTCAGCCTTAACTTTAGCGATTAAAAGCTGATCTGAACTGTGGCCTTGCGATTTGCAACGTACGGCGATTTGTTGAAGCTCCAAAAGGAAACTATTGGGCAGGATGTGATGAGTCCTGGGCAGAAGTGAAAAACATAGAACTGCTCTACTATGACATTTCAGTTACTTTCTGAATGAGCGTCCCTCAACATGTGTGCTCATTTGCTACAATGGTAAGAGAGATGAGCGAATGCGATGAGGAATGCGTTCCAAAGCGACCCAAAAACTCCCAAAAACCGCTAAACGCATCTCCAAGTCCAAGTAGATCATTCAAAAGCTGGAATCCAGAGAGTTGAAAGAAATGGTTGAAAAGGTGTTTGTTCCATTGCCAGCAGAAAGTTCAAGTGGTAAATGATTCCATAAGAGGCACAGCTTTGGAAGCATAATCACGTGGGTGTAGGAACTTTCAACTTGCTCTCCATCGTCCTTTTGTTTTTTTCCCACCCCACAACCACTGCCCTTTCAACAGCTGAAAACTTCGAGATATCATCACAATGGGTTCCGTATGGGTTGTATCCGCCGTATTCAGGACTACAAGGAAGACTTTGGCGGAAAGCCTGAGATCTGGTTGTACACGACTGAACAAGCAGCTCGAACTGCAATGGAACGCATCGCACGCCGCCTGTACAAGGAGTCTGATATTATTCAAGGCGCTGGCGACAAGTATTTCGACTCTGGCAGGAATATCATTGTCTTTGGGGAAAGTCCTCGCATGGGCCGCTCGTACCGGAACGAATGGGGTGTGCTTTACATGCAGAAAGTTGAAGTCGAGAAAGAATGTCATGAAGCGCCGGTGGAGAGCAGCGAAGATGAAGAATAAACTGAAAATCACCATAAAAGATGATGATGAGGGTAATGACGACGACGACGACGATGAAAGTGAAGAAGACAAAAGTAGCATCGATGTATGTATCATTCATTGTAGTAAATAATAAGGACTATGGTAATTCCAAATTGCCATTGATGTTAATGCTGTCGAACATAACTTGTTGTGGCATGACTGTGCCATTCTATATCGTGACTGTGCACCATTTCTCCTTTTGTGTCATCTGTTGCTGGCGGACAAGCGCATGGGGGCTGTCGGAGCAAAAGGTTCTTTTCCCAGTGTGCAAGATTTCGGGAAAGACCATCATCATTAGTGTTATTTTCTTGTCCAGAAACGCCATTGACAAGCTCCCCATTTGTGCTCTTGACACTCCTCAAGACTTTATTCATTCAACGGCTGCCTACTTGTCTCGGGGCTTTGCGACATTATCAAAACGCTCTTCAGTTTAAAAGTGCACACTCTGGGCCTTGACAAAGTCTTATTGCGAGTTCCTATGCATTCGGGAGCTTGTCTAGGTGATGACCCCTCTTGACGTCGATGATTTCGGCTGGCTCTCCGAAGATGTGCGCGAACTGGGACGGAGGTTGGTACCGTAAACCCCGCGAAACAGATCTCTTGCGTTGGTACCTGAAGTTACTTCTGAACTTGATCATTGATATTCTTTCTCTTGCTCGCTTTCTTTTTTCACTAGCCCATCACCACTCGATCTGGCTGAACTGGACGCCAATGAGGACGAGCTCTTGCTGGAACGAGAAGCATCCTCATCGCCGACACCTTCGTGTCTACTGGCAGACGTACCTTCTTTGCTCAACGAAACGCCTCCCAAAAGGTTTATGCTACGGAGACAGCATTCACGAGGGGCTCTCGTAGGTTAGTTTTGGGAGCGTTCTGGAAGGAGTTTTGGCCGATGGATTTAGTTCTTCTGTCGGAATGGTGCGGGACCCGTCACTTCCCATGTGGTGTATTGCTCACCGCTTTTGCTTTCTTGTTTTTCTTTTACCTCAGGAATAGGGTCACCTAAGCCTAACCCCTTTGTGGCATCGGAAAATGATTCGCCAATATCTGTCTCCCCAGCAGCAGAACCAAAAGAGCAATGCTCTATGAACACAACCCACGAATCCCATAAGCCTCTCCAATATCACCTGGTTCTTCCCCCCCAAGTTATACAAACGATCGCCTCGTATCTAAGCATACACAAAAGCCGCTTGGCATGCCTCTTGGTATCAAAAACATGGTCAAAAGCGGCCGCCAAAGCGATTTATCGATGTCCAAGTGTGAAAACTGCAAAGCAGTTTCATTCCCTATTGCAAACCCTCCTCAGTCCCGGGATTCACAACTATGCGGCCTACGTTGTTGACCTTGATATTCCACTCTCTATTTCAGATGAACTCTTGATGGGAGATTTGGACGTGGCCCTTCAATTGTGTCGGAATCTCCGGGGCATCCGTCTTGAGAACGCCTTGAACGCCTCTAACGTTCTCATCCAGTCCCTATCCGATAACGTTAGACATTTACGACGTGTTTACCTGCGGGGATGCCCAATCACAGATGTCCTGGTGCCGGGCCTCACAAGAAGCTGTCCGCGCTTAGAACGCGTGGACTTCTCCTATACACAGGCAACCGTTGTTATATTGCAAAACCTTATAGATGGATGCGAACGCATCCAAGCCATAGAGTTGGAGGCATGCGGACCGAGTTTGGGACCGGTTGTGGTGAACCCGCACAAAGCATTACGTCGACCCTTACGGTACCTTAACCTTCGAAATAGCGCGGTAGAAGATCATCATGTGCGATATGCGGCGATTCATTGTCCGGTGCTTGAATCGGTCGTTTTGGATGGATGTACGGCTGTGACAGACGATGCTGTTGTGAAGCTGGCGCAGAGTTGCGGGTCAACTCTGCGAAGATTGGATGTATCATTTGTCCCATCGGTGACTGACGTGGCATTGCACGCACTCGCCAGGTACGCAAAAGTAATGGAAGACCTGACGTTGGCCGGATGTGACCGAATCACACCCGAGGGCGTGCAGGTCGTCGCAAAGTCGTGCGACAAGTTGCAAACACTAGCGTTACATGGATGTGCTGGCATCCTTGGGAGTTTTGTACAGCAGTTTGCGGTGACGGGGACAGAGTTGGAGTGCTCTCTTAAATCAGCGGGTATTAAGCAGTTGGCTGAGCACAAGCAGCAGCAGGACGTACTTTTGACGAGAGACGTTGGGATGCGGACGGATGAGGCTGGTGCGACATTGTCGGAGGGTCCATTGGTTGAACCACTGGCAAAGACGACAGCAGATACCGCTACCGCTGTGGTAACAGTGGATCAAACAACCCAAACTGATGTCAATCGTCCGGAGCTCCCGATTGACAGCAAAGCCGTTCTGGACGCTGAAAAGCAACTGCACGATAATATTGACTCTACGAGCGCAACGGAAATTCTTTTAAAGTTTGCAGATGCTATCGCATCTGGAAAATGGGTCCCTCCTGGTGGAAATACTCCATCCAATGGCACGGATCCTGCCAGCGCTGGTTGGCCTAATCCGTTCCCACCGGGCATGCCGCCATTTCCTTATTGGGGTCCATGGGCGTCCCAGATGCAAGCTCCACCACAATACCATCCTGCTTGGGGATATCCTCCACCCGGATGGGCCTCCCCGCCTCTCGGATCGTTTCCTGATCCAAATCGGTCAACAGAGTCACCAACGCCCACACCAGCTGATTGGCAGCTCCGTCGACAGTCTTCAACCGAGACGATTAATTCCGAGCTCTCCACGAAGCGCACCTCCATCCTGTCAAACGAGAGCACTGTATCCGGGGAGGGGCGGACCAAGGTGAAACCCACTATACTTCCTGTCCTGAGGGAGCAAGAGGCGGGTATGCCCACCCCTCCCGATTCACCACCCTCGAAAGGCAAAGAACGGGATAAGCGCCAGTCTACCGCCTCGACTGTGTCGAATGTGTCTTCCACCGGATCAACTGTATCCAGGTTGAGACCGCCTTCATCTTTGTCAAGGCTACCGGGACCGTCATCCACTTCGAGGTTGAAGATTCCGTCGGCGGTGACGAGGGGTGTGAAGGCTATACCCAAGCCTACCCCTGCCCCGAGTGCGCCGACGCTGATGCGGAGTAAGACAGCTGGGAGTTTGACGCCCACGACTAGACCTTCCGTTACCCGAACGAGTACTGGTTCAACGTTGAGCGCAGGGACGACACGAACGAGTGCTGGTTCAACCTTGAGCGCAGGGACAACACCTTTACGACGCAAGACATCTTCAGTCCTTTCCCGATCTGCCACGACCTCCAAAGTATCCGCTTCCATCTCCTCACCCGCTCCGAGCACTCCTCCTGCAACGACAACATACAAACCCCGTCAGTTCCGTAAATTCAACAGCTCACCAGATGAAATTCCCACCCTTTCTTCGCGTACCACCACACCAAAGCCCTCAACACCCACCCGCACTCCCACTCGCGCTTCAACTCAATCCGACCGTGAACGAACCAAAACTCTTTTGCGGACTCCCGCGCAGACCTCCCGCTTGCGGTGGTCCCATCATTTGCAGCCCAGTCAAGATGGGGAGGGATGGATTGCTGGCGGCACGGTGGTTGAGCCCAGTCCAGAGAATGGAGAGGAGAAGACGGAAACAGAGAAAATAACAAAGAGGGCGAGTGTGGGGAGTGGGTCGAGTACGCCGACCAAGACGGCGGGTATGGGAACGAGTGGGATTCGACCACCTTCAGGGCTTCGCATGCCTACCCCGGTTAAGAAACCACCCTTGCTTAAAAAGAAGAGCTTTTCAATGATTTGATGAGCGTAAACCGCAGGGTTTTTTTTTATTCAAGTAAGATGTTTTCTAGTGTGACTAGTTTTTTTAGGCAAGAAGAATGTAATGTTAGAAGTAAGCTCTTTTTTTTTGTATTTTGCATAGAGGTTTTTTGTTGTATGTAGAGATTTTGGGTGCTTTATTAATTGAAAGCCAATGGAGCAAGACTTTTTTGTTTACAAGATTGTAAACGTTGGACGATGGATTTATTGGGTCAAGGTGTGGTGTGTCAACGCAGTGATAACAGCGATGTTACTCGTTGTTTGGACGTAGACCTTCCAATGCACTTGGTCACGTGTCTAGAAGGCGGCTTCTTGGGGAGGCTTTGCGATCGTCCCTATTGCATAGGGCAACATTCCTGCTTCTGAACCTCATACATTCTCCCACCTCATACCCCTCCCATTTCATCCTTTCTTGTTTTCCATCCTTGTCGTGCTTCTTGTGTATTGTCCATTGTTTTGGCATATGGCACGCTAGATTATTACAGAACAAATAACTGCATATCACTCTACAACGAACCGACAGCTTTTGGATAGTGTGAGTCGCTTGCATATCCTGGGGTTGGAGCCTGTTCCCGTCTCTGAGTTAACTAACACGTACGTCTCTCCCAAAGACGCCTAGGAACGGCGCGATTTACTTTTTGGAATGTTTGCTTTGAACGGGTTTCCAGAGGAAACACCGCCACAGCCTCCAATCTTGGACCACCAAGCGAGTTCCATTTCCATTGGAGGTTCAGCTCCCTTTTCCCAGCAACATTCCCAACCCCTACAGCAACAGCACTCGACATCTCTCTATCACCATGGGCTCGGCGCTGGAAATCATTTGCAACAGCCGCCGCAGCATCACCAGTACGATTCTTCCATGACGCAAGATGGACAATCTCCAGCATCACTGGGCGGACTATCCGCCAACACATATTCCAGCATGGACTACGATTATAATGCGATGAATCATTACAATGTACATGGTCACCAGCAATCGGGAGGCTATGGTCATATGGATATGACTGGATACTCTTCGAGCATGCCCCAATCATCGCCTCCCACTATGGTGCAATCAAATGGATACTATTCGTCCCATCCTTTATACGACGTAAGTAGCCACGGTTGAGAAAAGGGGAAGCTAGCCATTTAACTGTTTGTGAGAGCGGATCTGATGGTAAATTCTCGTTTGATACTATAGCAAGGGGAACATCACACGATATATCAACAAGACACAGCAACTGGGCCCGACAATGCAGGAGCTCCTGGAGTTAGTCATGTCACACCACCAGTGCCTGTCCCACAAATGCATCATCCACCATTAGTGAAAACGGTCAGCAGCGGCGCTGGGCCAACTTACATTCCCGACGGAACGTTGGACATATATGGTGGTGTATATCGCGTCGTGCCCGTGCGCACGCGTCTTTTTTCATCCTATCACTGGGCAATCGATGGGTTTTCACAGTCAGTAGATGAAAAGCTGGTATCACTGCCTTTTGGACCACCAAACTGGAGATGGCAGTTGGTTGTGTATCCAAGAGGCGCGGGGGATGGTGCTGGTTCGCATATTAGCGCGTTTATCAGACCGCTGAAGAATGAGACGGAGCTCGCTGCAGGGGATATTTGGACTCGACCCATTACAGAGTTTTCTGTCCGAGTGCGAAGGTATGTGACCGCAGAGACTTGATGGAGAGTATACGGACTTTGTGTGACGGGTCCTCTTTGCATTTTGCTCCAGAGCGATTCCGGGGTCTCCCATTGTGGGTGTACCTGATCCAATTGAGAATTACATTACGACAGATACGTCAGCACCTTCTTTCACCGGCTTCTCCGCGGCCATGTCCGGATGGGGCTTTCCTGAATTACTGGAACTGCAAAGTCTATCTGATGCCGTCACGTATGATGGCACGTTGAATCTGGAGGCGGATGTTATTGGCGAACAAGTATTGGATTGGGCTGTCTATCAGTACCAGTGGGACATTCCCAGTTTCCGGCAGCTGACCGAGGATGAGACACAGTCGCAAGCATTTGGTCCACCCGAGTGTCAGTGGCGGATCCAAATATTTAGACAAGGCAATAAGGAAGGACAAGGAACCCACTTTTCAGTATACCTCATTCCCGAAAAGAGCGCACAAGAGTCTGCTCTCAAGTCTGCGTGGTCGCGTCCGATTGTTTCGCTTACAATAAAGGTTCATGCGGCAGGTGAAGCTTTGGTGACAAAGACCCTGACGGGCGGGTATATTTTTGATGCCGAGAACCCCGCATGTGGCTGGCCGCAGTTGGTGGAACTTTCGCAACTTAATGACTCGATCGACTGGTACGGGACATTGTCCATTCAGACCGAAGTAACTTGGGAACTTTCATATGGTGGACCTGGTACAGATCTAGGTCGCGTCCGCAGTACACTAGCAGAAATTTCTGGAGAATTGGATGCCATCAAGGGGAGAGCGGAAGCATTGAGCGAGGAACTGGATCAAGCCCGTGCTGAAGTTGTCAATCTTCGCACGGAGCTAGCTGCATCCCATAGCGAGCTTTCCTCGACTCGAACCCAGCTGAATACAAGTCAATCCCAACTTGAAGACGTTGAGTCTAGATTACGAACGGTCGGCAACATCGAAGCCCGCATGGCGGTCGTACAAAAGGAACTTGTAGATGCTCAGAAACGGGTAGAAGAAGCTGAGCGGATTGAGGAGCGCTTTGTCATGGTAAAGACGGAGCTTGCAGCCGCTCGAGATGCACAACAGATCTCGGATGAGTTGCGTGTCAAAATTGCGAAATTCAAAGCCAAAATTGCTGCACTACGCGCTGGGATGGAAGATGAGGGTGTCCTTTCCGTCCCGCAGACATCTGGTGATGGCAAAGGCTGGAACGGGGAGGGCGAACAGGACGCACTCCGTACTGGTGAGGACGATGCTGATACATTGCACCTGAAGTTGGTCCAAGTCAACGCAAAGGTGGCTGCACTTGAAGCCGACCTAGCCGAAGCACGTGCTGAAATCGATGCGAAAACACGGGCGTTAGCTGACGCTGCCATCAATGCACCTACCACTGAGGAAGAAGTATTCGATGAGGAAGGTAATGAGAATCCTTTGTTGGCAGCGATGGCTACTGTACGGAATGAAGTATTGGTTGTCAAGGGTGTGCTTCTTGAGGCTTCCGGGAGAGAGTTGGAGACCGACGCAGAGCGGGCTGGTTTGAGCGCTGAATTAGCCATGGTGCAAGCCGAGTTGGAGGTCACTCGTGCGGCACTGATTGATGCAGCAAGCAAATCGGAAGAATTGGAGAGCGATACGGAAACTGCGGCGGAACTGGCGCGAATACAAGCTGATCTCCAGGATGTCCGAACGCAGTTGATCACGCGGCGACTGGGGCTGGAAGATACGGCCGACCTAGCAAATGCAATTGTAACGTATCGAGCCGATACCGAAGATCGAGCAACCTCTCCATTGCGATCGCATGGCTTTTCTGGAGCCCCATCACCCCAGCATTCTGCTGCCGATTATGGATTGACATCTATTTCTACCTTGGACTCTGAGGAGGCGGTTCCATTGCCCACTGGTATGCCTCCACCTCCCATCAATATGGGCCCCCCACTAAGCACTATGCAGACTGGACCATCTACAACCGATGTCCGCGCCCTGCAAGAAAGGGCAGACATGCTCGAATCTATCCATCACCAGGCGCAGACGGACCTCAGTTACACTCAATCTGAACTCACTGCTGTACAGACTGAACTGTCTGACATTAAAGGACGTATGCAAGCTGCCCAAGAGATGCTAATTGGAGGGGCCAGCTCCAACACAGGGGTAGACAATCAGGCGTTGTTTGAGCGGCTATTTAATAGGAGGATGTCAAATGCTTTGCCGCCCGGTGATGGCAATCTCGGTTTTCGCGACATTCCAGAGCCTTGGACACCGGTTGAAGGGGACGCTGCTGGAGTTAACAGCAAAGAGCTTGCGGTATGCGTTTCAATTTTGTGATTTCTTCGTGACATCACGAATCACCCCGACTGATCAACCATATTTTCCAGGCCCTTCTTCAACAAGTCCAAGGCAAAAGTCGGATCCTACCCTCCCTGGCGACCCTCATGACGGCACTCTTAACAATGTGGTTCATAGTATATTCCACCATCTATGTCGTGTGCTCTCCATCACGACTTGACACACAACCAGCACCACCCTATGCCGACGTCTGTCGAACTACTGTGATGCCAGCTTGGGAGGCGGTCACGACGACTTGGCATGCCGCTGCTGAGCGGTTTGTGGGGGATGTGGCACCTGGGGTGTTTGATGCTGCGTATACGGTTGGTGTTTGGGGGTCAGATGTTGGTAAGGGGGTTGTGGGGGGGTTACGGAAGGGGGTTCGAAAGATAAAGAAGGGAACCAAAAGTGTTGAGAGTCGAGATTTGGGGAGTCGAACGGAAATGCAATCGACGGTAGCGACACCGCTCGTGCCTGTTGCTCAAGAGAGTAGGACGGTAACTCCGTCAACATCTTTGGTATCAGTCGTGGAGCAAGCTTCAGAGAACCGAACGGAGACGCTGTCAACAGTAGCGACACCGGTCGTGTCGGTTGTTCCAAAGAATAGGACGGGAGATCCATCAACATCTTCTGTAGCAGTTGTTGAGCAAAGTCAACCGGTTGTGCCGTCTCCTGAAACGACTTGGGAGTCAGTGCCGTTGTCGGAGCAGGGTTCCCCATCCTTCTCGAAATCCCTTGTGGGCAGCTATACTCCTGAACAGGATATTGCGATGTCTGCCGGAGAAGCGAATATGACCATGGAACCCGTTGCTGAAAAGCTGACAGATTTACCGGTGCCCGTTGCTGATATCGGGTTATCCAGTCCGGCGTCGGAACAGGTTATACACCCGATTGAGCCCGTTGCAGAACAATCCCCAGATGTTACAAGTCTGACGAGTCCAGTGCCTACCGAGAGCTCACCCCTGCCACCAGATACCCAGAATTCTTTACCACAAAAGACACCCACCATCCTGACACCGACGTCAGAAGTCGACGCCACGATTGCCGTTTCGGATGTATCCCATTCAGAGGAGACCAACCCGATCGACTCAGACCTATTTTTCGAGTCACCGGTCCCTGAACAGCCATTAGAGTCTGTTAATCAAAAGATCCCAATCTCAACTGACCCAGTAGTGGTACAAGCTGAAGAGACGACAGAGCCAATGGCAGTGACTCCTCTTGTTGAACCGTCCTGGACGGAGACTGAGCCTACCACTGCAGCCCTTGCAGTGGAAAATGAGACTGGGATGAGCCCCGCCGGTGAGAATACCATGTCCAAAAATGGCCGAGAACCTGATGCGGAGATAACACCGACTGTTGGGGATGAGCGCGAAGGTGACAGTATTGGTGGCGAGACGTTGAGTAACAAAGAAGGTCGAGAGGTGCATGATTCCGTGGATTGGGCTGAAAGCGGTGATAATGAACCGGCTGATACGAGGACGGTAACGCATGATGAATTATAACTGGACTAGAAAAGGTTTTTGTTTTGTGGCGTTTGGGGATGGATAACTTGCGAAATTGTGGTGAGCAAGTTCAAGGAGGGGGGAAAATGTACCTAGATGATATATTTTTTTGAAGAATTTTGGTTTTCCATTTATTTTTTTTTCTTTGTTGAAAAGTATCAAGGAATTTTGAGACGCAACGTCTCATAGCGCCGAGACAATCGAAGCTCATTCTTTGGTGGAAATAAAATCTGTGTACGCAGCAACCGCAGCGAGGACCCTACCTGAAGCTGAGAGAATGGACACGGACTACTCCAGAAGAAATACTGGGTGGAGTGGGACGCCAAACAGTTAAAGAAGCAACGAGCCATTTGATGCAAATCAATATGGGGAGTCTTCGCTGGATGTCAGAGCCACGTATGAAGCTTTACCAGACCAAGAAGGAAACTATGACTTCCCGGTTCTTGCTCATGATGACCTGGATCCTTGTGCAATGACACTAAACAGCACCGAAATCTCTGTCAGCTTTGCAAATGAATACTGGGTTATATTTTTTGCTACTCTGTTCCCCATTCGCAAAGGTCCGTACTGGGGTTACTCTCATCAGTTGAGATGCCCAAGATATGGATTACACTGTTTTTAGCATCGTCTTGAAGCACTTGCCTGAGAAGGCCCAAGACGGCTACGTGCCTTTGCAGGACCAATAGCCAAATTGGCATGTCAACTGGGGTTGGGAATTATGCAGTGCTCATGAGCCTGGTTTGGTGCCAAGTACCATGGTCAAGATTCCAGTGGTGATTATTTTTGACTTGGGTTGCTAGTATACCAATAGCCAAAGACTCCCCTTTGAGAAAGATGGACGAAACGATTGCAAATTGTGTCCCGTTGAGCAATGTTCAAACGACAAGTACCGCACTAAGGCCTCAGAAGAAGATAAACGTGTTGAGCTCAAGAATAAGAGACTATTTGGGTATTTACAATCTCTGTGTGGCATATTTGAAGGTGATTTCAAAGTGCAAAAGGGCCAAGATAGTTTTTTGATATCCTGAGATTACCTCTTGTTTTGGACAAAGATGATATCTGCTTTGCTGATGATGTGGTTCTACCCCTTTTGGCCAAATTGACTGGGAATGCCAGTTCAAAAAAAAATGCCGACATTGGAACATTTCACTGCTAGTGCTGTGAACCCTCTACAGTATGCAGCGTTCTGTTTACACCTACTTCATGCACAGCACCCAAAGTAGATACACTCCGAAGGCGAGGCTTCTGAGCTGGGAGCTAGACGAGAAAAAGTATGCATATGTGCTGAAAATGGGCATTCCCTTTAATATAAGTTCCTCGTATGTAGTCGTGCCCTGTATCATACAATCCTGAGACTGCGGACCCTATCGGGGCAACTTCATGATAAGAAACCTTGGATGACCGTGAAAGGAATCCGTGCTTGTGGTCTCCTCAGGCTACAGCTGTTCCTCGTTTTCTATTGTGCGCTGTGGTCAATATGCCGTGGAAGAAGATCTGCATCGACCTTGTTTTAATTACTGTATGTTTCCGAATGAGTCGGCCATGTACATCTCTTATCAATAAAGCATCATTATATACAAAACGTCCGCTACTGGCAAATCCACATACCGTCGCAGATTACAAAGTCTACTACGAGCTTACTTCCAGAACATTAAACTTTGTCGTCGAACTTTCCAGATATCCTGGAACTGCATACATATAACAGAGTGCTAAGCAATAGTAAACATGCACGCACACCTGCGCTGTCGCGAGGGCATACGTCGGTTGTGGGATGGCGACTAGGACGATTGCTGTGATCATGGCAAACGCCATCATACCGCCCAAGAGGAACATGATGTATAGGAATGTTGGGGCACGATGGGTGAGTGGAGAGGATCTTGACGGTTTTCCAACCTGCTTGTCCACAGCGGTTTCATCCGACCCGGGAAAAAAGTAGCAATTGAGTATCTCTTCTGTTCCGTCCGACTTTGCTGTCGTGGGCGTAATAGGGCTACCGCATGGTTGGTCATTGCTCTTTTTGTCATCTGGAAGTCGTACACAACTGGCTTCCGTTGCGAGGTTTCTTCTCACATTCACAACAGCGATGATGGAGCATACCGCAATGCACCAATCAACCAACAAACACCACGCTGCAGGGAGACTGAACATGCCGTTGACAATTTTTGTCAATAGGGATGTTATGTAGCCATTGCTGGAAATGTATACCCATGCAGAGACGCCAAAGGAGGCTAAACAGATGAGAATGGTGGTCGGGTATAGAAATAGACGGAGCCGTTCGGGGAATACTATTGCGGGGCGGAAAATGGGGATTCGGGAGAGGTTTAGGAGTGTATGGGAGCAGGCCGCGCCGATAGGAAATGCACTGATGTTTTAGTTTTGATGGGTTAGCCGTGAAATGCTCAACTCTTTGACGATTAAAATAACCTACACGAAAACAACCGACCACCCAGGATCGACAATAAAGCACGCTCCTCGACGAAAGAAATCAATCACGTATCCGATTCCTGCAACGTCTGTCCCAAGAATGAAGAGCCTGATGAGGGGAATATCACTTTAGCTCCAGTGTGAGCAGATATTCATCAAGGCAAAAGTAATAGCATACCAGGAAACCACTACCGCGAGATTAAACCTTGTTCGTCGCAATCGGTAACGATACACTGCGTACCCAAACGCTATGCAGCTACATACGGCGGTAAGCCCCAAACAAATTAGGATGGGCGTTTCCGCTTGGATTGGGACAGGTGGCAAGGGACTATTCAGACAGAGTGGATTGGGCTCGGATGTGGTATTGGATGCGCTGTTGCCCATTTTTGCACCTTGGTGCCTGTTTACCAGAAGAACGTCTCACACTGGACGCGAGACGGCGTAGGAATATTCGCAAGTGAGAAACAAGGATATTAGTCGATGCCCATGATCATGGTTGAGGTTATTTATCGGGGCGCCAGGTCCGCCAGGTCCGCCTCTATTTATAGCTAAGAACTTGGAGCTTGGTGCTCAAGGGTCATTCCAGGGTACTAATAGAAAGTTCTGTGCTTCATGAACGGTTGAGGTAATTTTATTCTAATTATTCCTCCGGTTAATCGGCCTCAGTGTTTATTCTTCTGGCATCACAATAGCATTTAATATTGAATAGATGATGGATTATTCTGACAAGCAAAGTATGTATTGCATAAGTTACTTTTTGCTTTCCTGTCATTTGCGCTTATTCCAACCAACAGTGGACGGACCTAAGATCCACAATAGCATTTGACGGTGCAGGACATGAAAATCACGCACAGGTAAAGAAGAAAGAGATTTGAGATAAAGCGCCCAACAATGAATCTAAATAAAATGACAACGGAAGCTGGCTAAAAATGGGGGAGGGCAGATACAGGCATGCAATGAACAAATGGTTGGCAGGACGGCAGCGCAAATGTCCCAACCTTAACGACGTCACAAATAAATGGAACAAAGTTGCATAACGCTCTCTTGCCAGAATATTGTAGTCGACTTTTGCGAATTGGGAGGAATATCGGCCAGAGGGGCTATACCATACGATCTCACCCTAAAAAAAGCCTACATACTAGACGTTTGTGCATCTACCCAGGATCGAACTCTCCACAGGCGTGACGTAACCGCACTGAATGTTCAGCTCTTCGCAGACCTCAACTTTTGACCTTTCGGCCATGGGCAATCAAACGAGCAAAGATCCCAAGACGGCCCTTTCTGGCTTGACCGATACCGAACGCAACGCCCTTACATCTCTCTTCGAATCAGCCCACGATGCCAAGTCACAGTCCGTCACTCCTGCATCCGTCACTCCTGCATCCCTCGCTTCACACCTTTCCCCGATTCTCCCAGCGACACTTCGACAAGCAATTGCATCCCTCGCTAGCCGGTTGTCTGACGGAAAGGGCAAGACAGTCTCGTTCAGCGGATTAGCTGCGACTGTGAGAATTATTGTTTTTGGAAGCGTGTTGGAGAAACAGCGTCTCGTTGACGTTTATGCTACCTTGGTAGAGCCGGCTGGGACTAGGGAGTTTGTGAAGGATTTGGCTGCGGGTGTGGGAATTGGCGTAAATAACAAGAAAGCCCATGTGCCGACTGATCGATTTGTTGATTTTCTACTTGAAAAATGCTGCCCTTCTACGAATGTGACAGAGGATGTATTTAGTTCATCAAGTAATAAGTCACCTCTGGTTATCCCACCTCTCTCCGAGTTTTGCACCTGGTTCCCGCGCAACGCATACCTCCAAGTCCTGTGGGATGCCCTCTTTACTTCCGCATTCTTTGGCGCCGACTCTTCCACCTCTACCCTCCAGATCCCGACATTGACGGCGCCATCAACTCTGCTCACAGTTGAAGATTTGTTTATTTTGCATTCAAACATGGCTTCAGAATTCAAGGAAAGCAGGGAATGGGTACAGAGATTTGCTAGCGATAAGCATGGAAAGAGCTGGACGGTATTTATGAATAGTGTTGAGGATTGCGGAGCGGTCTTGGTTGCCGTTCGGGACAAAGATGGTATACTTCAGCGCATTCAACCTTGGAATCGCACTACTAGGATGCTCATGGTCAATTGATAGGACACATATTTGGCGGCTTTGCGTCCAAAGACTTTAAATTGAACCCAAAGTTTTACGGCGACAATACCAGCTTTGTGTTCTTTCTGCGCCCAAAGATAGGGGTCTTCCTGCCCACTGGATACAACGACCACTACCAATATTTTAATTCGGGGACGCAGACATTACCAAATGGAATGGGATTTGGGGGACAGGTATCTATTGTGTGCCTGCGTTGTCAGCAATGGAACAATCGATAACATAAGCTTCGTATCGCAGCTCAATTATTTTGGCCTGTGGATTGACGCATCTTTCGAATCCGGTCACTCAAAAGCGGAGCCCAAGTCAACCACCTATGACAATCCCCGTCTGAGTAAACAGGAGGAGTTTACAATAGATTTTGGTACGTCCAACTATCACCTCAGTTACCTGGTCCAGGTTTTGATCAACCCTTTTTTGACAGTGGAAGCTTGGTTAATCAAGCCTAAAGAAGTGGATGAGAGATTAGTGACTAAAAAGGGCAAAAAGAGCGTACTGGACGACGACAGTGCTGCAGCTATGCTGGAGATGGGCGGGAGGCGACTATATTCAAAAGAGATTGGGAGAGACGAAACGAAAGAGGAAGATGAAGAGGAAAGTAACGATAGCTAAATTTTACCATTGCTTTTCTATCATGTACATAGAGTGCCAATTGAACACAGGTCGTTCATCTATGATCTGTGTACTGTACCGCGACGGTACAAAAGTCCATCCCTGGGAGTAACGTCAGGTTCTTGAACGATACTGACTCCATGGAAAGCAGGAATTTTAAAATCATCCTCCATCGGCTCTTCTTCTCACAATTTCCACACTCAAAAAATCCCTTGCGCAAATGACATCCTCGTTCATAAACGTTCCAACAGCCAAAGCTCGTATCTCTTCCATAATCTGCAAACTCTCTTCAGAAAGGTCCCCCTTGTAACGACTCGAGAAATGGTTCAGAACCAATTTCCGAGCCCCAACCAGACGCGCAAAAGCACCGGCCATCTCAGGGGTGGAATGGCCGTGGGATATCGTGGATTCTTGGACTGAGGAGGGAGTTTGTCCGCTTGCGAGGTCAGCCTTGAGGCAGGCGTTGGTGGCTTCGTGTATAAGGAGATCAGAATCTATTGCAAGATGAATAATCGGAGACGGGTCGTTTGTGTCGCCCAGAATGGTTATTTTGCGACCGGGAGTGGGAGGTGTGAGGTGCTCTTTCAGAAGGAGGTTTGTCCCGTCTGGTAGGGTTAAAGATTGTTGAGACATGAGCTTGCCGATTAGGATGGACGGGTTTTTAATTCCTTGCTCTGCTAACGCCTTTCGGTTGCGCTCAAGATGGGGTTGCAGGGTGCTAATGTTAATGTTTCCAGGGTGTGGAGGCTCTTGGATAACGTAGCCGATGCACGGTACGGTGTGTGCAATCGGCGCGGCCGTTACGGTCATATCAGTTTCGGGATCATGGAGAACGGACCAGTGGCTCTCGTTGGGATGCGCTGCGTTGCTACCAGAAGTTAGTTGTATATCCCGTCCTGCAATCTCATCATTGTGCAAAGTTTCGCTGGGAGGAGTGGATTGGTCGTCCGGAAAGTGAAGCTCGTGTACTGTATACCTGCATTAAAATGGTGGTGTCGGCAATTCAGATGTGAGAGAGCGAAAGGGTTATCCCGATGACATACCTGCATCCCAATCTAGAATAGGTAGACTTTAAAGCATTCCTTATATACTCTCTTGTCCCCTTTGGCCCAAAAATCTCGAATTTCATGTCCTTGTCTTCACCAGGACACCACCCCCCAGCAGCCTGGGAAAGAGTGCACAACAGACCCGGAATACCAAAGCAATGGTCTCCATGCAGGTGTGTTACGAAAATCTTTTCCACTTTTCCTGCTTTTAGATCGGATTGGATGATTTGGTGCTGTGTTCCTTCGCCTGCATCAAATAGCCAGATACGCCCGTCGAATCGCAGTGCGAGGCTCGAGTGGTTTCGGGTTGGACTTGGCTGGGCGCTAGCTGTGCCGAGAAACACTATATCAATGTTTCCAATTGTTGGCATGCTGTAATATCCGATATGCGGAGAGAAACGCAAACCGTTTTAGCGCTAGGAAAGTTAAATAGGGGCGGAGTCGCTGCCCAGTTGCCATAGCACCAGCCGCAAAAGTCCCTCAAGCACTTCGTCCATGTGCTTACCTTGGATTGTTTGAAGTGGTTATCGCATAGTTTTATGCAGGTCTCCCACTCATCTGTGCTCCTTCAAGTGAAGAACATGTTCATTGGCTCCAGAGTACCATGCATACATAACGATAGACTGGGAAGGCTGTAAATAAAGATTCATATTTTTACTTTGTATGGATTCATTTTAGCACTCTTAGGCCTACCTTGCTGTCCCATACGTTGTGATGCGATGATAATGAACAGGCAAACCTCGAAATGGAGAGCCAAAACCAGCGCCTTTGCTACTGCAAATCTGATCAGGAGTGGATGCTTGCCTTCATGTTACGAGCGTAATGAAAATGGCAAAAGGATGGTGCATTCCATATTGTTCATATTGTTCGCTAGCAAATGCCTCTGATGAGTAGGAATGGCAAAGCATGGCGACATTCAACACTGACACCAGTTGGGCAACTACCAGGGCTCTTTGCGGGTAAAATACGTTTTCCTGTCGTCAGATCGCAACTTTCTGTCGAAAGTTCGCCGATATGTAGGATCATCCATGTATTGGCATCAATTGCACACAGTGGCCTGTGTAGCAATGTGAAAAAGACTTTCCAATATATAGGGCAATACGCAAGAAATAGCAGACTATTTACATTGATCCAACTATCACTGGTGATCGAGTATTGCGTTTGTCATGGAACTGAGAAACAAGCGCAGCGCGCGGAATCAACAGTGAGCGCTCGAGTGTTGAAGTAATCGGGCTTGATCAGTCTTTACTATTTGCCATTTTCAGAAGGTATACATTATGGCGCTTGGAAGTCTCATAGGACAGCTCAAGCGAAGTATAAATGTCACATGTGAGAGACTATTTCCATTCAATTGGCAAGTCTTTGGCACAAAATGTTTTTGTGGGCTTCCCCTGTCCGAACCACCCAGCGCGGATTTTCGAGATGGCTCTCCATCTGTTGAAGCAAGGGTTGCTCCCAGATTCTTATGTACCAACAGGTTCCTTCGAGCGCGAGATGGACTGTAACTGCTTCATAAGCCGTAGACAATTATGAGTAACATCCTCATAGATTCTTCTTCCTTTCGTGTGCTTTCCAAACGCTTAGAGAATAAGTGCACGCAGTCGCAGTTGTTACCAACCAATATCGCCAACAAGGGTCGAGACGCCCAATGTACTTGAAATGACTAGATTACTGGCTGTCCTGTTATTTTATTCGAAATCTTTCAATCATGAGCAGTAGATAAGCAGAGTCAGATGTCATGTGCTAGGCGGCCTCACAGGATATAGAATGTATTTTACACAATGCTTTTTATTCTTTTGTGGTCTCACTGGCGGGACACATATCGTTAGCAAACTATAACAGTAAGATGGTGATGGTTTGGGGTTGGATATGAGTGACCGGTTGGTCTATACGCATTTAGAGCTAAGGGGTTGACCGACTACATTGAAGGGTACGTGCGGTTTTCAAGAGTAATACCTACGGGCTTCTAGCACGTACATAGATTGAGCTCAAAATCGCATGAGATGGACTATGGTTTTAGGTGATATCAAGTTGCGGCTTATGTGTGCGTCTTTTACGACAACAGGACCAAGTGAAGCAGGGAAGGATGGATTTTGGGAGATAGATCTACATGGCAAATGATCAGTTACCGTCGTTGGCAAGCCCAGGGATCATATATGCTGTTTACTACCACAAAGGACAAGAAAAGAACTTTAAATTGACCTGGAGAAAAGGGCATCCATATACCATCCGAACATTTTATATCCATCCTCACATGAAGTCCACCTCGTGTGGGTGGTTCAAACTCGGTGAATAAAATGACCAGATGCGGTCGGCGACGCTGAAGAGTCGCTTCCGACTGTACTTCACAACGTTGATAATCATAGGCTAATGTTATAATCTTCTCTAATGTGATGTTGAGAGCCAGGTGCCCGGCAAAAAGAAATATATCTCCCATGGGTTCTCAGTTGAAATGACGGGATTTCATTTGATGGGATGACTTTATCTGATTTCAAACAGCAGATCGAAAAGCAGAACGACCAGTATTTTGGCGTTCATTACAGGTCAAACTAGAGCTAGATGGTGCTTGCTGTTGATCGCCAAGTGGCCCAACAGACAAGAGCGGCATTTAGTATTTTTACTAAATTCTAGTACCGATTCGATCTAATCCAATTGCAAACAAGGTGTGTTAAGCCCTTCTCATTTTGGCATGGGTCCTTGAAGTGAATTGCCAAATTGCACACATCTTTTCAATAGTGCTACTATAGATCCCTTCGCTCGCCTGTTCTCCAGATATGCTTTCAGTGTTGCAGCTGGCCCGCATCAAAGGTGTTTGGAGATTAATGTTTTTAGACCGTTGGTTCTTACGCTGCACATTGGAGCTCATTTGAGTAGAACGCTTGAGGAGGGTCTTCAAAGGGACAAAGCAATTCCAGGAATGAATACAATGCTTTAGCCCGTTCCTTAGATATGGTTTCAAGTGGCAGCTTGCGCTTATCTACCGTTTGAAACGGTGGTAAATCACACGGACACAACAGGCCAACCCTCTGAGGATCACAAGAAAGGTGAGGGACCTTGACCAAGATCCTTCATAAGATATGCAAACCTCCGGTTGGAAGTTGTCTCATCAACAGGGTTAGGGTGCCGGCTGTCGAAAGCCATGATCACATACCCTGACTGGTTGACATGTGCACTCCCACAGAACATAGCGCATCGTGTAGCTTGGAGAACATGAATACTGCATATTGGAGCATTTGGAAGAGATCCTGTCACGAAGTTTGCCAAAGAATAACAACTGTGGTGTGGCACTGACGTTTTCATCAACATACAGATCGCTGTTTATATTTTTGCTCGTTTACCTTCAAATCTCTGTAACGGATCCCCTCGCCTTTGTGTCCTCTTGTGTCACTCCTTCTTTAACGGAATCATGTTCGGAACAATGTTCAGACCTCCTCTTTGCAATTTGCGGATGTAGGCATCATCCTCCCTACACTCCTCATTCTACCAAACGTGACTGGCAAGATCTGTTGTCAAAGTGTAGCCTTGCGGCAATACCACTCCCCTTCGGATTGCTGTTGACAAACAATAGTTTAACGTCATGATGACACTCACTTTGAAATAGTTGGCGGATGAGGCTTATGTGATGGGAACAGGTAAACATTTTGATCTTCAGTGCATCGCAGCGAGGACTGCTGGTATACGCATTTTATTTAACAAGAATTGCCTACTCGGTATAGACGTATCGTATTCAATACTACACCTATTCGCAATTGTGCCTCATCTACTGGCTATGCTATCAGTTTGCTTTCACATTCCTCTCCATTTAATGATGAGCCACGATATCCGCTATTCTCGGCCGGCATCTATACTAGAGAAGGAACACAGGAAGATAACCATTGGCTAGTGCCATCGCACCTTGTCTCCAATGTGGGGGAAAAGATTCTGCGATATTTAGAAAGACTGTTGGGACTAATAGCACAAAGATATCAAAGACCAGCACAGCAAACAAGAAGTGGCATGAACGAGTCGATCGAAATGTCCCAGTCACATGACCCTGCAGATGCGAGACATGTCAGAGTCGGAAATGCCGCGGCTTGCATTTCCCATTTGTTTATTTGGCTCTTGCTGCATTGTTTTAAAACCTAAATTACATCGGGATTGGTCCACGTCCAAACCAAGCGTTGGACCAGTGCCCTGAAGCAAAATCAAGAACAAACCATTTACCAGTCAACTGCATGGCCCACATCAAAGACTTGAGGAACCAGGCGGATGCCTGAACCATAAAAAGATTCGTTCCGCCACCAAAAAACAATGGGACCACTGGGACCATAGTTCTAAGTAGAAGTATAAAGGAGAAGACATCTTTTAGAATTCTCCAGCACTCCATTACGCACGGAACGAACTAAAACCTGCAAAATTCCAACCATAAATTCATTACATACACACGATGAAGTTCTTTCTTGTCCTCGCTCTCATCTTCTTTGCTCTTACTCAGTGTACAAAGTCTTAACCGTTGTTTATTTTCCGAGCAACTCTTCATACTAACTTTATCCCATGCTGCAGTGACAACTGTTAATGCCGAGTGCGTCATCAGTTCTTGTGAATATGAGCCCAAGTGCGACTTGGGCAAGGGGGAGAAAGCATGCGTAAATTATTATGGGCAATCATCATTTGCATGCGATTTGGTTAAAAGAAGAGTGATGTGCTGCAACAAAGGCGAGTGCAGTAAGATCGACATCAATGCGTAAAGTGGAGGACCGCATCATGTTGATAGCTCGCAGAAATTTAGAATTATCGATTGTAAATTGTATAGAAAATAGATCTTTTGTCAAGTGCGTTGTGCGCACGCATTCCAACTGGTCATGACTATATAAAGTAATACCATATAATAGTGTTTGGTTCTGTGCCGTAGTGGTCAACCGCGCGGAACGTTGCAAAATCGTTCCGTTCAGTAGGTCATGAGTTCGAAACCAGCAAAAGTGGGCTCCGTCGGTCGCTTCCTTCACACTCGGGAACTTCACGTTGACGGTCAGTGACTGAGCTTTCCCACTTTTTTTTCGACTTTTATCATGGCAAAATGCTGCTCAAAATGCACCTGGATGACGGAGAAACTGAGGATGTTGGCCGTACATTCTGGTTCTGCTAATCACTGGTCATCCGACGTGACATAGAATATTCAATGCATTAGTCGAATTAGATGCAGAAAGGGACTGCCCACATACCAGTTACGCTATCTGCATGGCTGCAATTTGGGTTGCCGTGTGCGCAGAGGGTTAACCAGTGATCAAAGGTGCAAGATTGATAATGTATAACCTTCTGTGTAAAGAAAATCATTCCCGTCGTCACGAAGCGAGCACCAAAAACACACCAAGTCCCTGATACAAATAGGATTCTCCTGCGACAG